TTCAGTCTGCTCCTGTCCCGCTCTGTGCTGCCCGGGGCCCAACACACGGCAGCGTAGTGTATGGCAGAGGCTTCCACACAGTCATAAAAAGTCCTGAGCAGAGGCCTGCTCACTCCGAAGGACCGCAGCCTCCTCAGAAGGTGGAGGCGACTTTGGCCCTTATTGTGCGGGGCGTTTGTATTATGGGACCAGTCCAGTTTATTGTTAATGTGAACACCCAGGTACTTGAAGCTGTCCACCAGCTCAATGTCCTCCCCCTGGATGTTCAGCAGCGTGTGGGAAAGTGGTTTTCTCCTGAAGTCGATGACCATCTCCTTGGTCTTACTGGTGTTCAAGCAAAAGTGGTTGCGCTCACACCAGTCGACAAAGTCCTTGATAACCGACCGATATTCCAGTTCGTTCCCCTCAGACACACAGCCCACGATGGCGGAGTCGTCGGAGAACTTCTGCAGGTGACAGCTGTGTGTGTCGTGTGTGAAGTCTGAGGTGTAGATGGTGAAAAGAAACGGTGAGAGGACAGTGCCCTGAGGGGCCCCAGTGCTGCAGACTACCACCTCAGACTCACAGCTGCGCAGCCGCACGTACTGTGGTCGGTCTGAGAGGTAGTTGATGGTCCATGCAGTGAGGCTACTGTCCACTCCCGCGTCCTCCATCTTCCCCCGCAGCAGTGCCGGTCTGATGGTGCTGAAAGCGCTGGAGAAGTAAAAAAACATGACCTTCACAGCGCTCCTGGCGGGCTCCAGGTGGGAGAGCGTCCGCTGCAGTAAGTAGATGACGGCGTCCTCTACTCCAATGTTGGGCCTGTAGGCGAACTGCAGCGGGTCCAGGGTGGGGCTGACCACGGAGCGGAGATGGGTGAGGATGAGCTGCTCATGGTTTTTTCTGTGAATGATACATGTTGTTTGTCACAATAGAAAGAGCCCTGAAATGTCCCCTCTGTGCGACAAATACATGTTTTATTAATCTTCATCTTGTCAAAGTAGAATATGAACAAATCAGATCATAACCTCCAGTCACACCTTGCGTTGGGATATTGTTAGGTGTACCTTGGGAGATCATCTGATGTCACCTACAGCAATTGGTCAAAAGACATGACATTTTGACAAAAATAAATCAACATATACGTATTGTTATTTAATAGTGAACTTAAGTACCAATAATCAAAAAGGGCTTTATCAAATTTACAGTGATTATAATGAGTTGGCAACATCGAATCCCCCATGGTAAAGGCAGGGGCGACAGTGGCTCAGTTTTTATTTATTTGGTTTATTTGAGCAACATACATTTATACAACAACAACAACAACAGAATATATTACTGGCATGTTTGCTGCTCAAAAGGAGTAGATTGAAGTTATGAGCACCTCCACATACATTATGTACAATTTGTAATAATAGAAAATTAATGATACATATACAAGCACACACACACATGTATACATTTACAAATTTAAGTTGGGAGAGCATTGGTCTTTGAACCTAATGGGCGAGGGTTCGATCCCCCCACGACCCATGTTATGTTGTCTGCTGTCGTTGTGTCCTTGGGCAGCTATCTTCCCGTGGACCAACGATCTGCAGGAGAATCAGTGAGTGACACGGCAACCCAGAAATGGACTACGAAAAAGTGGATCAAAAGAAATAAACAAATGAATGGGACAGGCATGCTTCCATGTTCAGTCAGGTATTTGTTATTAGAGAGTGTTACAACAAATACTTTAGGCACACTTATAAAAACAGTCTAATCATTTAACACAAACGGAATGAATCATGGGCTCTTAATCTGGAAGCTGTACACTTTTATAGCCATCAATAGTTAACAAAGCTCATGATTGATATACTGTGAACCTGCTACATTCAAAGAGACTGCGTACAATAGGGAATAACGCTCTTTAGCCAATAATATCAAGTGTGGCCAGTGTTCAGTGATGGATGAGTTTTGTCAGCTCTCAGCCCGAACAGCTTATGCAAACCTTTCATGAATGATTAATGAGGGAAAGAGAGGGAGACTGATCCTCTGTTTGAAAATGGCACAAAATACACTGTGTTGTCATTGTGTTAGGAAATGGATGGATTTAATGTGCAGGATTCGGTCTATATGTTTCATAAATCAAGAAAAAGTGTGATTGACAATGACAAAGAATACCCTGCACTGATTGAGAATTGGTTTCGCTCCATGATAATCATTTTTGGAGTGTGATATTGACAGACGAATTGGTGCAGTGTGTAGCTGTATTGGACTGCTGTGGAGAAGAGGGAGCAGCGTCTGCAGTCAGAGCTGTATCGGACTGCTGTGAAGAGGAATCAAAGGCCTTGTTTTACAGCTAAGTCCACATTCCCACTCTCACCTATTGTTATGGGTTTATGGTAAAGACAAAAAGGGCGAAATCACGGACATAATCAGTTGAATCTGGGTTTTCCACCGCAGAGTCGCACAGGAGTAGCTCAGAGTAGAGCCACTGCTTCTTCACGTTGACAGGAGCCAGTTGAGGTGGTTTGGGCATGTGTTTGGAATGCCTCCTATGTGGATGCCTCTCTGGGGGATGTGTTCTGGACATGCCCCACCAGGAGGAGACCAGGGGACGACTCAGGGACGAGTCTCTCAGCTGGCTTGGGAATGCATCAGGAAGTGTGGTGAAGTCTGGGCATCTCTTCTTGGAAAGCTGCACCAGCCACCCGGCAATGGATAAAGCGGAAGAAATTCAATGAATAGATGAAAATAATATTTGACCCCTATCTCAATATTAATCTGATAACAATTGTGTATTTCAGTACAGAGACTACTTGTAAACAGCTTAGTCCAGCTTCCATTCAGCTTGAATACATTTCTAAAATAAAAATATTTGCAGATAAACGTCGATGTGTCAGTACACACACATTGTCAGTATGTTGTCTGTTTTTAAATGGGACCAAGTTTCTGGACTAAAGTTGAATTGACTTGATTGGATCCACTCATAACTTTTATTGTAGCAATTCAGATTCAGATTCAGATTCATTTATTTGCCATTTGCAGTAAAACCACATTGGAAAAACTGTGCAAGACTACCCCAGTGTGCACCAGACGACACACACCAGAGCTCTTGCCAATGAATAATAATGAAACCCAAACTATAAATTATATAATATATCTATTTACTGCCATGGTTTTGTGACTCTCTCTGTGGCTGTGCATGGAGGGAGCGGAGAATGAAGTGAAAGGAACATTATTGCATTTGCCTTATCACTTATACATTTGTGTTGTGCTTGTATGAACGAGAAAAATGGTCCCTCTCTGCGTTGAGCACTTGTTTACTTGATAAAGTGGTGAGGTGCAGCAGCGGCTTTTTAATCAATTATTAAAACAGTAATGTTTTTGCTCTGTGCAGTGTTAGAAACCTCCTAACTTAAGATTGCTCAATTCATTTGTCTTTTTCCTTTAGACATATCAAGAATGGAAACTTCCATATGTAATTTATAGCACAGTTTCAGAGGAAATGCAAGAACACAGGGTCTAGTTATCAATCTTTGCACATACATAGATTCCCCGGCATACATGCATTCATAGCTTCACTAAAGTAGGCATACATCATACATACTGTACAGTACATACATATACATTTACATACACATACATATGCATAGCCACATACTCTGCAAAAAATGATACATTTTGAGGTAATGAATGCTTAAATTCAATGTTTTTTTTATCTTACTTTGAGTACATCTAATCTTAAAACAAGATTTGCCAATGGAACAAAGCCATTTAGTCTCATTTCAGAAACTGCCCTCATTCCAAGGGAGACATCTCTTGTATCTGTTAAAAACAAGATAATTTTGCTTGTCCCATTGGAAAGTCTAGCAGTCAAAATGTGCTTAAATTAAGCAAATTTGAGCAATTTTTGACTTAATTTCCATCACTTTTTGCAGTAAACATACAGTATATATTCAAACAATGGTTCGAGAAGGAGTTGAAAGTCAATCCTATCCTCACCTATGGTCATGAGCTTTGGGTAATGACCAAAAGATTGGGAGAAGACCCCCGGGAAGACCCAGGACACGCTCGATGGATTCCCCCAGATGAGCTGGAGGAAATGCGTGGGGTACTGTGGGGTGATAGGGAACTCTGGACGTCTCTGTTTGGACTGCTGCCCCGCGCAGAAGCAGAAGAAAATAAATGAATGGATGGCTCAAAGAGGAATGGGAAGAAGACTAACTTATTAATTCCCACCTCATGTACCTACAGGGTTAGGTGTTAGATAGATGTTACATGTATATATCGTTAAACAGAGATACACCAAATTGTCAATCAGGAATCAAAGACAAAGTAAAAATGTGTAATCCATGTGTTCCGGTATTCATCTTTATTGTCAATGTATTTCTGGATTTCAGTGATTTCTTGTCTCTCTTCAGGATTGATAAAGTTATACCGATCTAATCTATATTGCATTTCATGAAATTTGGTCACTCCTTTGCAGTAAATATATTTTCCATGCGCTCTCTCAGCACTGGGTCGATTGTAATCAAATATTCTGTGGACCCCCGGCTGCCCTGAGGCGATGGAAATGCATGAATAGTGACAGGTGCCTCTGTTTTTTCTGGGACTGACGACTTTCACATCAACATATGTTCCATGTCCTATCCCACAATGCATCATTCATGTGAAATATTTTCATTGGGTGCAGGCACGTTAATAATAATAACATTATAATATTGGTGAATGTTTTTGGTTTCCCCCAGAGACCACCCCACAAATCACTGCGTCTGTGGCAAAACCTTGGCCCAAAGATTAATGATAAACATGACAAGGACAAATTAGAATATGTACAAGTTAGCATGCAGCCGCCATGGCAAATATCCCCAAGCTAAATACCCAGTCCGCCCCACTGTCCTATTTAAAAATATTCCTTGTGGCCTGTTTATGAATAAGTGCATGTGTTTTTGTAATGGTGTTGGAGTCAGCTGTCACCCGGATGATAATGTGTAGACATAAACTGATTAGCATTTACATATCAGGACGTCAGCGCCATGAAACCGAGCTTTGGTAAATGACAGTTCCAGGAATGCTGACTTTGACTACAGTGACTTTGCCAGTGTGAAATAAAGACAGACTATTAATGCATTTATAAACCGTTTCCATCATTCATTCATACATGGTCATTGTAAAAGGTTGGTTGGTGGAGCTCCTATAGGGCCAGTACGTTAGGCAACTCAAAGTGCTTGACAAAACAAGATGAAGACAAATAAATAATCACAAAATATTAAAAATAATGAAGATAAAATCCTTCAGTAGTATGCACAGCTAAGCAGAACTGTTTTTTATCTCAATCTAATATAGTAAAATTAGCCTGTCTCACATTTTCAGAGAGATTTTAGCTGCATCTGAAGTACTGAAACTTAATACTGACACAGGGCACCAGAGGAGGAACGACACCAGAGGAGAATCTACACCAGAGGAGAATCTACACCAGAGGAGGGACGGCACCAGAGGAGGGACGGCACCAGAGGAGGGACGACACCAAAGGAGGGACGGCACCAGAGGAGGGACGGCACCAGAGGAGGGACGGCACCAGAGGAGGATCTACACCAGAGGAGAATCTACACCAGAGGAGGGACGGCACCAGAGGAGGATCTACACCAGAGGAGGGACGGCACCAGAGCCGGGACGGCACCAGAGGAGGGACGGCACCAGAGGAGGGACGGCACCAGAGGAGGATCTACACCAGAGGAGGGACGGCACCAGAGGAGGATCTACACCAGAGGAGGGACGGCACCAGAGGAGGGACGGCACCAGAGGAGGATCTACACCAGAGGAGGGACGGCACCAGAGAAGGGACGGCACCAGAGGAGGATCTACACCAGAGGAGGATCTACACCAGAGGAGGATCTACACCAGAGGAGGATCTACACCAGAGGAGGATCTACACCAGAGGAGGATCTACACCAGAGGAGGATCTACACCAGAGGAGGATCTACACCAGAGGAGGATCTACACCAGAGGAGGATCTACACCAGAGGAGGGTCGGCGCCACGCAGAGTTTTTGAGTTTGCACAGTCCACTGGAAGAGGCCTAACAACAATAAACTTATTTATAGAGAGACATTTTAGAATGAGAGCCACTTTAGGTCACCAGACGACAACCCAGATTTTAAAACTGTTTTGACTGGACTTGCTCTGATCTGGTCTTCAAAATGGCTATGATAATGTCCACAATGTGACACAATCAATGACAAATGTCAGTATGTACACGTGAAGTTAACAACTGGATTCCAAGGGCAAAATTGGTGGAGCTGAAGTTGGCTGGATGACGCTGTTAAAAGTGCTTCAATGGCTATTTTGTGCTAGCAGCAGAGGGTCACACTGATACTGTACATTGGTCGGTCCCCTGATCCCGGTCTCTGCATTGGGACCATTTTTTGCAATCATTTTTTGTGTTCAGGGGGAGGGACCTGTATGGTGACACTAAATATAATTTATTCTCACACACAATCTGTCTTAATGTGAACTCAGCTTTAAGGCAATATCACATAATAAAACAAAGGTTGAAAAAAAGTGTATCATATCTTTAGCATTTAGCATAATGCTCCTTGGATGTAATAAAATGGTTTTTACAATGGCTTTCTTGATTATGCAAAGTAATTATCCGTCTAAAAATACAAGTTACCCTCAGAGCTGCCCTACTTTGAACTCTACTAAATTGCTCATTCTCTGCATCTTATTTTGCTGCTGCATAATACGGCACACAATTAGATCCGTAATTATTATAACAAGTTATAACATAGAGATGTGTAAGCTCTTTGACAAGCTTTTAACTGCAGTCACGGCTTTGGGAGATGGAGAAATGAGTGTAACTTTGCAGAGAGAAGGTCTTAGCCCGGGACACAAAGGACTACAGCGTTCACTGACTGAGCCACTTCCTGCTAAACTTCTCTGCTGATATTGTATTGTGCTTTTGAAAAATAAGCTTTTGAAATGCATTAGCGCTACACACTTCCACAAGAAAGACCAAGCATGGATTTGAAACATAGCAACGGGAAGAAAGAAAGAACGAAAAATAACTGGGATGCAATCATTTTTTAGCCAACCCCTTGAGATCTGCGTCTCATTGTGCGCCAACGACTTGATACCACAAAACTTCAATCTATTTTTTTTTCTCTTTCTTCTGCGCCGTGGCAAATTTGTTTTCAGGCTCCATAAAATAGCCTTTTCTTATTTCAAGCGGCAGTGTATGCAGTGGAAAATCTCGCACATAATATATCCTTAAAAGCACATTACCGCGTTCCATACAGCGCTAAGAGTTAAGAACACACTTAATATTTACAGTTGGTAAAATGGAAGAAAGGAAACGGATTTTTCTGCAGAATAAAACACCCCCCACCCACGTATACAGACTCTCTCGCAGTGCTGCACTTGAACAATTGCTATTCACAATCCTATCCTTAATGCCTAAGACCAACATAAAAGAAGAGAGTTTAAGAATATAGGGATAAGCCCTTTCAGCTTTTCTAAGTCTTAAGGCTGGTTTATGCTGCATGAATACTGAGCATAGCAGCCAGCGCTGTTGCCACTCTAAATAGATATTACAATGATTTGGGAACAATGCTCCCCACTGATTCCCTCAGACACAAAAATACATATATGTGTGTGTATATATAGTGAATAGGAGGCAAACATTAGCGCGCCATGACAATACACGCATTTTGATGTAGAAGGGTAGAGCAAGATTAATGTCTAGGCTAGAGAAAAGGCGAGATAGCACTTTGGGTGTTTGCGGAGAGAAGATGCTTTGAGAAGCTAAATCCTTCCTGGAGCACAATGCAGAGGAGCAGATACAAGAGGCAGACATGGGGTCACCTCCCCTCAAACCCACAATGAGCCAACAACAAACTGCAGCAGCAACGGCGCCTGACAAAGAGCAGGGGAAATTAAACAAGAACCAATGCTTTTTATATCACTATTATGATTGGTAATACGCTTCAAAGGCTAAAGCAATGTCACGAGAGGCGAGAGCGAGGAAGAGAGAGGTGCAGACCAAAGGCTTCTTCCCAAGGTGCAAATCCTCCCCTGCTAAAATGAAGTATCACAACAATTCTCCAATCTGCCAAGAGTTGTATGTCATTATGTAGTCAGACAAAAAACATCTATGTCGTGTGCGTGTGTTTTTGTACCATCAATGAGTGCGGAAAAGTAGTGATGTATAGAAAAATAAATACATTGCACCGGTATAAATGTAAACAATGCTTGCAATTGTTGGAACAAAATTAACCCAGATTCTCCTATTCTGTAGGAAAGAAATATTATGGAATATCTTTGGCCATTACAAATGATAATGATATTTACTTTGTCATTTCACATTTTAGAATATACTTTCCACTTATTCCAATATATTCTTCATAGGAAAAAATATGTTGATGCAAGTTTTTAATTATTATCTTTTTCAAATTTGAAAGTAACCGCCTGCAAACACTGCACTACGATTGTAAAAAAACATGTTATTTCACTTGAGAATTGGCAAAAAATATTTTATGGACAATACTTTTGTTTTAAAAGACAGTGTAATGTCATAGTGGTACAATGACATCATACTATTAAAGAGCTGGGAAAGAAGCTTTAAGACGGAACGGGCAGAGCTACAGGTTTGTGATGGTAGCATGGATGGATCTAAACACAACTCCATGTCTGTTTGCAATAAGGAACATTATTGTAGCATGGTTAAAGGTCAAGTAGAATTGTCATATCGTCTCTTCTTACAAGACCATTTTTCTGTTTTATTTTTATCCCTTCATTCTATGACCACTTTATATCTCTTTTTGACTGACTTTTGGCAGTTCCCTTCAGTTTAACTTGAATCCTTTGAAATTTGAAAAACTTCCAACGCTTTTAATGAACACAATAAAGCATCCACGTGTACGCTAAGACCAAACAGTCATTGAACAACACGTCGTAACATCAATTACAATGCATTTCAATGTTGCAGAGCACGTACAGGACAGAAGTAAGAGCAAACAAGGAACACACACAATATAGTATATACAATTTTAATTTGAATAGTTTCATTTAAATACATGCTACTGCTAGGAATTTAAACACATATGTACATTTACAGCAACTTTTAAGCTATATTCTGTATCTGCTTCACTTTTTACAGACTTCTTCCATAAATGCCTTCCCATTACCTGTAATAGACACAGATAATTTACTTAAAGCTGGTCACTTTCCATTATTTCCCCTTCATCATTCTGTCTCACTGTCTCACTGTATAGCGGTGAATGTGTGGATAAACCCGCTCTTTTAAGCCTTCCAAACGGCCCTGGGGCTGCAGAACAAGTCCGACCTCTCGTGTCTCTTCTCCCAATCCAAGATTAGCCTGTCTTCTTGTCTAAATCCAGCAGAAACGCCACATCCTGACTCCTGCACCTCGCTACAATTACTGCGCTGCTTAATCCCCCATTTGGCCTGCGTCTGTGAGAGGGGTAAAGATCCACCCCTCCTGCCTCTGCTAAGTGTCTCCAGAATGAGTAAGCCCAGTGACAGCTTATTAATACTTCTATGAGGTTTACCACTGGTCACTCTTGAGTATACTGTAGTGGATTAGAAGGATTTGCTTGTAGTGGTTGGATTTTGGTAAAAGAAGAGGTATTCCCACAGGTTTAAGATGTCACAGGAAGGGTCGGAACGGGGGTCGATGGTCCTGGCAGATACAGAAGAGGCATGAGGGCTTAGTGGTCACTTCTTTTGCACCAGAGCTACTTGAGCCGCTCGGGCTGCTTTTATGTCTGCTGGATGGAAACATTTGGTTTGGAATTGATGTATTTGTTCATTTGACAGAGAATGTGTACATTCAATTAAATTCAATGTATTCTTGTACAGGCCTAAATCACAACACTAGTTATCTAGGAGGAATTTACAAAACCATTGAATTCGTCAACACAGATCAGAGAATCAAATAGTTCTAACACAAGAATTTCAATGATAAAAACATATAGAGTTGGTTAAGGATTTTTCAGATTATTTTTCAGGTTATTTTTGTGTTTCCGTGAGCCTAATTCAGCTTATAGATTTTGTGTTGACACCATGAATACGGCACGTGTGTTGACCTCTTGTTTTTTACCCATGGCCGGTGGCAGCCCCATTAACACAGCGAACCAATTCAACTAGACTACCCCCAATACTACATGTTTGCTTTGGGCCTACTTGCCACTTTTTCAACAGATGCTTCAGTGTGATAATAATAATGTGCACTTTATTTATCCCCGTAAGAAACTTTTGGCAGTGGTCGCCGTATTAACTTCAGATGTTGGATGCTTGGTCAGGACTACCAGAGCTGGAGGACTTTGTTCTGGAAACCAGAGTACCTGAAGCAAACCTACACAGATGCAGGGAGAACATGCATACTGAAATGAAAAATAGCCTGGTTCAACTGGGATTCGAACCCCAGACCTTCTTGATGAGAAGTGAGAGTGCTCACCACTGTACCACAGTGTGAGTGTAATCATACCATGGATCTATTAGAATCATATCCACTTTGGACTCTTGAAATTAATGACGGTAGATTGGATTAATATAAACCTTTTTCTTCTTTCAAACCCTTTTCAGGTCAGATATTCTTTGTTTGTATTATCTTGTTATTATTCTGTGAATGATTGTTTGTAAATCTCATGCATGCTTGAAACAGGAAGAAACCTGGAAATGAAAAATGTTGTCATAAGACTCACCAGTTACAAAACACAGAATGCCAATTCAATCAGAGCTGCTGATCAGTGGTAGCAGCGGAGTCAGAGCGGGAAGGAAACGAGCAGAGTTTGTGTGGATTTAAAGAAAATTGAAGGATTTAAGAAGAAAATCTTGTCCTATCCTGAGCATTGACTTTAACACTTAAAACATGAACTATTCAGTGTTGGCCTGAATCAGGAGAGTAATAACAAAACTTTCAAACAACAAGGTTACAGAAATCTGTGAATCATTTGTCACTTCTTCTAGGTTACGGTTAAGGCTCTATTGAAAAAAAAAAAAAAAAACTGCTTATTTTCATACAACAGGGCACAAACTAACAAACAAATACATCCTCAAATAGAGAAAAACAGCCACAACATTCCCAACTGCTCCTCAGAACATTCACTGCTTGAGCAAAGACACATAACTCTCATTGCTACCGGCCCAAGCTTCAACACAAAACAATGAGCTTTTGAAAAACTGAGGCATAGGTCACCGCAGCTGCTCTTCTACTTCTGCTGAGAGAGAAAACTCGGCCATGGGAGGGGAGAGCACCAAAAACCAGGGCAGTGCTCGACCCGGAAATAATTGTGCAGACTTATCAGGAATGTGGCATGTGTCTGCGGGGCATGGGTATGTTTATAGTCGACGTGCGGAGCTCCTCTGGGACTGGAGAGAGACAGGGCGCGACAGAGAAAGAGACAGAGAGAGAGAAAGAGAGACAGAGAGAGGAGGGGATAGCAGAGCGACAGGGGGGTTTACGAAAGGAATGACTTGGCACAAAGCCTGGCCAAACATTGAGCACGCACTGGAAATTAGTTGGAGGAATGCAACACATGAATTTGACCTGGCTAGTCTGCTGCTGCAAGGGCGGCCTTTGAAATATCGTCAATATACACACTTTACATATTTGTAATAGGGAATCTCAATGCAAGGTTTGGGAAATCAAAAGTAAAAGGAGTGTTTGTTGCTTAAAGCTAAGGTACCTAACTTTAAAACTACAAAATATATGCAATGAAATCCATCGACTTCCAAGTTTGCTAAACAGTTTGCTTGCATCGCTAGTTTTCACATCACATCACTTTTACTAGGTTATTTCTGTTGGGATAAACTACATGGATTATTCATGGAAAAAAAGTTAGGTACCTCAGCTTTAAATTAAGAATTTTCCAACTGGCTTCTTGTTGACACAAAGTAAATCAGTCACGAGCTACAGTCCCCAGTCTAAGATCATAATCAATAATTATATTCTATGCTTTACAAACAGCAGTTAAAGGGAAAGTTTAGTGTATCATTATAGATATGCACATTGGTATTTGTGTTAGCTGCAGTATAGAGAAATATGACTTTCCTCCATAAGACAATTGTCAAGATTTAACAGGGGTTGTGTGTTTAGCCTATTTTAAAAGAAAGTTAAGTCTGACATTGATGGTAGCAAAATTAAGTACTTTATTCTTGAGTCAAAACATACAATCATAAGTACAAGTTTATGATTAGTAATAAACAAGTCCAAGATTAGCCGTTAAGTAATGTCAAAGTAGCAAAGTAGTAGTAATTTCATTATGTTTTAAAGGTTCCGTATGTCCTTCATGCTCATAGTCATCAGATAAAAGTTTAAACGGGAAATTTCACAAGTATAAAATAAAATAATCTATTTTAAAGTGAGATTTATAAAGACTATGCATTAAAAAAATATTGTGGTTCAAATTGTTCTGTGTGTTTCCAAACAAACAATACAAGGCTGCCAAAACCATTCCCCAAAATCAGTACCAATTAGAGCGCTATCTGCAAAATAAATTATTTCAACATGTCTTAAATTTGTTTACTTCACTCTGCAAGGTGACACAGACATGGTTGTGGCTGTAGAGAGAGTCGCCATCCTTCAAAAAGGACAATGAGAACAGACCTGAAATATAGCCACTGTAGTAAAATGTATTAAAGGAAATAATAATCAAACACCTGAGATTAGGCAAAGAAATGGTGCCGAAACGAACGGTGATACAAGTGATGCTAGAACAATTGGCTACATTTAAAAGCTAAAGTTTAAAATAAACGCAAATTAAAGAAAGAGCACCATTGATAATTTGCAACGATAGGACCTTTTCATTATGAAGAATCATGAAAACACCTGCTTGTACAGAAGTAAATGTGCAAAAACACCAAAGGGCTACACTACAAACGCTACGCCAAACCCAGAAACCTCCCGAGGGCCAGTCAGAAACAGTGTCTGACTTGGTAGAATAGTATTTATAAGCCTTTCCAGGATGGATACATTCACTGTAATACAACTTCGGTATAAAAATGACTATACATGCTAAATATAAGTTTATACATTCATTATACATGTTTTTGTATACTCTATGGCTCATCTATATGTGTGTTATCTTTTTGAAACTAGTATTTCAAATGATTGGTGGTCTATTTGTGATATTCAAAGCTCTTGAATAAAAAGTATAACATTGACTAATATAACAGCTGCCTGCAGGTGGCCTTGGTCGCCACCAGATGGCAGTAAGACACACACAAGTACTTTATCCTATTGAAACAGTGGTTTATAATATGTGCGTGTATCATCATATTTGTTAAGTTAAGTACCTATAAATCTCTTTCTCAAAATAACTTCATTCCAGCCACACAAATTATATTTAAGTAAAGTCAGCTTTAAGTGATAATACATTCTATGAAATACGTTTTGAGGATGTACATTCCCTACTTAATATACGTTCCTATGACAACGTGGTGTAATCTACTGTTTAAGGCATTGGGCTCGTCCTAAGTGCGTGTGCTCTACATGTTCATGTGAGGCGGGGCGGGGGGCTCGGACAGGGCCAGGGCCTGCAGGTTGTGACACTGCAGCAGGAAACCCTCTAGGCCGCTGCTGCCGCTCAGAGCATTGGTGTAGAACAGGTTCTGCTCTGGAGGGAGGACGCTGTCGGAGCCCCAGTCTGAGTCAGAGTCAGAGCCGTCCCCAGAGCCCTCTGTGGCGGTGGGCGGGTAGCTCAGCTGCTCCAGCTGCTCCACCAGCTCATTGAACTGCACCGCACTGCTGCTCTCTGAGCGCACAGAGCAGGCCGGGAAGTTCACCATGGAGCTGGCCTCTGACTGGATATCAGAGCCAGGCAGGCGCAGAGAGGCGGAGTCAGGGACCCCATAGCCCATGGACAGGGACTCTCCTGCAGAGCTGAGCCCCAGGTTGTCCAAGGAACTGCACTCAGAGCGGTTATTAATCAGCGAACTGGTCTCAGAGTGACCGACAATACTATCAGGGAAAGACTGTGCATTCCCGTTCAGGTCGTCCAGGCCCACACTGAACAACCTGTTCTTACTGAGCTCAGAGCTGAAATCAAACTGATCCCCTTTCTCCTCGTGGCTGAAGGAGTAGGCCTCCGCCCCGCCTCCGTAGAAAGAGATCTCAGTGGGATCATCGTCTATGAACTCCTCGGACACTTGCAAAGGGGAGTGCAGTGAAAACAAGGGGCTCTGTTTGGTCCGCAGCAGCTCGGCCTCAAAGGCGGCTGGTGACAGGACCCCCGTCCTCTTCCCCCGCCCCCCTCCCACTGAGTGCCCCGTGCTCCTTCTGCCCCCCTGCTCGGCCTCCTCATTGCCATTTCTTGAGGGCAGCGGCAGGCTTTTTCCACTCTCTACACACACAAACACATTAGTAGGTGCACCTTGAAAAGCCAATTGTGAAGTGGCAGCGGTTTTGACAGAGTCTTCCTTCGGCGGGCTGGGGGCTCTGGTGGTCTGAGGAGGGAACTGTTGCTGAGGAGACGCTGCAGAGTGGATGAGGCTGTAGGGGGGAGGCTCTGGTCTGGAGAGGAGGCTGGAGATGTTTGAGAGATGCGCTGGGTGGAAGGACACAGAGGAGGGAGAGCCTTGGGCCCTGAGGCTGTCATTGAATGACAAACTCTGGAAATCAAGCAGCAAAACATCAACATTTGCTCATTTTGTAATCCAAATCCTGTGTCCAGTCTGACCTGTTTTGGCACATCGGTGGATATGGAGCGAGCGGACATTCGGATTTTACTGTTCCTTCTGAAGAAAACAATAACATTATAGAAACAAAATAAGAACATTTAAAGTTCAAACAGCTACAAACCTCTGATAGGGTGTCCGCTTTGCTCCGTTTTCTTTAACAAAGTCCACGAGCTGCTTCTGTGTTCTTCCACTGGAAACAGACGCATGAGTTAGATAAACCAACGCATACTGCTGAGGTTCAGGCTGCGCTTCACACCTGTATCTGAAGGAGGAGCCTCTGGTGAAGAGTTTGGCTTTGTTTTTGGCTTGGGGCTGGTCAAACAGACGGAAAAACGAATGGTATTCTACACAGATCTTCCAGAAGATCTTACACTGGTCTCGACTGCCCATCATGAACTCCAGAGTGTCCTGGTGAGGGCCCTGAACCAGACAGGAATAATGTCATCATCACAATTCTAATACAATAACTGAACTCAATCCATCTACGCTCACATGGACTTCAGGGTGAAGCTTGATCAAGAAACGTTTCCTCTTAAAGCTCAGTTTGCGAATCTTGGACCAATTGAAAGTGTTGATTTTTGTATTGCCCTGAAGAAGAAGAAACCACAAAACATTTAAAATTTTTCAGCTATACATATAAGATTTATTTCAGACCATTAAAAAGCTCTCCAAATGTTGGGATTACCGGTATTTACGATCATTCACATTATTGATGGATTGTTACTATTGTGCATTGCTTCATGATCCTAGATTATTTAACTTTAAATATGTTTTTGCTTATGGGGTGAGAACTAGAAAAATTTACTGGGATAGGAAGACGATCAGACGATGTTAGCTAGGATCAACAGTTTTGATCAATAAAGTATTTATTTATCTAAAAAGGTTAAAGACATTTTGTACATCATTTTCAGCAAATTGATAAAATATAACCCTCAAACTCCTGGAAATGCAACAGATCAAAAAGAAAGGTCCAGTTTACGATCCAATACAACATTCTTGGATGAATCAGGACCAGTTCAAACTCAAAATTTAGGAAGAAAATTCCAGATTCCAAAGCTTGGTTCCAACAATAACTATGACAGATTTTGATATATTTTTTAACCATAAAACATTATTTCCCACCTGAAAAACCTGCAGGCCCATGTGCACCACAGACAGGTTGATCTTGGTGTTTTCCCGGTCGGCCGCAGGGTGGAAGCGAACGCCGTACATCTCCAGTTTCCGGGCGATTTCGAGGATTTGAAAATCAGATTCAGCTGGAGTCTGGCCCCTGAAACCAAAATGTAATTAATACATTGGTTTGATATAGCGCTTTTGGGACACTCAAAGATGCTTTGTGTGGAAATATTATAGCCACAGCTGCACTGGGGCAGATTGACAGAGAGGCAATATGAAAAAAAAACAGGGACACAAAACACACTGTAGTGGTTTGCCATGGTGGCTACATAAAAGTCTTTTTTCTTGTAACCTTTAAGGTAGATGTGTTGCTAACTTTAGAATTTGTTAGACATTTTTTATGTGAAACAAACAGAAGTAGATGCAGTTACACTTTAAAGTTTGGTTCTGTCACGAGTTTTCTCATACATTTATTTTTGCCCTTGGACAGATCTTCACATCACTAGATCACTCAGCTCAAATCTAAAATTACAATAAAATAAGAAAGAAGCTGTGAGAGATGTTCGAGAACATTTAACTTTTTACATTTAAAGCTGGGGTACAGGACATTTCAAAGCAGTGGTTTTCTCATAAGATGAAGACAGAATGTTGAGTTCTAATTTTTTCACAACATTTATCTTTTACAAGACCCTTTCTATGGGAGAAAACAATATGGGTACCCCAGCTTTAAATCTTTGATTAAATGTATGTGACATAAAACCCAATAAATGGTATGAGGTTATTGGACAAAGACAGTATCTTAAACAGGTGGTAGTTTGTTTTAGTTTTGTGGCCATTAAACATGTATATGAAAACAATTATTTGATTTTTTTTGTAGAAGTAAAAAATGCAAAACATTTTTGCATGACAAAAATTATGTTTTGTCATTTTGGTAAGAAAGCCTCTTTAATGACTATTCTCAAATTAAAGTTACATACATATAGAATGATTTATTATTGACAAACATATTACCATTTTAAAGTACACAAAGACTTGTTAATGACATTATTTTTTCAGTGAGGAACAGTGAGTCTGTAAATCCCTAATAACTTCCAGGGATTTCTCTAGACATAATCTCAAACTGGCGATTACAACCAAACGGTGAGTTGCAGACGCATCCAAGCAATCGTCACACTGTCTAATTTAGTTCATCCTCTGAGCTGAAATCTGCTTAGGCCCTGCCCCACTGGCCTCGGGGCTAATGGAGCAGCCAGAGAGAGGGATTAGAGCAGGGGGACCGGCCGCTCCAGCTTCAAACCCACAGATTAACAAGTGCACAGAGACCAGGTGAAAGAGAGCTCCATTAGCCGCACCTCAGCTGGACGGTTTAGGCCTAATCGATAAAGCAACTAATTGGAGAATTTTGGGACAGACTAAAGAAACAGACCACATTGTGTAATTCAAGCATCATAATAAATCGTTGGCTTGAAGGTTTTTTAAGCAGGGGAAAGGGAGAAATTATTATTACCAAAAGGATTATTATGTTTATATCTGTCTATTTAATTAATAATCGTAACAGCTTTGCCTACAGAGAATCTATAAATGAGTTGAAAAATTAAATATGAAAATAAAGATCCAAACTAAAATTAAATATTCATAAAGTCAAATAAATTAGTTGACTTGACTATTAAAATGGAATTTCATCAAATCATATTTTTGAAATACCAAAATTTGATTAAAATAGAAATGCGGCAATGATAGGAAACTATTTCAAATAAAAGAACTTTACTAAAATAGAGCGGTGCAGTGGTTAGCTCTCTTGCTTCTCAGTCCTGGTCGAAACAGGGTTTTTCTAAGTGGAGTTTGCATATTCTCCCCTCCGTCCTACCACTAAAAACATGTACAACAGGTACCATCTTCTTCCAGCTCTGGTCCTGACCAAAGCAAACATCTGCACATGGGTCCCCAGATGCTGGACTACGGTGACCACTGCTCCTGGTAAGAGGCACTAGTGGCATTGAAAGATGGGTCTAATGCAGTGGACAAATTGCTCTATGGGATAAATAAAGTATATATTAACCTTAAAATTAAGACATCCTGGAAAAAACTAATTATGGAAATGAAGTAACTTTTCTTATAATGCCATATTATTCACATCCTCTTTAAACTTGATTCTTCCTCCACACATCACATGCAAAACGAGGCCAGAATAGGATTTTAAAGCATGCATAGTTGTCTTACATGTGTCTCTGGTGCTGCTCTATGATCCGGTCCTCCACTTTGTCTTGATAAGGCAATATATGGTTCGTCTTCAGAAATTCTCTGTCGGCGACTTCATCGTAGTCTCCAATCTCAGCTGAAGGAAATAAAACATGTTTAATTCCCCCAGACATACTCAATACTTAATTTGAACCGGTCCTTACTTGGATCAGAAGCTAATGTCGTATGACAGCACATTTTGTCTTTACTGTATCAAAGTGTGCCTTGTTTTTGACCTAAAAGTGTAATGTCTTTTATGATTTAAGCTCGTTTCTTTTGTATTGACAGAGTTTGCGGAGGCATCCTGTAACTCAGTAAATACAAAAGAAACAAAAATCGTAAAAGACATTACACTTGTCTCATGTCAGTTACTTTTAACCAGGAGGAAACTACGTCTATTTGCTTAATAATTTGGGGTGGGAGTCTACACGTGTCTACTTCTGTCCCATTTCATTTCGAGTTGACAAATTGTAAATAGAAATATATTTGTAAAAATATATAGAAATTGTAAATATAGAAACACCGAGTGAAACTATGGCAAATGTATATTTATGTACATATGCATTTGCTTGTGTATGTATATATTGTAAATGCAGTAGGCAACACAACAATGTACAAAAGTATCTCCATAAGCTAAAGATTGTAAATATTGTAAATACTAATGAAAGTATAATTTCTGCTAAAATGAATAAAAATCAATTAATTAATGCCACAATATTGAGGTAATTCTTAAGGACAATATCGATTTTTTTCAACAAAGTCATACTTTCAGTGCAGATAAATGAATCATAAGCTGTATGACAACATCTAGTTTCCACTGTATGATTGAGATTAAGATGAAGAGATCCTTGATTCATCCCACAGTGGAGAAATGTTAGCGTGGTCGTACCACACCATAGTACAAATGAAAAAGGTGGGAGGGGTTAACTCCTTTTGCACATTGAAACGATTGGATCTGAGTTTACCGTGACGTATGTAATGCGCCCGAGTGTGTTGTTAGCATTTAGCATTTAGCCTAGCCATCTCCTTTGCCACTAACGGAGCCCGTGGGGAGTAGCGCCACAATTTTTTCCAACAACTACATTTGCTAAACATTACCCTTGCCCTTACTTTACTATCACATTTTTCGGCATTACCAAACTACAACCTGCCCGTTCGATGCAAACTCTTGACATCACCCAAAACTAACTACAACACCTGCCTTCCGCGCGCTCTGAATGGTCGGTCGAAATTCAACCGATTGTAATCGCTAACATAGGGACTAGAACCAGACGTTACATGCAGTGAAATGATGATTGAACGGAGTGTACGGATGGCTAAGGCCAGGCTAGGGAAATGTCAGTGTTGCATCATCAGTTACAGAACAGTAGGAATGAGGAGCACACAGCACACAATAAAAGAACTATATTTCTATACTAAATAAAAAACAAAATCTATCTATATATATTATCTTTAGCATAATAGGGAAATAAATGTACACATGATAAATGAATTGTGTATTTATACTATCTAGTTTAATGAATGAGATTTATAAGGTAAATGTGTGGTTATAAAGTCATTGCAGTAAATAAGAAGTTTTTTACTGCAAAACAAACTTTTGGAGTATTAAACATCTTTATTATATTGCTTACATTGAACGAGGTGAGACGCCAGCAGAGCTCCGGTGTTTTCACTGCAGATTAACTTTCCTTCAATCAAATCCCTCTTCATTTGTAAGGAGAACAAGTATCTGTGGAAAAAAACACATTATGTTTATAATGAGCAGAACAACTTGTTATTTCTTAACATAAACATTTATAAAAACAATTTCTCAGTTGACGCGGTCTCAGTTTTGGAAGTTTTCATGTTATTCTTGGTCACATGACTGAGTAAAATGTATTCTCCTCACTTACTTTTACCATGAGTCACAGATAAGAAGGCAAAAAATAAATACTTACTATATATGTAAAATATACATACTCTTCTAGTGCAAGGAACATACAAGTATACAGTATAGTCCTTCCACTAGACTTTACATGTTATATTTTGATTCTTTTTAAAGGTAAAAATAGTTTGTTTTGTATTTTTAAAGTATAGAGTTGTGCTATACTTAATATTTACTTCGTTCCTCATTCCTACTGTTCACCAATTCTGCAAAACTGACATTTTGTGGCAGAAATAACGGTTCTTAATCTAAGTACAGAGCCTTGGCTGTGATATAGTTTGGGTTGGGATTTGTATGTTACATCAACTGTGCTTTTACAATATGATTCACATTTGATCTTAATCTTAAAGGGACAGCAGGTATTTGATTTGATATAAGACATCTCCATCTCACATCTCATAGTTCTGTGATCAGAGTATTCGTGTGGACGTATTCTTAAGGGACAAATGGCTAATTATTTATGTGAACATTTAATGTTGTGGTTCTCAATCTGAGTTTACAATCAGAGTCTCTCATATTGTAGTTCACAAGTTTATTTGGTGAAATAGCGCTTGTTTGTACTGTATTTAACTCACTGACTGCCAGCTGTTTTTGACGGTTTCACTGACTTTCAAGACCCACAGAATATTATGTGCTATGCCTATGTGAAATATGAAAGCAGATTGTGAAAAACTGAACAGTCTACTTTCATCAGCAAAAATGTGTCGGTTTCTAGCTGGTTTTGTTCTCCTGTAAACCCCAGACGCATACGGGCAAGTTTGACAGAAATCACCAATAGACAAATACGTCAATGGCAGTCAATGATTAATGATTCTATTAAACACAGCACAAACTACATTTTTCCCCATGTCTCGTGTCTTTACCAACCTTGTGTACTCTTCCTGGAGTTGACCGGGGTCTGGAGGGAAGAATTTGACTGACAGTCTAAAGAGTGTGTTTGCAGGCCCTAAAAGCAAAAAATCAGTTTACAGTTTACTGACATACATGTACTTACATTTATGTCCATGTATCTACTTACTTCTAACTTGTCTCACAATGAGTTTGGTCGGTTCGAGCCAAACCTGAAAACAGAAAATAATGTTGAACTTTGATGGTACAGGTAACAGGTCTCTCAGAGTTAATAATTTTATTACTTTTTTACTATTGTTAATGACTTCTAGAATTATTTATTTATTTGTGTTTATATGGATTATGTATTTTTGCTGCTGGACACTTTAATTTCTCAAATGGGGGATCAATAAATTATCGACTGTATTTATCTCTATTCATCTCTATGCATACAGTATCTATCTTTCTCTCTTCCTCAATCTATCCATATATATCTCTATCCCTCTCTTTCTGTATCTCTATCCATATCCCTCTCTTTCTGTATCTCTATCCATATCCCTCTCTTTCTGTATCTCTATCCATATCCCTCTCTTTCTGTATCTCTATCTCGGTCTATCTCGGTCTATCTCGGTCTATCTCGGTCTATCTCGGTCTATCTCGGTCTATCTCGGTCTATCTCGGTCTATCTCGGTCTATCTCAGTCTATCTCGGTCTACTAATGTATTCCAATGTGGTGTTTTTACTGCAAATGGCAAATAAACTGAATCTAATCTATCTCCGTCTATCTCCGTCTATCTCCGTCTATCGCCGTCTATCTCCGTCTATCTTCGTCTATCTCCGTCTATCTCCGTCTATCCATCTCTGGTGCCTCCTGTGACTGAACAGTGAACAGTGAACAGTGGTGGAGGTGGAAGGAGAGGGCACAGGTCCTGGTGACGTTTAGTGTAAGAGCTTCAGTAGTTTTTCCATCTGGCTCTGGTTTCTACAGGAATGTGAAAGATCCACATAACAGCTCTGACAAACACGGATCATCTGACTGCAGCATCAATGTTCACACTTTTACAAGGCGGCACTGGTTTGATTCCACCTCCAGACCTTTCTGTGTGGGGTTAGCCATGTTAGTGTGCTCTCCTCATGTCTGTGCAGGTTTCCTCCGGGTGCTCCGGTTTCGGCTACTGGAGGTCCTATATTTCTTTTTTCAATTCCAGTGAAATATATTGCTCCTGGAACTTGCTCGCTTCTATGCAGATCAACAGGTTTATATTAACATTTCCGGAAAATCTAAAATGGATGATTGAAAGTTTAAGACCTTTCCACAATAATCTACATAGTTGGGCTTGTTATTGATTTATTGTTCAATAACTAATGGATGAAACAATTTTTTTTTTTTATTCATGGTCTGTACATTCTCTTTGTAATAGTGGAATATTTACTATTTTAATTTAAATATAGCATCATTTGAGAGTTCCTCACTTTTATGTGTATTCAACATTTATTATTAACCCCTTAGATGAGCCATCTTCTTCATAACGTAAGCTCGACACGGTCTGTAATCGGTCGATTATTTTTCTATTTATTTTTTAAATTGGCAAAACAATTACAAGTGGTATGTGCAGGAGGAGAATAGTTAGACCAATGGCGAGCGGTCTCAACTGTCTATCAAAGAATCAGGAAGCTGTGGGGGCAGGTCTAGTCTAGTCTCCCACTCTCCCAATCTTATAAATTTGAAAAATAACTGACCTTACCTTTATTATATTTTCTAGTTTTGTTAAGCCCTTTTTGAAATGCTTTGTGTATGAACCACAGTACACAAATAACCTTGCCTTGAGCATGTTGGTCCACCCTTTCTCTGCGACCTATTCGATTGTTCACCTCTCATCATTACCCCATGTGTAATCAGAAAACCAAAGAGGGGAGTGCGTACCCAGTTCATCTGCGTGTTCTGAAACTCCAGGCCAAAGTAATCGCTCTCCATAATGTTTCCTGTTTGGAAAACCTCCATCAACAACGTCTGCCCCAGAGACTTGGGCTGAAAGGGAGAAAGAAAAGACAGAAACATTAATGATTAAACTCAGAAACAGGTCAAACTTCACTTCAGGCTTGGGTTAGGGTTAGAATCTATCAAGACAAGATTCTCACTACAGGTCTTGTGGTGTTGCACTTGTGAACAGCTTTTCATCACCGCATCTGTGAACAATCCTGCCTTTTACAGCCACACATGTTTCTTCTGTCAGTCCAAATAGTTTCCACGTATGGATCAGACCTGCGCGCTCGAAAGACACCAGCTAGCACCAAAATACATGGGACTGTCCGACAGGCCTGCACGGGGCTTGTTGCAGTAAATGGGAAGCTAATTGCTATGTGCGAAAGAGCGCTCTGCAATTGAGGTTTGGAGTCCGGGTCTAGAACTCCAGGAGAAAATTACAGCCCAAGACATCTGGTTGTAATGTGAAATAGTATTTTTAAATGTTGGAGAAAGAAAAGTGCTTTGAGTTGGTGCGAAAGGAGTCAAAAAGGCAGATGCATTATGTGTATACAATCAAAGTAAAGTGCATTGATAAAATAAATGTTAAGATTACAATATCATTATAGTATTTCTAAAAGATTTGAAGTTGTGGGAAAGAAGTCAAAAAGGAAAAAACATTATGTTCATGCAAAAAAGGTAATGTGAGTTGATAATAGAGAAGTTATGGTTCTGTAAACAATGAAATATTATATAAGTTGAATTATTGCAGAGAGGAAATAGTATTATCGTCTACGGCAAGGGGCTCCAGACCTTTTAGTAAGAGGGCCACTTTAGTACACCAGACTGGTCCAAGGTTAGGGTTTGGGGGCAGACCAAAGATTACAAAACTATTTCTACCTGATTTGAGTTCTGAGGTTTAGGGGTAATGAAATGTCCATCATTGATTCACATCACAGCTACATTCACACCATATGGAATTTAAAATGTCAGTACAAACGCCCGGATTCCAAAGGTTCTGAGCTTTACATCAAGGTATAATATGACAAGTTGGTGGAACTAAAGCTGGCTGGATGACCCTGTGAAAGTGACTAGTTTGTGTTAGCGGCAAAGGGCCACGGAAAATTACACAGCAAACCTGATCTATGGCAAAATGAATAGTTGTTGTATATCGTTATTTGTATGAATTGTCTTCATGTCCTACTATCAATGGTCCCGCTCCGTCGATCAGTGTCTTACCAATCGAGTGCGACATCACAGCTGATATATATGGGGATGTCTCTCACAGGGGGGTCTCAGTCTGTGGACCCTCTCTCTGACAACACTATGTAGCAGAAGGCCTCCAGCTGAGGACCTGAGCCTCTCTATGACACCATTCAACTCAATTCAATTTATTATTGAATAGCCCTAAATCACATCAGCGGTCATCTCAGAGGACTTAACAAAGCTGTTAAAATCACCAACACAGATTAGAGAATCAACAGTTAAGACATAAAAATATAGAACACATTGATATTGGTCCATAGAGAGAGACCAATGTCCATGACCATGTGTCCTTGTGTGTATGGTATATTTTCTTTTGTCTGTGTGTGTCTCGTGTAACTGTTTAGTGTCATTAACCGTTCTATTTTATAACTATTTGGTTTATGCCCAATATATTAAGCCACACCTAGATTCTGGTTATGACAACAGTGTTGCAACCAGCAAGAGCCAAGTCAGCAACTAGAACCAGAACAAAACTATATATATTGTTCATTCCAAAAAGTAAAAAGCAGTTTATATGTTTTCTCATTGCTGACAACAACAATAACTGAGAATGTGTTTTAAAGCTGTCTTTTCTTTTCTTTTTTCTCTCCATACTGTTCTGAATCCAGCTGCCAAAGGAAGAAAACGTGTGTTAAAATACTTACGGCAGTCTTTGAGCAGAAGCCAAACATACTATTAAAGAGCAAGGGCCCAATTTAATTTTTTCCACCCCAGTTCATGCTCCAATTACCTGCCCACAACATTTAAGAAAGCACTGTAAAAGCATTCTTCTATGCAGCCAATCTACGCAAACGAATTGCAAAGCAAAAATAGAGGTATGGCAAACATAACAAGACACATCTAATGCTAGTGTTTAATTGATTTCTTGTGTTGTCTTATTTTTTAGATTTTCTTTTCATAGAATCAAACGCTGGTGCGGCTGGACTTTCAATAGATACATTACATTTCAGTCCAGTAATAAAAAGGTTTTTGGCCGCTTATCTAATCCAAACAAAATGACAAACACAAAAAACACACTATAAATGCATTTATATTAATTTAATGTTGCACTGTGTTGTTAAGGGAATGTTAAGGGGTTATTAAAGTCACATTATGCTACCGTGCTACTTTCCAAGCACACCGTTACAGTTGGTGGAGCAGCCATGGCAGCTAGTCTATGGCCACAGAATGCATGAAAAACCCATATGCACAAAGTGTGAAACGTCTTGAGTAAAAAAAAAAAAAAAAGTGCGGTTCTTTTGAAAGACAAGTTGTATTTTTGTGTATTACCTTGTTATTTACATGTTTTGGCTGCAGAGCTGTGAGAAATCTTCACTAGTCTGGTAAATGTGTTTTTTCCCCTATCGCATCCAAATTAAACACCGGACAAACAATTATAAAGATTTATATAGTGCTGATGGAGAAATGTCGCTAGTGTAGATTCATCCAGTGGGTCAACTCTTTTATTGCCAGTTCTTAAAACGAGCAAACATTGAACATTACTGTGTCTGTGTGGCTCCTCCCTTTGGTTACTCATTATCCCACTTGAAGAATGTAAGAGTTCATTCACACCACTCCTGTGTCACGTATCCTCCACTCTGCCGCTTTGTGTCATCGACTGTATCTCTGCAAAGATCTGACGACATTAAACATAAAGCCACAGTCACAGAGAGGCGTCTGGAAATAACCCACGCTTTTGTCCAATCCACAATGAGATGATTGTTGTTGTATGAGATCAGTTCATCATTTAGTGCTTTCACTTCATTACTGTAGAGTTCAAGAACAAGTACAAATCTGCAATATGCTGTGAACGTTCAAGAGGATGAAATGTAAAGGAAAAGAAAGAAGAGATATGGAAACAAAGGCCTCCTCTCAATCAACCATCATGGGTCAGGTCGCAGGGGCAGCAGTCTGACCAGGAACCCACAGACTTCCCACTCCCCAGACACTTTCTCCATCAAATCAGAAATGATGTGTACCCATGGCCCAGATCCAGAGCTTCCAGCTGCCAACCCTAGCCCTAAGGAGGAGGCATCCAGGAGGGCTAAGGAGAAGATGCCCGAGCCACCTCAACCCTCTACTCTCGATATGGAGGAGAACAGGACCAAACTTATGCATCAAATATAATACATGGGGTGGTACATTTAAGAAAAGCAGCTAAACATGTCCTGATATTCCAAAAACCTAAATCAAAATTTTAATTAATGGAACTCTTATAAAATCCCTATAAAACAGTTCATCTCTAGTTTTATTAAAGTAATTCATATGGTTTCTATGTATCCTACATGATAAAACTGGTGAAAACAACCGAAATACAGCAAAAAACGAAATACTAACTGCCTCTTCTGTTGTATAAAAGTAGCTCTCCGATTGAAAAAGGTTGGAGACCCCTGGTCTAGGACCAGTCTCAGATCAAGATTATTTCATGAACATTTCCAAAACTAAAAGCCGTGAATTTGACTACTCTGGGAGTTCTAGTGTAAATACCATCAATAACCATCAATGCTGATGCTGAAAATAAAGACTATTTACACTATTTATCAACTAAATGACTAGATTACTGTATTACTGTATATCTTCCTGTGCAAGTATAGAAACATCAATAGTTCTATTTCACATCCTGTTGGCAGTGAGACTTGGTTTACAGTCACACTGTAAACCAAGGTCAATAGGTCGGCTGATTATGGGGATTATGGCACAAACAGATGTTTCTTGGCCATACTGCGTCCTAACAGACATGTGATGCCAATGACTCTGTTCAAAACACAAAATTAACAAGAACGCCCATTTTAAGAGTGAATAAAAGAGTAAATACATAATTGATTAACAACATTACACATAACTAAATGTGTTCAACCATCATCTGAAATGCAGCCATTATTGTCCATTGCACACTTCTGATCTGTCAGAAAAGGATCATCTAAGTAACAATGCTTTAATGCCTAACCAACTTTAATACTGTACATATCGGGATGTATGTATGCAGATAGTTCTGTTTTTGGAGGTCATAGGTCACAATTGAAAGGAAAGATTAAAAGACGTGAGAAGAAAAACATTCATATTGTAAAATCACATGATTCAGACAAGACCAACTCAACGGCAAGACCCACAGGAGGAGGCACAACTGAAAATGTAGCCAGATATTTGGGCAGCTGACAAAAAACCCACAGAGCAACAAAGGCAGTTTGAAGGTCACAGAAATGGAATTGACTGTTTAAAGTAACATTGTTGCACCATGCGGAAAAAATATCAATACTGGCAAATGGCTATCGGTCTATAGGTCCACTGCCCAGAAATGATGAATGATCTTTGAAATTCTTACATTGGGTCAAAGATGCTGCACTCCAGCAAACCTGCACCAGGATTGTCACTGTCATACGATTTAATAATGTAGAAATTAACTAAGATTTTGTTGTAATTATATTCTGTTCATAACTTTTCAACAAACAATCACATTTTGAAAAGTGGATTTATTCACAGTATGGACCAACTTTAGTATTCTATAGGGATCATGTCCCATGTGGGATCTAGAATCAATACTACATTTAAAAACAGAGCAGAAATTACATACAGTCTGTTGTGAAAAAGGAAAGCCATTAGGATGTTTATCTCGTGTAATAAATATTCAAAATAATGGTCAGACTTCACCATAAGCAGAAAAAGTAAAATAGTAGGTTATATGTAGTATTTCTAATGGATCATGAAGCAACAATATTTATTGCATGATCCTTTTGGATATAAAATATCAATTTCTGCAACAACAACAAAACAAAAAACAAACGATTAAAACTGCTTTATATATACTATTAATGTGGTGTTATAACATACAATGAAAGTGGCGTTATAAAAAACTACTGGATTACGCAGTCAAGATCAAGAAAAGTTTGGATCCCTTGTTTTGCCACAGTGCTAGTAAAATGTTAGAGTGAGGGCTCATGAGTATCTTGCCCGACAGGTTATATGGCCCCAGTCACACCAGCCTCCTGAGACGACTGTGTTGGGGCTTGCATGTAGCACAGTGGGAAGTTCATTGTTTAACTTTTGCCACTGGGAAAACGCATATTAAAATCACTTTCACGCAACGGTGAGACAGGCTTTGAATGTAGCCGATTCAACACCTCATATAGCGGGAACACTCGAGGACACTTGGCAAGAGACCGTTGGCAGAAACACAAAAACAAGTAATCGGGATCAGCTGAGGCACTACACCTTCTGTTCAGTTCACCTGTGCAACCTACATACATTACAGCACTGCATTCTGCCAGTCAAGACGATTCACAAACACACATATTTGAAATAAAAATCTTACAAAGCTAGTGTTTCAGCAGTAATATAGACAGGCAATGCATTTGTTATCACAAAGCTCCAACAACTGAGACACAGGGGATAAAAGGACAAATTAGAACAGTGAATATTGTCCAACTAAGCCAGAGCTAAGGCGACTGAACATAAATTGTACCACATCTGAATATGTAGAGAATGAAAAGTGACTTGGGTGTAGACTAAAAACATTACAAGTAAGTAAATCACAACCAACAATCGATAAATAAGTAAATCACAGTAACTATCTCATCCACCATTAAGTGACAAATTATACAAATTAATAATGCATTGGTTTTATATAAGGCTCTTTTTGGATTATTTTTGTCATGAACTACGACTGTAGCTACAGCTGCCATGGGGCACACTGACAGAAGCGAGGCAACCAGTTTGTGTCATCAGCCCTTCCAATCACCACCAACCATTCATTCTAAGCAAAGTAGGGTGAAGTATCTTGCCTAAAGACACAACAATAGGCTCTTTACAGCCACCCTGCTGGGGAACCTGGTCTCCTCAGAGGTCTCCCATCACAGTACAAGCCAGGCCCTGCCCTTCTTAGCTTCAGATGTCTGACGGGATCTGGCTTTCACATTGGAGACCACAAAATAATTGCTATTCTAAGCAATTGTAAGACAGGATGAACCTTCCTAAGCTAATAATTGATTCTTGCTTTCAATTATGCTGGTCCCCAAGTCAGTGACTAATAAACTACTATAAGGTATTTCAATTCTGCTTAGCACATGCCCCACGTCGCCCCCTGCAGAGAGCTGGCAGAGCATGAGAGACGTCAACAAATGAGCTGAAACGGCAAAGATAAACTGGTGACGCATGCATTCAGAAGCTTGTCATTCTCACATGCTTTCAATAATTTCAACAAAGTCAAATAAACCTAATGTTACTCGATGGGGCAGTCTAACATAGAAAAAGTATACACCAGTTTTAAGTTGCATGGTTACCGCACGATATCAATAACAAAGTTGCACTACAAGCGCCGCGTTCTGTTCCTTAAACCAAACAAGGTAATCAAATCTGTGTAGCAAAGGGGTCCATTGCATGAATGTTGTAAGCCTGACGCCACAGTTTACTGGTCCAGCATTCCTCCTCTGCCTGAGAGTGTTAACTGTGATCCTTTTGAGCAAAGCCGGCTGGTCATTAGGCTAATTTTGTGTACTGTGAGATAATGCGTGCAGAGTGACTGAAATAAAAGCAAGAGTGTGTTTAATTTTAGCCTCCACTAAAATCCACTTAATTTTAGACTTCCAGACCACCTTTAGCCTATGTTTCTGGCGGGACAGAGCAAGCGGTTACTCGACTATTGACATGAGCTACAAAGAGATTATTATTTTTCCTCATCAACCTATCAAATTTGACAATTATCTCCCAGCTTTTCACGTCTTCAGCTAAAGCATAACCCTTGCTGTGGGGTTCGTAAGCACAACCAAAGTATAATTGATTTAATTGGATGCATTGCTACTAGTATTTTCATTCAATTGTTTGAAGTATAGTAGTCCCATGGTTCTCAAACTGGGCTCCAGGTACCTCAGTGGTTCACTTGAACAAGGCTTTCCTCGAATGTTTATTGGTATACATACTACCTGATCAAAACTCAACTCTAAATGTGTTGGCAACGTCAAGCTCGGCATTAGCAATCGCACGCGTTGTTCTTTAAATGTTGTTAAATTGTCATAAGATTTTTTTAAATACATTTACAGTCTTGGTGAACTCAAAATCAGAATTATTTTATTTTATTGCCATAGTAAGTAACAGGAAGCAAAAGAGTTATAAAAGTAAAAATACAAATAAGCCATAGATAAAAATGATTTGATTACTACTATATAAGATAAGATGTGCTTTATTTATCTCACATAGGAGAAATTTACAATATATACAAGTACTCAATATGGTGTTATACCTTAAATTGTGGTGGAAGGTATTAGGGGCTCCTTGGGATGTTTTCAAATGCAAAAAGGTTATTCATTTACTAACATTTTAATTATATATATTCAAAAATACTGTATTTTTACTGACATTGGAATGCATTACGACATCTGTCATAATGGCAACGTGTACTTCCCATATATTAGATATATACAAATTTCTTTTAACACCAACAAGTGAAGAATTTATTATCTATCTTAATACTGGCCTTCTGGTTCTGAGAAGAGTAATTTGATTAAATCCAACCCTAATACCACAGGTCGATTGCATCTTGTTACATATCTTCCACACTGGTCAAATTCCTGTCCTGAGTCAATGCTCTGGACCTCACCCCTCCCCCACTGGCCCCAAAACTTTGCCCCGTCTCTCTCAGAACTGCTCTTTTACCACCAGAAGCTCACCCCTCTGCCCCCCTCTCCACCGCAGCCTACTCGCTGTCAAACCCTGCTATTTATGTTCTTGTTTGCCCAACACTATAGGCAAAGCGGAGCAGGCCGTATGCCGCAGCTTCACACGGTTCAATGCTGGTCTTGGCTTGGTCTTTGGGACAATTTTAAATGGATTTAGTCTTGGTTCAAGTTCATCCAAGTTCTGAGTTTAATCCACGTGTTAGTCCTGGATTCAGTCCTAGTTTTGATCCCTAGCTTGGATTGTGATATGATCTCTGTTCACTCCGACAAATGGGCAGGGTTTTGAGCTTGTTGACTACAGATCTATTGTCCTATGTATCTAATATTTGGAGGAACATAGCGATTTCATTTGTTAAGGTGGATTAACTTAATTCAAGAATCAGTCCTGCACCACACAGCCTCAGTCCTTGTTATACACCCGGAGTCCTGGATCTATAGCCTGTCCGTCCATGGAAGTGGATTCCTCTCTCAATTTGGGCCTCCCTAAGGTTTCTCATATTTTTCACACTGGGTTTTTTTTAGTCATTCCTTGACAATAAAGAAGGGTCTTAAGGACAGTGATGCTCCTACATCCAGGACATTTATTACCATTTAAGGACATTGGTCATCCCGCTCCCTATGGACTAATGGCGTTTGAATTGTTTACCCAAGACAGTACAATGTAATTTCAAAAGGCTTCGAATATTGCAGTAGTGTTGTCACAATACAATTAATACAAACTCTATTCCTGTACTAAGAAATATAGTGATTTCCGACACCAAATGTGAGAAAATGGGAACAATAATGAGCTGCCATTTTCAAAATAAAAAACAAAATGGCATCACAATCATAGTCTTTACACTATGTTTAGTAATGATTAATATTTAAATATTGTATTGTATTGTATTGTATTTTTGAACCAGGTACATGTTATTTGTCTGTTATATTGATGCATGTAAAAATATGTATTGTATTTTTATATTTCAAACCTGCACATCTAATTTGTGTTATTGACAAGCGTAGTCTGATTTATAAGACCTTTCCTTTTTTTTCCTCTCACTATTTTATTCTTGTTTAGAGATTTCTAATTTCTTACTTCAAGCTTTATCCCCCAGTTTAATGCAGGGTTCTTTCTACAGTCCTGTCCTCGACAATACTCCTATACCCCATGCTTTGGTCCAGGTCCAAACTGTTGCCATCTCTTTCTTCTCTTCCAAGTTGTGCTGAAAGTTTTGGGGCTTGCTCAGAGGGGATAAAGGGAGCCTGTGTTGCCCTGGCCCGGTTGCCCTGCCTCCCCTGTCCCGAAACCACAAGGCCGGGCTTTCTCTGGAGCTCCGAGTGGGCAGGGCAAATGGAGCAAAGCCAGGAGATGTTCCTTGTAATTCACACATCAGTTGATGTTGAGTGATTCATGCATATCAAAAGTAATATTATTTTGTTTACACCCAAGACATGTTTTATTTTGACAGGGAAGGATACAGAGTACCAGAATCTATTTCATGGAAGCCCTGGTACAATAACAATAAAATATTTATAATGCCATCCATCCATCCATTTTCTACCCTTTAATCCATTTCTGGGTCAGGGGGGTGGCAATCAGAGATGCCACCCAAGTCTCATAGCACCAGCCCCTCACTGACCCTCTGCAGGTGGTGAGTCCACAGGAGGATGGCTGCTCTCTGAGCGGCCTTGATCTTACAGTGGGGGCTTTTATGGGCAAAGTAGGGTTAAGTGTCTTGCCCAAGGACACAACGACAGCAGTCATCAGTGGGAGTCGGTGGAGAAGGTGTAGAGGTGGGAATTGAACCCACGACCTTCAGGCCTTAAGGCCAATGCTCTACCAACTGAGCTACTGTCGCCCTTCAAATATTTATAATGTATTCAGTTAAACGGGCATTATGCAACTTAATGTTGCCCTTTTTGACCAACGGCTGTATGAGTGGTCAGCATGGTGCCTTTGCTTTTCTGGAACAGTCTTCCAAAGAGATAATAATGTGAGACAGGCTTCGACTCTAATAATGTTCAAGTCCCGGTTTGAAAAAAGCATACAACCTACAACTGAAAAGGTGAATCTTCACACTTGATAGATAATTTGGGGCCAAATACAATATATCTTGTTCAACATTGTTTGAGACCGATATTGAGAATTCAAATAGTAAAAAATATCAAAATGGATCACAAGACCCAAATTATCCCTATAAAATATACAGAGGCATGATATGTCTTCTATCACAGTTCCACATGTTAAACAACTTCCTCTTAAGATTGAATAAAAGTCATTATTTTTTGTTAGAGCCACGGTAATAATAAAGTATCTGTCTCTTGGTCTCACCCGTGCAGTCCTCGCGGTCCTTGTGCGTGGGGGAGTAGTGCTTGCAGAGTCTCTCCAGTATGAGCTTGTAATGCATCAGTCTCTGGATGGGCTTCAGCAGAAACGTGTTCAGAGGGAGATAACAGACTTTCTGCAGCTCAAACTCTTTATAAACCGTCTCCAATTTCTTCAGTCGCTTCGAGGCCTTCTCCAGCTCTGTCAGCACCTCGTCGTGTTTCTGAAGGTAACCGGTGAACTCCTGGGAAGCACAGAGCAGAGAATGAGCCCATGTACTCATGTTATGATCATCTACAAACGTTAGCAGGACTTTGGACTGTAAACACCTGCAGCAAGAATTTAAGTTCAGATAAAGACAATTCAAGAAAAACTATTTTATTTTGTGTCAATTCTTCCATGTTCTCCATCTAGAAGCCTTCAGTCAGTTTCAGCCTCTGTATAGTGTGTTGACAAAAAATAAATAAAAAAAACAATACACAAAAGAAATAATCATTTGACTAGCCGACACATTGAAATTAAATAGATTAAATAATGGTTAGAGATAGCCCTAATCAAGATGTATACTCTCCACAACAATGTATTTTTATTTCAGGATAAGCTCTACAGACAAATTAAAGGGACTGCAATGGGAGCTGCGTATGCCCCAAGCTACACTGCTTTGTTTTTGGGACTGTGGGAGAAGACATACATCTACAGTGAAAAAAATCAATTCCTACGATACATCAAATGGTATGGAAGATATATTGATGACCTGTGTCTCATCTTCACTGGTACAGAACACAAACTTCATGAATTCCACAAATATCTTAACTCCACTAACATCCACCTTAAACTGAGCCTGGACTACAGTAAGTCTTCAATAAACTTTCTGGACTTACACATCACAAAAGACAATGAGGGATACATTCACACCTCTATTTACAGAAAAAACACAGACCGCAATACAATTCTGAGGGCCGACAGCTACCACCCCTCACACCTAAAAAACAATATCCCCTTAGCCCAGTTTCAGAGATTAAGGCGATTGTGCGATACAGACTCTGACTTTGAAGAGCAGGCGTCTGCTATGAGCAGGCGATTCCAACAAAAGAGGATATAACAAGCACGCACTAAAACAAAGCTTACTTAAGGTCAAACGGATGGACAGAGAAACATTATTTCAAAAAAGGCCACGTCCTCCCAGGAGAGCACAAGTATGTTTTTCAACTCCATATAGTGCCAGATGTCGGGATGTCACAAACATAATCAGAAACAACTGGAGCATAATAGAGAGTGACCCTCACCTTAAACTGGTATTCCCTGAACCTCCGGCCTTCTGTTACAGACGTGCGCCCACTTTGAAGGACCAGATAGTGCGGAGTTACCTACCTCCCACTCGCCCCGCCACATGGTTAGATCTTCCCAAAGGAACATTCCCCTGTGGAAACTGTAACCACTGCTCCAACATTGAAAGATCCTCTTCATTCATAGACCATAAAGGTAAAAAAATTGATCTAAAAAACTATGCCAACTGCAATACATGCTTTGTGGTGTACAAACTGGAATGAGAGTGTGGTTGTTTTTATATTGGAAGAACAAAAAGGAGACTGAAGGACAGATTTGCTGAGCACAAACGCGCAATAAAAAAGAATGATCCTCAGTACCCAATGGCTGTCCACTTTCACACGGCCGGACACACAAACATCAACAAACTAAAAGTGATGGTAATTGACTCCATCCCAAAATCACCCAGAGGTGGAGATAGACTCACCCACCTGCTGCAACGTGAAACCTTTTGGATTGTGAATCTGAATGCCACATCCTTTCCTGGACTGAATGGCGAAATTGATTTTTCACCATTCCTTTGAATGTGTATGTGTATGAGTAACATGATTTATGAGATGATTTTTTATTTTGTGGAACAGTGTGTACAGTAGGAAACTTGTGCCCCCTAGGTTATCTGCTCTATTACCTGTTTTACAGATATTATCTCTACACTTCCAGCGAATGTATATAACTGTATATATATATAGATAATATAATTGTAAATATGTATTTTCCCTTTTCTCTGTGTGCATTGTAATCTTGATGTAAATACACCAGTGCATGTTTAGAGGAGGGCCGAATGAAGCCCCTCCCTATATAAATCACATGATCACTGGTGTCACCATTTGCACCCTGAAGAAGGCCAAGTCAGGCTGAAACGCGTTGGTGCGTATTTTAATCCACAGCCATGAACAAATAAAAGCTTTTTAAATTTCTAAACCACTGACCACGAGTGCCTTGGAGTTTTTTGATTTTCTAAATTATTCACCATTTGCTTTTTACCTAGAAAGTCAAAACTTAATCTTTTTGGTTACCAAGATGTATACGTGTTTGTGGTTATTGAGAAGGCTGGCATACAAATTTCTTTAAGGACCTTTTTATCAATGTGGGAAATCTCCTTTTACTGGTTATTTTTTGAGTCGTTCCTTGCCGATGCAGAATGGTCTAAGGACAGTCTTAGGACAGATCCAGGACATTTATGGACAGTGGTCATCCCGCTCCCCAAGTGCAAATGCTTCTAAATGTTTGTAATCATTGCATTATTCCTGTGTTCAAACTGCATGATTCTCTAATATGTTGTTGGTGAATGGATAAGTAGTAGTAAGTAAGTAAGCTTTATTTATATACCGCCTTTTCACTGCACATAGGAGTCTCAAAGCGGTTTACAATTGTTATTTTTTGGAGTGGGGGTGCCAGTACAGGAGGCACATGCCAGACCTATTGTACATATTTTTAGTGGTAGGGGAAACCGGAGCACCCGGAGGAAACCTACACAGACACGGGGAGAACATGCAAACTCCACTCAGAAAGGCCCTGGTCCAACCGGGATTCGAACCCAGGACCTTCTTGCTGAGAGGCGAGAGTGCTATCCACTCAGCCACCGTGCCGCCCAACTTCTTCTCCATGGCCTCCATGGCCTCACACCGAAGTACATTAGTAACATGTTAGTCCCATATGAACCAACTCGGACTCTGAGGAGCACAGGAAGTAGCCTCTTGCTGGTTCCAAGAGTCAGAACTAGACATGGGGAGGCAGCGTTTCAGATTTATGCTGCTAAAATCTGGCATCTGCTCTAGCAGTTTTCAAATCCAGGTTAAAAACAGTTCTGTTTAGCTGTGCATACAACTGAAGGATTTTATATTTACTCTTTTTGATGCATTGTGGCTATTTATCATTTTAATCCAGTGTGTGATTTGAATCTTTTAAAGTTTTGGATTACTTGTGATTTTATTCTGTTTTTAATATTTCTTGTGTTTTTTTAATGTATATGTAGATCTTAATGTTTATGATTTGCTTGATTTGATGTTGGTTGCGAGACGCTTTGTGTTTCCTTGTGTAGGAAAGGCGCTATACTGCGGAGCCCCTTTGATGACATGGTCCAGAAAAAAATATATTTTGTGGCCACAATATACAGTAGCTATAATGTGCGCACAAAATACTAATTTGTGGCCACAAAATACTACTTGGGGCGCACAAAATACTAATTTGTGGCCACATATTAGTATTTTGTGCGCACATTATAGCTATATTGTGGCCACAATTATTATTTTTTGACCATGTCATCAGAATATTATACAAATAAAAGTTGATTGATAACTTTGTAAAATTCTTTGAGACTGCTGTTGTGACTTAGTGTGATACAAAAACAATCATGTATTAAAAGTACCTTCAGTGCAGACATGTTGCGGAGCATGACGTCCCCGATCCTCTGGTAGTCCCCTTTCACGTGAGCGTTGGACCGGCCCTCCCTGGACACAAACTTTTATAAAACAGCTGCATCTTCACACATCACACGAACCACCCTCAGGTATAATTCATTAATTCATTCAGTCATTAAAATCCAGGTCAAACACAGACCACAGGGCGAGGCGCTGATCCAGCTCTTTGAGGAATCCGCGGTGAAACTCGTAGATGGGGTCGATGTTGGAGAAGAGCAGGTTCATGAGGCCCTCAGGCATGGCGTTCTCTTTGATCACAGCACTGCGGAACCACTGCAGGCCACAAACAAAACACACTTCATATGGGAACAGATAGGGACAGACAGTTGTGCTTGAAAGTATATACACCAGTGACGTGCGGTCAGGTGAGGCACAATCATGGAAAGAAAAAATAATAAATGGAATCAATAATACTTGGTCACTAAATTAAGGGATTCCCGAGTCATCTGAGTCATTCCTTACCAAAAAAGGACGAGGACAGTGATGATCCAGGAGATTTACTAACATTTATGGACATTGGTCAATGTCCAAAAAAGCACTATAGAAAAACCAATGCATTATTATTATTATGCCATTAAAGTTGCTTGTTCCATTACAAATCTTCTTTTAAGACCATATGATGTAAGCAAATATGAACTGACCACAAAACATTTCACTTATTGAATTAAATCTTGTTGCATAATGTGGTTTTGTGTATTCAAAAACTGCCGTAAGAATTCCCATGAATAAAACACTATGAAAGTATACCCCAACACGCTCGGCTGGATTTAAAGCTGGGGTTTTATGAGAAGCCTATAATTACAGCTTGAACAGCCAATTTCCATGTTTATTTAAGCACGGGCTGATGCACACGACTCTTTCAACCCTGAGAAGTTTATTGTCGAGTCAACACATTACATAATTGTATAGCACAATACTAGAATTGTTTTATTATGATGGAATGGGCGCTGAAGCTTACCACAGTGATGACCTCAAGATCTTTCAGATAAGTCCGTTCCGTCGTCAGAATCTCTTTGGCGATGAAGTAGGCCTTGTCAGTGGGATACCGCTACGAGACGCAAAAGCAAAGGAAAATAAGTTTCAAAGATATGTCTATAAAAGGCTTGAAAGCAGCAGTAAAGCAAAGACTTGAACAGGGTTTGGATTATGTATAAACAATTATTGGAATAACTAAAAATGCAGGTCTAAGCTGCCTCAGTTTGATTCCTGGATCTACAGGGTGTACGTCCGTGGGAGCGGATCCTTCTCGCAATGTGGGCCTCCCCGAGGTTTCTTACTTTTTCCCACTGGGTTTTAGAGTTGTTCCTTGCCGATTCAGGACACTCAACATTCAACAACATTTATGGACATTGGTCATCTGCCCCTTACGGACCAATGGCTCTATGTTTTTTTTTAATTTTTATTTCACAGACATTTCTTGTGTTTGAACTGTTTGATTCTCTGAATCTGTTGTTGGCGAACTCCAACGATTTCGACAGCTGGTACAAACAGGTGGTTTTTTTTGTTTTTTTTATTTTTTTTTTTTTTTTTTTTTTTTTTTTTTTGTTTTTTTTTTTTTTATTTTTTTTTTTTTTTTTTTTTTTTTGTTTTTTTTTTTTTTTTTTTTTTTTTTTTTTTTTTTTTTTTTTTTTGTTTTTTTTTTTGTTTTTTTTTTTTTTTTTTTTTTTTTTTTTTTTTTTTTTTTTTAAAAAAAGTTTTGTTTTTTTTTTTTTTTTTTTTTGTTTTTTTTTTTTTTTTTTTTTGTTTTTTTTTTTTTTTTTTTTTTTTTTTTTTTTTTTTTTTTTTTTTTTTTTTTTTGTTTTTTTTTTTTTTTTTGTTTTGTTTTTTTTTTTTTTTTTTTTTTTTTTGTTTTTTTTTTTTTGTTTTTTTTTTTGTTTTTTTTTTTTTTTTTTTTTTTTTTTTTTTTTTTTTTTTTTTTTTTTTTTTTTTTTTTTTGTTTTTTTTTAAATAGGTTGGTAGAGCTTTTGATCTTTGAACTTAAAGGTGGTCCGGTTTCGATTGCCCCATGACTCATGTCACCTGCTCCCACGATATCGCTGGTCTTTTGTTCCCTGGGCATGTCAATGATGGCATTAATAAAATATATATTGAATTTTGATTGTTCGGTCTTTGTACTAATTAGTAGCACGTGCTTATCTTAAAGAGAAGATTATAGAGTTTGGCTGCCCCTATGGTCATAGCTTAGTTATGGAAAATACTCTTCTACATTGTTTTCTTCCTATATTAGTGGAATTAAAGTTGGGTGTGGCATAACTTTCACACAACGAAACAATTAATGTAATGAAAAAGTACACTATTTCCACATTATATATTTTGGGGCTTTTGCCACAAATCTTTGGATCAATTTCTCTAGACTAAAGTTTTGAAAAAACAGACAAATCTTACATCTATAGTCTTGTTTTTTTTTAAAACTTTTAGTCTAAAAGGAAATCGGATCCAAAGAATGTGGCAAAGCCCCAAAATATATACATGTGGAAACTAGTGTACTTTTTCATTACATTAAATGTTTAGTTGTTTGAAAGTTATGCACCCCAACTTTAATTCCACTAATGATAGGAAGAAAACCCAAGGTAGAAGAGATATTTTCCATTAACTAATATATGACCACTAGGGGCAGCAAACTCTATAATCTTCTCTTTAAGATAGCACCTGCTACTAATCTAGTACAAAGACAGAACAATCATAATTCATTATATATTTATTAATGCCATCATTGACTTGCCCAGGGACACAACGACAGCAGATATCAGTGGGAGCAGGTGACATGAGTCATGGGGCAATCGAACCGACAACCTTTAAGTTCAAAGATCAAAGCTCTACCAACTAAACCACTGTTGACCCAGCTTTACAGAATCGTTGAGTTCGCCAACACAGATCAGAGAATCAAACAGTTCAAACACAAGAAATGCTGTGAAATAAAAATTAAAAAAAACATAGACCATTGGTCCGTAAGGGCAGATGACCCAATGTCCATAAATGTTGTTGAATGTTGATGTCCTGCATCGGCAAGGAACAACTCTAAAACCCAGTGGGAAATAGTAAGAACCCTCGGGAGGCCCCACTTTGCGAGAAGGATCCGCTCCCACGGACGTACACCCTGTAGATCCAGGAATCAAACTGAGGCCGCTTAGACCTCATTTTTAGTTATTCCAATAATGTTTATACATAATCCAAACCCTGTTCAAGTCTTTGCTTTAACTGCTGCTTTCAAGCCTTTTATAGACGATATCTTTGAAACTTATTATTCTTTGCTTTTGCGTCTCGTAGCGGTATCCACTGACCCGGCCTACTTCATCGCCAAAGAGATTCTGACGACGGAACGACTTAATCTGAAAGATCTTGAGGTCATCACTGTGTATGCTTCATCGCCCATGCCATCATAAAAAAAACATCTAGTATTGTGCTATACATTATGTAATGGTTTGAACCTCGACAATAAACTTCTCAAGGTTGAAAGAGTCGTTGCATCACCGTGCTTAAATAAACATGGAAATTGGCTGTGCTCAAGCTGTAATTATAGGCTTCTCAGAAAAACCCCAGCTTTACATCCAGCCGAGCGGGTTGGGGGTATGACTTGCATAGTGTTTTTATTCATGGGAATTCTGACGGCAGTTTTTGAATACACAAAACCAATTATGCAACAAGATTTAAGTCAATAAAGTGAATTGTTTGTGTCAGTTCAATATTTTGCTTACATCATATGGTCTTAAAAGAAGATTTTGTAATGGAACAAGCAACTTTAATGCATAATATATAATGCTTTGGTTTTTCTATAGTGCTTTTTTTGGACATTGACCAATGTCCCATAAATGTTAGGAAATCACCTGGATCATCACTGTCCCTCGTCGCTTTTTTTGGTAAGGAAAGGAATCAGATGACTCGAATCCCTTAATTTTAGTGACCAAGATTTTGAATCCATTTATTATTTTTTTCTTTCCATGATGGTGCCTCACCTGACCGCACGTCACGGGTGTATATACTTTCAAGCACAACTGTCCTGTCCCTATCTGTTCCCATATGAAAGTGTTGTTTTGTTTGTGGGCCTGCAGTGTTCCGCAGTGCTGTGATCAAAGAGAACGCCATGCCTGAGGGCCGTTTCCCATGAACCTGCTTCTTCTCCAACATCGACCCCATCTACGAGTTTCACCGCGGATTCTCAAAGAGCTGATCAGCGCCGCGCCCCGGTGGGCTTGTTTGACCTGTAATTTAATGACTGAATGAATTAAATATTAGACTGAGGGTGGTCGTGTGATGTGTGATGATGCAGCTGTTTTATAAAAGTGATGTCCAGGGAGGTGCCGGTCCAACACTCCACTGAAAGGGAACTACCAGAGATCGGGGACGTCAGGCGCCGAACCATGTCTGCACTGAAGGACTTTTAATACAGGATTGTTTTGTATCCCACTAAGTCACCACACCCGCAGTCTCAACGAATTTTACAAAGTTTTATCAATCAACTGTTTAATTTTGTATAATATTCTGAAGACATGTCATAAAATAATAATTGTGGCCACACATATAGCTAAATGTGCGCACAAAAATACTAAATGTGGCCACAAATTAGTAATTTTTGTGCGCCCCAAAGTATTATGTGGCCACAAATTGTATTTTGTGCGTCACCTTATAGCGACTGTATATTGTGGCCACAAAATATATTTTTTTCCTGGACCATGTCATCAAAGGGGCTCCGCAGTATAGCGCCTTTCCTACACACGGAAACACAAAGCGTCTCGCAACCACATCAAATCAAGCAAATCATAAAACATTAAGATCTACATATACATTAAAAAAACACAAGAAATATAAAAACGAATAAAATCACAAGTAATCCAAAACTTAAAAATTCAAATCACACACTGGGATAAAATGATAAATAGCCACTATGCATCAAAAAAGTAAATATAAAATCCGTCAGTTGTATGCACAGCTAAACAGAACAGTTTTTAACCTGTTTGAAAACTGCTAAGCAGATGCCAGATTTGAGCAGCATAAATCTGAAACGCTGCCTCCCAGGGCTAGTTCTGACCTCTTGGAACCAGCAAGAGGCCTACTTCCTGTGCTCCTCAAGTCCGAGTTGGTTCATATGGGACTATCAGTTACTAATGTACTTCGGTGGAGGCCATGGAGGCCATGGAGAAGAAGTTGGGCGGCACGGTGGCTGAGTGGATAGCACTCGCGCCTCTCAGCAAGAAGTCCTGGTTCGAATCCCGGTAGGACCCGGCCTTTCTGAGTGTAGTTTGCATGTTTCTCCCCGTGTCTGTGTAGGATTCCTCCGGGTGCTCCGTTTCCCCTACCACCTAAAAATATGTACAATAGTTCTGGCATGTGCCTCCTGTACTGGCAACCCCCACTCCAAAAAATAACAATTGTAAAACCGCTTTGAGACGCCTATGTGCAGTGGAAAAGGCGGTATATAAATAAGCTTACTTACGTACTACTACTTATCCATTCACCAACACAGATTTAAGAATACATGCAGTTTTGAAACACAGGAATAATGCACTATTACAACATTTAACGCATTTCACTTAGGGGAGCGGGATGACCACTGTCCATAAATGTCTGGATCTGTCCTAAACTGTCCATAGACCAGTCTGCATCGCTAGAACGACTCAAAAAATACACCAGTAAAAGAGATTGTCCCACATTGAAAAAAAGGTCCTTAAAGAAATTTGTATGCCAGCCCTTCTCAATAACCACAAACCACGATACATCTTGGGAACCAAAAAGATTAAGTTTTGACTTTCTAGTGTAAAAGCAAATGGTGAATAATTTAGAAAATCAAAAAACTCCCAAGGCACTCGTGTCAGTGGTTTAGAAATTTAAAAAGCTTTTATTTTTTGTTCATGGCTGTGGATTAAAATACGCACCAACGCGTTTCAGCCTGACTTGGCCTTCTCAGGTGCAAATGGTGATCACAATGATCATGTGATTGATATAGGGAGGGGCTTCATTCGGCCCTCCTCTAAAACATTGCACTGGTGTATTTACATCAAGATAACATGCACACAGAGAAAAGGGAAATACATATTTACAATTAGATTATCTATATAAGATACTAGGTTATATACATTCGCTGGAAGTGTAGAGATAATATCTGTAAAACAGGTAATAGCCAGCAGATATCCTAGGGCAACAATGTCCTACTGTACACACTGTCCACAAAATAAAAAATCATCTATAAATCATGTTACTCATACACATACACATTCAAAGGAATGGTGAAAAATCAATTTCGCCATGTCAGTCCAGAAAGGAGGTGGCATTCGGGGGGGAGATTCACAATCCAAAGTTTCAAGTTGCAGCAGGTGGGTGAGTCCTAATCGCCACCGGCCCCTGCACTCGGGTGATTTTGGATGGATTCATTACCATCACATTTAGTTTGTTGATGTTTGTGTGTCCGGCCGTGTGAAAGTGACAGCCATTGGTACTGAGATCATTCTTGGTTTTAATTGCGCGTTGTGCTCAACAAATCTGTCCTTCAGTCCCTCCTTTTGTTCTTCCAATTTAAAACAAACCACAACTCTCATCCAGTTTGTACACCACAAAGCATGTATTGCAGTTTGGCATAGTTTTAGATCAATTTTTTTACCTTTATGGTCTATGAATGAAGAGGAACTTTCATGTTAGGAGCAGTGGTTACGTTTCCACAGGGGAATGTTTTCCTTTGGAAGATCTAACCATGTGGCGGGCGAGTGGAGGTAGGTATCTCCGGCACATCAGGTCCTTCAAAGTGGGCGCACGACGGTAACAGAAGGCCGGAGGTTCAGGAATACCAGCTTAAGGGGAGGTCACTTCTCTATTATGCTCCAGTTGGTTCTGATTATGTTTGTGACATCCCGACTCTGCACTATATGATTTGAACACAGACTTGTGCTCTCCTGGTAGGACGTGGCCGTTTTGAAATAATGTTTCTCTGTCCATCGTTTGACCTTAAGTAAGCTCTGTGTTATATGCGTGCTTGTTTATCCTCTTTTGTTGGAATCCGCCTGTCATAGCAGACGCCTGCTCTTCAAGTCAGAGTCCTGTCTCGCCAACATTCGCCTTAATCTCTGAAACTGGCTAAGGGGATATGTTTTTTAGGTGTGAGGGTGGTAGCTGTCGGCCCTCAGAAGTGTATTGCGGTCTGGGTTTTTTCTGTACATAGAGGTGTGAATGTATCCCCTCATTGTCTTTTGTGATGTGTAAGTCCAGAAAGTTTATTGGAAGATATACAGGAGTCCAGGCTCAGTTAAGTGGATGTTAGTTGGAGGTTAAGATATTTGTGGAAAATTCATGAAGGTTGGTTCTGTACAAGTGAAGATGAGACACAGGTCATCAATATATCCTTCCATACCATTTGATGTATCGAAGGAATTGAGTTTTTTCACTGTAGATGTAATGTCTTCTCCCACATCCCAAAACAAAGCAGTGGTAGCTTGGGGCATACGCAGCTCCCATGGCAGTCCCTTTATTTGTCTGTAGAGCTTATCCTGAAATAAAAATACATTGTTGTGGAGAGTATACCATCTTGATTAGGGCTAGATCTAACCCTTATTTAATCTAGTTTTAATTTCAATGTGTCGCTAGTCAAATATTATTTCTTTTGGTGTAGTGTTTTTTTAGTTATTTTTGTCAACACACAATACAAGGCTGAAACTGACTGAAGGCCTCTAGATGGAGAACATGGAAGAATTACACAAAAAAAAATAGTTTTTCTTGAATTGTCTTTATCTGAACTTAAATTCTTGCTGCAAGTGTGTACAGTCCAACGTCCTGCTAACGTATGTAGATGATCCATACATGAGTACATGGCTCATTCTCTGCTCTGTGCGTCCCAGGAGTTTCACCGTTACCTTCAGAAACACGACAGGTGCTGACAGAGCTGAGAAGGCCTCGAACGACTGAAGAAATGAGACGGTTTATAAAGAGTTTGAGCTGCAGAAAGTCTGTTATCTCCCTCTGAACACGTTTTCTGCTTGTGATCCATTTTGATATTTTTTACTATTTGAATTCTCAATATCAGTCTCAAACAATGTTGAACAAGATATATTGTATTTGGCCCCAAATTATCTATCAAGTGTGAAGATTCACCTTTTCAGTTGTAGGTTGTATGCTTTTTTCAAACCGGGACTTGAACATTATTAGAGTCGAAGCCTGTCTCACATTATTATCTCTTTGGAAGACTGTTCCAGAAAAGCAAAGGCACCATGCTGACCACATCATACAGCCGTTGGTCAAAAAGGGCAACATTAAGTTGCATAATGCCCGTTTAACTGAATACATTATAAATATTTGAAGGGCGACAGTAGCTCAGTTGGTAGAGCATTGGCCTTAAGGCCTGAAGGTCGTGGGTTCAATTCCCACCTCTACACCTTCTCCACCGACTCCCACTGATGACTGCTGTCGTTGTGTCCTTGGGCAAGACACTTAACCCTACTTTGCCCATAAAAGCCCCCACTGTAAGATCAAGGCCGCTCAGAGAGCAGCCATCCTCCTGTGGACTCACCACCTGCAGAGGGTCAGTGAGGGGCTGGTGCTATGAGACTTGGGTGGCATCTCTGATTGCCACCCCCCTGACCCAGAAATGGATTAAAGGGTAGAAAATGGATGGATGGATGGCATTATAAATATTTTATTGTTATTGTACCAGGGCTTCCATGAAATAGATTCTGGTACTCTGTATCCTTCCCTGTCAAAATAAAACATGTCTTGGGTGTAACAAAATAATATTACTCATATGCATGAATCACTCAACATCAACTGATGTGTGAATTACAAGGAACTATAAAGGAAAGGAACTATAACATGGTCAAAAGCAGTGAAAAGTCTGTTTTGAATGGATAAAATCACATTTTTTTCATGCCACTGCCACATAAAACCAATAGAGTGAGAGTGGCAGGTCAAACACTGCAAATTGGAACTGTGCTATTTCCAGTTTTGTATGTGTGAAAACAACAAACACAATGAGAAGTAATGATCTTTTCATCAACTTGTTAATTTGTTTGTTCCAGGGGATAAAAAAAAAAAAGTCCTAACAAAGAAGCTGCAGCTCGAGAGTCCTGACTCAAACCAGGAAGTATGATCACAGTCCAGTTCTCAGGTCTCTGCTCTTGCTTCCTGTGGCTCAGATAATAGACTTTAAATCAGCTCTGCTCGTTACAAGTCTCTACAAAGTACTTTTGTGACATATCAGTGCCAAATGGACCAACTCAGACTCTGAGAAGCACAGGGTGCAGGCCTCCTGCTGGTGCCCAGAGTGAGAGAATATATTCAGCTAAAATCTGGAACAGTCTTCCTGAAAACTGAAACAATATTCTTCTCTGACAATGTTCAAATCCAGGTTAAAACTGTTTAGCTGTGCATACAACTGAAGGGTTGTATCTTCCCCCTTTTTAATGTACTGAGATAATGTACATATCTAATTGTTCTTATTTTGTTGAGCACTTTTGAGGTCCCTTGTGTAAAAACTGTGGTATGCAATTACACTAATCTTGCCTAATGAATAGTATGTAGAAAACATTGTAAAACATGTATTTGATTTCCCTGCCCACAGAAGCACTGAAGGAGGTGGCGGACATTGCAGCTCAGCTCCAGAGCAGTTTGATTCGACTGGAGAACTTCCAGAAGCTGACGGAGCTGCAACGAGACCTCATCGGCATCGAGAACCTGACCGCTCCTGGACGAGTGAGTGCAGTGACCAACGAGAGAGAGAGACCAACGAGAGAGAGAGAGAGACCAACGAGAGAGAGAGAGAGACCAACGAGAGAGAGAGAGAGAGACCAACGAGAGAGAGAGAGACCAACGAGAGAGAGAGAGACCAACGAGAGAGAGAGAGAGACCAACGAGAGAGAGAGAGAGACCAACGAGAGAGAGAGAGAGACCAACGAGAGAGAGAGAGAGACCAACGAGAGAGAGAGAGACCAACGAGAGAGAGAGAGAGACCAACGAGAGAGAGAGAGAGACCAACTAGAGAGAGAGAGACCAACCAGAGAGAGAGACATCCTTTCCCCTTCAGTAACTGTAACTGTATCTGTAACTGTGTTTGTAGGAGTTCATCAGAGAGGGGTGTCTGTACAAGCTGACGAAGAAGGGGCTGCAGCAGAGAATGTTCTTCCTGGTCAGTGACTCATCTCGGATTTGGGAGAAAAGCGACTACGCTATTTTGATGTGCACAAGCAGTTTTTGTTGCTAGTCTAGGGCTGGTTAGTTTTTTTTTTTTTTTTTTTTTATGTAGTTTTTCCAAGCCAATAATTTGGATCAGATTTGCGATTTTATGTTTTAAAGCTGGAGTATCTTACTTTTCATAAATACATTTTGTTTGTCTAAGTAACGTGTGAATCGAATTAGACCAAAGCATGCTTCTCCTGTTTGGCGAGATGAGAGGACAAATTCCCACACAAAAAATAATAACTGTAAAGCGCTTTGTGATTCTGATCTGTGAAAAGGCATACAGTAAATAAAGATACTTACAATGGCACATTTGACGTTGGAACGACGCATGCCATTGAGTAATACTTGAGCAGCCAAAACACCAAAAAATAGAATATGAATTGTGAAACTAAAATGTCCAGTCGGATATGCCAATCCATTTAATAACTACAGTATTTTTTATTTTTTTTGCCCCCAATACCCAGTTCTCCGATATGCTCCTCTACACAAGCAAGGGAGTTACTGCAACAAACCAATTCAAAGTCCACGGCCAGCTGCCCCTCCACGGCATGATTGTAAGTAAAAAAAGAAAACGATCTTTATCAAAATGTGTCGCTAATCTTTGAATTGTTTTGAATGTTAAATGTAACGAAAGGTCAATATGTAATGCTAGTAAATGCTAATACATTTACTAGCAGGAATAGGGGTTTCCTAATGGTGCATGTCTCTGCTTCACTCTGACTGCAGCTCATAGTCTTGGATTGTCCGGTAAGTTCAGAGCCAAAATGGACGCCCAAAAACCCCATTCCTCATGAGCTATAGTAGCAGTAAACCGAACACGCAACGCACTGACCTTAAATATGATAGAAGAAGACTATTGTGGTTGATATTTTTGGCTTGTGATACGGCAATAGAGTAATAGGTAAAAGAGTAAGGATCCAGATCAGTGCTTCTTTTCTCTTTTAGTCTATGAAAAGATGATGGCAGTATACAGTATGTTCAATTCAATTCGTTTTTTGTATATCCCTAAATCACAACAGTAATGGCAATAAAAGATCAAACAATCAAACAGGTTTTAGAAATGGTAAATGTTTACAAATTGGTTTAGGACATTTGAAATTTGGTTGCAGGTATATTTTTTGGGCCTATAAGATAATGCAGCTCAATAAGAGTTTTTACAAAGCACCTTCAAACTTTAGAAATGAATACAGAGAATGGAATTGAATTGAAAAAACATGTATGACCAATTTGGATAAATGTCTATAAATGTGCTGTAGGTGACCCTGTAGTTTGGAACCAGAGGCCTAGACAATTGTCACCAATCAATGCTTTTCCTTGTTTTTTAGAGTTGCATTTTGGGCTAGAATCTTACTTGATTTTGGGTTTTCTCATTTTCAGATTGAAGAAAGTGAAAACGAGTGGTCCGTCCCGCATTGCTTCACCATCTACTCCGCTCAGAGGACCATCGTCGTGGCCGCCAGGTACGTTTTTTTTCTTGTTTTGCTTATGTAAAAATGTAAAAACGTTTAAAACATTTGGTAAAAAGGTTTTAAACGTTCATCAATTCATTTGCTTACGTCTGCTGTATGTGTTGTGCTTTGTGTTTCGCTCATAGCTCTAAAGTAGAAATGGGAAAATGGATTGAAGATCTGAATTTGGCAATCGAAATGGCCAAGAAATCTCAGGATAAATCCAGCGTGTTCATCGACCCGGTCATTTGCGATCGCTCCAACCGTAAGTTTACATTTAGATCATAGTAGCTTGTTTTCTGTCGGGGAAAAAGACAAAATTATACCAAACATTTCTGCTTATTATTTGTTTGTTTAAGTACAGACCATTCCTTTGTCCATGCCACCTGTAATTAACATAGTAAGTGCCCCACAGAGCCGTGTACGACAAAAAGACATCTGTCGATGGACCAGAGAATAGGGGGCTTCAGCAGCTGTAAGCCCTGACAAAAGGACTCTTTGCTTACAGTCCATTTTCAAAATATTATAATTTATTATGATGTTTTATTCTGTGTTTTACTGCTGAGCCATAATTATCAATGTTACAACAGATAAAGGCTTGATAGTAATAAGTCTGTCATATATTAGTAATTGGGCTTAAATTCAATCAATTAAACTTTATTAGAGATTCTAGGTCCATTTCAAAACATACAGAAACAAGACAAACAGTTATGACTTGTGAACTTTATTCTTGTGAATAATATTCTCATTTTTTGAGTTTTATCTTATGCCCATGTTTAAATGCAGTAAAGTTTAAATTGATCATACTATGTTTTTTTTTTTGTTTCAGCAAATATCAATCAATGTCCATGTGTTGCATTGATTCACAAATATCTATATTTGGCATAAATCATAGACAAATGCAGTGTTTTAGTGTGAGTAATAATATTTGAAAGCAGTCAAGTTTCTCTGCATTAGGACCACAAATTAAATTATTTGATCATTTGTCACATTATTTTCTATAAGTATTTCTCTGCTGTAATGCAAGCTTGCTAGGTCTTAAAATGACCCTGTTGCATCCAAAGTCATAACCAAAATATCTTCTTGTTTATGACAACCTTCGGAGCTATATCCCGTTGCCTACAGTATATAGTCCAAGGACACACACACAAACCAGATTAGAATCCCCCTTCCCCTCTCTACATTCTCTTTTCCTTATTGGTATGACTCTTATGTAAATATTGTTTAGCATTGTTTCTGTATAATGCAATTTGTCAACAAAATGTTTTTTCCATGGGCAGGGCAGTTAAGGAAGGTAGTCATACTATATTATTTAGGCCCATTTTGATTGCATGAATTCAAAACGCAGGTTGAAATCCATGTTACTGGATGGCTACAATCCCCAAACAGTAATTGTTGATGTATCCCATTGAAACCACTAACGCCTGGAGTCCCCCTTCCTCTCCCCCGCCTCCTTTTTCGCCTCCCGCAGGTTCGTCCGACGAGGTTTCTCTGGAGCAGGAGTCGGAGGATGACATGAACTCGTCCCGCACGTCTTTAGACAAGCAGACACACCACCGCTCTAACACCACCATGCACGTCTGCTGGCACCGCAACACCAGCGTGTCCATGACCGATCACAGCCAGGCCGTGGAGGTCCTCTACCCACATTCACTCACTCACCCACTCAACACACACACACAATCTTCTGCGACTTCATCCCATAACCTTAATGGAACTTTTTCTCTGCTTTTTCCCCTTTTCGTCCTAACAGTGAGAAGTCCTGCACCTAAAACTGTGAAAAAGTGCATTTGATAAAGTTTTGTCATTTGAGCAGCTATTTTAAAACATATGAAAATCACACAGCCCAAAACGTTTCATACACTGTGTTCCCTTTATACAAATAGATATACAAAATATACAATTATTTTGTTTTTGTTCGTCACTGATGAGCCCAAAATGGTGTAAGAAGGCAAGGCAAGTTTATTCATATCAGAATTACTGTTTTATTTGATGATTCAGTGCCCATCCTGTATACATTTGGTTATACCTAGCCTGGCATTAGCAATCCATGTTTTTTTGTCAAATCAGAATTAACTTATTTTATGGGGGATTTGTGCTATATTTATAGAACCAAATGCACTTTTTCCTCTAATCAACATATTATCCTACTAATTCACTTTTATTTTTTCCAAGTTCTTCCCCTTGTTTTTCTTCCTTTGTCTCCGTGATGCCCTTGTTCTCCTCCAGAACCCTCTGTAACACGCACGGACCTGTTTCACTAACGCTCTTTCTCCACAGAAGGATTTCCCTCTGTTTCTTTTACCACTTTTTAAAATCTAACTCACTAACACTTCCCTTTCCTCTCCATCTTTGGCTCTGTCAGCTTTCAGTTCTCCGGCCGTGTCCCCTGAGCTTCCTCCTCGGTACCTTCTGGGTCAGGGCCAAAGACCCAACACCATCACTCACGTTTGCTGGTACCGAAACCAGAACCTCTCTCTGTCTGATTACCTGCGCATGAACCAGGTACTAAACCACATTAACCGCTGCAGAGACACTAAATCCAGTTCTCGTCACTGGTTTCTCACTTGTGTCATGACTGCTGGTAATGATCAGACAGTTTTAAATAGAAAACAAATTATTGGGCTTCACTCTTTGGTGGTTGGTCTAATTTCTTATCAATATTTCAGCTTTCTCTCAAATGTATATTCTCCAAACTGAATTGTTTTATTTAACCTTCATTTAACCAGTACAAATCCCATCGAGATTAAGAACCTCTTTTTCAAGGGAGTCCTGCAAAAAGGCAGCAAAGTTACACATCAATAATCTCCCATTTTTACCCATACATTTCAAGTAATGTCGTTTGAAAAGTTGGGACGCTATGAGCATAAATCATTTCAAACTAAATAAAAATAATGCATTGGTTATATTGCTCAGACTCGGCCCTACCATCAGAATAACCATATCTAGAATTATTTTAGAAAAACCAGATCAGCCATATATAAAAATGTGACTTTTAATCTTTTTTCTTCTCTCGTCACAGAACCAGCTCTCGGGATACCTGCTCCGGAAGTTCAAAAACAGCAACGGTTGGCAGAAACTCTGGGTTGTTTTCACCAACTTCTGCTTATTCTTCTACAAAACCCATCAGGTGAGGGGACATGAATGACCTCCAGCGAGCCCCATGTCATCGGCCTGCTCCCTGCTGGCTTCCTTTTCTACTTCACGTTTGAGTTGGGCATACAAAAAAAAATTCAGTATTGGCACCAATTTTTACATATACAGTATTTAAAAAATTCCTTCTGTCGTACCTCTTATGTAAATGATTTGAGGTAACTCTGATTCAAAGTTATTCATAAAGTTGTAAACTAGGGAGAAAGTAGCTGAAGAGAAAGTAACCAGTATCAAGGTATATTGATATTAAGTGATATGAACCCTGTCTTTAGAAATTGTAGATGAAAGGCAAAAGGTAGAGTAATAATGAATATAAAAAGAAATGTTTATATACAGCGACCTGGCTTCTCGTGCAGAAATTCCGTTGATTGGCGCCTAAAGGGCTAGAATGCTTACAATATCTCTAACACCAGGACTTCAGGACTTCTGACTGTATTGACAGAGCTACTTCAATGTATTTTACTATTTGTGAGAAGAAAAGCAGAAAAGAAACTGCCCATAAAGGATATTTTTGCTCAATTTATATTTTTATTTTTTATCCCCATCTGCCTCTATTCTCTTTTTTTCCATTTTCTCTCTATTCTCTGTAAAAAATGGTCTGAATTTTAGATTTTAGATAGTTTATGGATACAGGAAAGAATCAATCAACAACTTGTATGGTTAATACCTTTTTTTCCGATGATTAAACTGGGAAACCTCCTCATATACAGTCATTCATATACAGTACAATGTTATTCCCATGACCATGAGATAAAACTTTTTCTGACGCCCTGTCTCTGTCTCAGGACGACTTCCCGCTGGCCAGCCTCCCTCTGCTCGGCTACACGGTGAGCACCCCCGATGAGTCCGACAGCATCCACAAAGAATACGTCTTCAAACTGCAGTTCAAGTCCCACGTGTACTTCTTCAGAGCCGAGAGCGAGTACACCTTCGAACGGTTCGTGGAACATTGTTAATAAAGTTATTTTGTGTCTGTGCAAGGCCTCGTTTGACCAGGAGGGATCTGTGGTGGAAAAGAGCTGGCTACAGACTGCAGGGGTTTTGTTTTATGAGATTTATAGTCCTTGCTCAGACATAAGGATAATCTGAAACAATTTTCTGTCTGAGTCGCAGAGACCACACGCTAACCAGACGAGGCTGCATCTGAATTCAACAAACACACATGCCTTGTCTGACCTTTATTCTAATATTAAATACATTAGGAATCAATATTATATTTAGCATCAGCACTTGTTTAAAAAGATATTTGATTTAACTTTACCAGAACGAACATAGTCTCATAGATGGTAAATTGTAGAGGATTAGGAAGGATAAGGAAGCAGGTAAAAAAACGATTTGGATGTGGTCCATGAATAGCACCAGTTTCCCACACAACTGTTATAATTAGGTAGTTTTTCAACAGTAAAATCATTAGTATAATGGTTAGGGAAGGATTAGCCCTCTATGGCATGACTTTTTATTTTAGGGGGAAAAAAATATTTCAACACACTTTTTAAGAGCTCGTGGGTCCCTAATAACATATTGATCTTTACATTTGACCCCCCCCCCCCCCCACCCCCCCAATCAGATAATGGTTTGTTGCTTAAGGGCAACATTGTGCGACGAGGGTACTAAAACACCAAGGTTTTCAATATTACATTGAATTAGGAAAATAATAAAACAAATACATTAGAGAAGCTTTTATTCTTTTATTTTTCAAGCTCAACTTTTTTAAACGGGTACAGAGCACTCCAGATTGCAAAAACAAAAGCAAAAACAGTTCTGAGCCTCTAGTAAGTCACACAGCTGCGGGTCTCGGTAGCCTATTGTGTATGGAACAGCAAGAAGCAGTTGCTAGTGGCTGTGAAACATCTATGTTTCACAGCCAAGACAGAGACCTGAGACCAGGACTAATGTGAGAGGACTTCAGGACAGAGACCTGAGACCAGGACTAATGTGAAAGAACTTCAGGACAGAGACCTGAGACCAGGACTAATGTGGGAGGACTTCAGGACAGAGACCTGAGACCTGGACTAATGTGAGAGGACTTCAGGACAGAGACCTGAGACCAGGACTAATGTGAGAGGACTTCAGGACAGAGACCTGAGACCAGGACTAATGTGGGAGGACTTCAGGACAGAGACCTGAGACCAGGACTAATGTGAGAGGACTTCAGGACAGAGACCTAAGACCTGGACTAATGTGAGAGGACTTCAGGACAGAGACCTGAGACCAGGACTAATGTGAGAGGACTTCAGGACAGAGACCTGAGACCAGGACTAATGTGAGAGGACTTCAGGACAGAGACCTGAGACCAGGACTAATGTGAGAGGACTTCAGGACAGAGACCTGAGACCTGGACTAATGTGAGAGGACTTCAGGACAGAGACCTGAGACCTGGACTAATGTGAGAGGACTTCAGGACAGAGACCTGAGACCAGGACTAATGTGAGAGGACTTCAGGACAGAGACCTGAGACCTGGACTAATGTGAGAGGACTTCAGGACAGAGACCTGAGACCAGGACTAATGTGAGAGGACTTCAGGACAGAGACCTGAGACCAGGACTATCGATTGGAATGTCCCTAACTCCTTCATTCTTGGACCCGTAAAACGTTATTGCATCCATTTCCTACAAGCAATAGTAGATAGATCAGAATGGAAGATAGAACAGCAAAAAACATTGAGTGTGGTGTTGATTATCCATTCAAGCACATCCCCAACCAGCAGCATTACACTGCCCAAACAAAAGTGCTACAACTGCATGATGTTGCCTTGATGCAACAAACCTAAACGTGCAGTTTTTGTATATAAATGGAAACAAAAAACATATATTAACAATCAAATATGCTTCTTAACATATTCATGCACAGTCACATATTTATTTTATCAAGTTTTTCGAATTTAAACATGTAGAGAAGTTATATTTATCCTACCTTTTTCTGGCACTGTGTCACTTGTGACTCTGCTTCCTGAAAGGACTGCTCCACCCCCAGAAAATTGCCCCCACCCACTTCAGAACTTGATTTAATTGGACAGAAACATGTCTAGTAATTTTATAAATAAAAAAAAAAAAAAAAACATTAAAGGGCCAGTGTAAGAGCCAAAAGATTGGTTTGTTGCCCGAGGGCAACAGTATGCCATACAGGGTTAGGGTTAAAGAGGGTTACTACAAAACACCGCAAACGAGAGTTGTTATTCAGGCCACGCCTCCTCGAACTCGTGAAGGGCTGAAATCAGGTGAAGATGTTGTAATCTGTAGCCATCTTCACTACTGTTCAGTGTTGTGCCAGTTCACAGCTTTTCTGAACTAGTTCAAGTTCAGTTCATACAGGCTCAAAGTGAACAGTTCACGTTCAAAGTTCACATTTTTAATTCTGAACTAGTTCAAAGTTCAGTTCATTTGACTTTTTTCGTGAGATACTTTAATACATATGTTTTTCACACTACAGCTCTATATATATATATATATATATATATATATATATATCTCCTGTACACCCACAGGAGGAGAGCCTTTTGACTACAAAACAGACAAGATTTACATGGTTTTCAATGGGAGCCAAACGGAGTTGCTCCATCTCTGCTCATAAACTACAGACAGTAATGCGCTGCAGTGCGTGTGTCTATACTTTATGTCAAATGTAAACGGTGTAAACATTGTCGCTAACTCACCCTGTGTTTTCATCACGACTCGGGCACATGTGAAAAGCACCAGCTCACAGCGCCGCACCGCAACACGGAGTCGGGGTGCGTTCACAGACGGTGGAGACCGTAGGAATTTCTAGATTTCGGCGGAAAAAGTGCGAGAATACAGGAGGGAGGAACTTTCTCTCGTTGCGTTTCAAAAGAGAAAACAGATTCCAACGTTCATAGTGATGTCTGCCGTTCATGACACATAAAATGAACTAATTCACGTTCAAGTTCTTCTTTTAAAAATGTGTTGCCTTCAGTTCAACGTTCACAAAAAAATGAGCGTGTTCAATGAACGCGTTCTTTTGAACTCGTTCACGCACAACACTGCTACTGTTTTATAGGTGTAAAATTGTCATTCCACCAAAAGACAATCATAAACCTGCCAATGCACTTAAATGCAATGGTGTCCAAACTGAGGTTCAGGGGAAACCGGGGTTGGGAGAGGATTTAAGATGCAAACTATTTTATTTATAAACACTTTGATTTAATTGAGACCAAGTCAGATACTCAATACATGATTTAGAAAAGCGGCATTACAGTTAATATAACCCGTTTTGAATTTTAATTTGGGTATGTAGTCTGTGTTGGGTTTGTGCTTTCCAGCTCTATAAAGTTTGGGAACCTCTGCTTTAATGCTGAGTCAACAGCATAACTGTTCTTTGATGTGACTAACTTTGTACCGAACAAATAATTAAAGACATGAGTTAGTATTTAGTTGTAATTCTGGGCTTTTGTAAGGTCAATGATGATTGAGCGGCGTGTACGGATGGCCAGGCTAACATTTTGCCAATTTGAGCCATTTTTGAAATTTTTTGGGTCAAATGCAGAGGACAAATTGCCCTACGGGAATGAAATATCTTAATATATACTATTCCTCCGTAAAAATCATCATGCGTTTCAGTTGAAAATGTTTAATTTCCTGGAGTTTGAACAGTGTCGTCTCCTGTTGCAGATGGATGGAGGTGATAAAGAGCGCCGCCAGCACCGCGGGCCGCATCACTCTGTTCATCCCCAAAGGAGGCGCTCCGGTGGAAATCAACGGGAACGGATTCTGAACATTGTCACTCTGAGGGCTGGGCCTTCCGAAAAAAACTTTACTTTTTAATAAGAATCAACACATTTCAACTGGAGACTGAGTCATGTTACTGCCAGTTATTACATTAACATTATAATTATGTGTGTTATTTTGTTTTCATTGACTGTGTATTTGCAAGAGAGATGTGTTAGACTGATCCAAGCAGGTTTGTATTAAGGGACCAATTTGAACACAAAAAACTGCTAAGTTTTTTTGACTGAAACTGCGAAGATGACATACAGCATGTGCTAGTGGTGTGTGAGAGAAAAATAGTTATTAAAGATGCAAGATACTGTGCAAAACCTTTGACTTTAAAAAAATAAATGTTTCAGTTTTAGTCAATTACAACAGCTCTGCAAAATGAGACAAATGCTACTATGGCATTTTTTAAACCTCACATTGATACAAAAGCTTAAACTGTTGTATAATTGCGACAGCTTAACCTTAAAGGAGACATAACCTGCATCCACCGTTATTGTATCTAGTCCTTGCTCTCTAAAAGCTGTTTCTTAGAGCTTGTCTGAGCCTTATATACTGTGGTATACTGACCACCACCACACATGCATGGTTTTTAGTTAGAAAGGGTTTTCTCCGTGGGACTTTTCTAATCTTTGTTTTATTTTATGAATCTGTAATATGCAGATGATTCTGTGGTGGTGTGATGTCATTGTTGCTTGAAAGAAAACACAAAAAAGTTGCTAATCGATTCTACCATGAGTTTTTCTATGTATTGCCCTAAATCACAACAGCAGTCCTTTCAGAGGACTCTGATCTGTGTTGGCGATTGGACAACTTTGTAGATAATCAAACCAAACGACCAATGTCCATAATTGTTCATAAATGTCCTGGATCACTGTCCTTAGACCCTCCTGCATCGGCAAGAAACGACTCAAATACCCAGTGAGAAAAAGTGAGAAACCTCGGGGAGGCCCACGTTGAGAGAGCGATTCGCTCCAACGGACAGACAGGAAGTAGATCCAGGACTCAGGACTAATATTGAGATGTTGAAACAAACAAAAAATACAATGATAGGTCACAAGTATCCATAGTTTCTCGGTGTAGAAGAGGCGGTAGCATGTTATGTCTTTAAAAAGCATTTGTAATCACCTGATTCTGTCTTGCATTTTGCCAGTAAAACTTTTGCACAGTATGGACTGATATAGCCGAGAGGGTTAGTGGGAAGTTGTTCGAATTATTACATTTCGAAAGCTTATACGGATGTTTTAAAGACTGAGTACCTTGGTTTAAAACTTTTAGATTAAAAAAATGTATTTGTCATTTGCAGTAAAACCGCATTGGAAGAACTGTGCAAGACCCAAGTGTGCACCACCTTTACTTTTCTCTTAACTATGTGTCTTTAACAGTATTTATTTCTAAGGCCAGTGGATTCTGAAGGATCTAATAGAGAAGGGAGCTTATCTTTCTACATACATGTTTTGCAATCACACCCATCCGGTGCTACACAGTTCTTCAAAAACAATCAATGTCATTTTTTTCACTCTTTATTGTATGGATAACAAAAGGACATTGCGCTAGTGTTACCTAAAATGTACACCCCCACCCCCCATGAAGTACATATGAATTGTGTTTTCTTGTTGTGAGCTAACACCAGCGGTTAGTGGTACTTTGTTTTATGAAGAAACTGGAATTGTATGTACAGTATGTCTATGTGTGGAGAAGCCAAACTAGTAGACAATGCCTTTTAAAGCCTCTGGAGCTAAACGAGGAGGTGATGACTGAAGGAAATTCTTGTGTCGGATCGTGGCACAGCTAACATGTATTTATTGGATGGCATCGAGAATGTGTAGTCCCCATGTCATTTCAATGGAAGGCTAACCAATAAAACAGACTTTTTTTAAATTGTATCCATGCGTGGTGGTTTTTCTCTTGCTGATCCTGAAAGTCCTATTATCCAGTCTTATTTTTGTATTAGTACTTTTGTGATTTGTACAGCACACAGGAACCCCAAAGTGCAATACAAAACCAGACAAATACTGTAAAATCGATGCAATAACACAGGAATATATAAGAGCAGATGCAACAGTAGCATTTCAGATTCATGCACTGAAAAAGTGAAAAATTGCTAAAATTTGGCATAAATGTACCTTAATTTGAGCATATTTTGACTGCCTTAAAACAAGATTTGCCAATGTGAAAAAACACAATGATCTTGTTTTAAAAATATACAAGAAATGTCTTCTTTGGAATGAAAAAATAAAGCAGCCACTTTTTTTTAAATAAGACTAAATTGCTTTGTCCCATTTGCTAATTTTGTTTAAAGACAGTCAAAATGAACTCAAATTAAGAGGAAATTAAATGATTTAAGCAATGATCACCTCATATTGCATCATTTTCTTCCATGTGTAGCTATAATCTGGAACGTCGCCCTTTTGCAAACAGACAGTAGCAGGAGAGCTGTCGTTATATAATCCATCTGATAAACACCTAAATTATGCTAATCATTCGAACATTTTGATGCCAGGACTGGTCCAGACTGTCCGTACTACTGCTGTATGAAAACTATGCTCGCAAACCGTCACAGTAGAAAGCTCAGGTTGTCAAATGAAGTGAGATTTAACTGCATGTCTGTCATTGTCTTGCAAACTGGCTGCAGATCGACTCATCAGAAGTGAACCGCAGGGCATTCCTCAGACAGGCCCAAACAGTAAACAGAGGGTGTGGTGGCTTCCCCCGTAATGCCAGATTTTTTTCTTTCAGCTAAAGTGTTTTCTAGAGAAGGGAGTGGGTAATAAGGTGTGGTGTCTGTACATGCATATCAACTGTGTCAACAACTTGCTGCTTTACGCAATATGGGTCGCATAGGGCAGCTCTGTGACCTAGAAACATGCCCTATATGTAAATGTGACAAACAGAACATTTAATATTGTTTCGTAATCAATCCTTTTTACCTTTTATAAATAGGTAAACATAAAAAACACACCAATGCACACGCAACCTCTAACATGATCATAGGCAAAACTCAAAATAAACAAAATATTAACCCTAAATACATTTCAAATAGATATTGGTGTTTGTTTAGTGTAATTTCCAAAAGTGGATGTTACCTCCTGTGCTCCATTTGTCTATTTATGTATTATTTATTTATTTGAATAGTATTCATTCTGCTCAAAATGATTTAGCTGATGCAAGAAGATGAGCAGCCTCACAATAAAATAGTCCAGAGCAAGGACACAAAAGGACACAAACAACTACAAATAAATGGTGGATTATGGAAGAAGAAAAAGTTCAACTGAATAAGGAATAGAACATACAATTAGCAATGTCTTATTAAGATTAGCCTCCCTCATCAGAGAAAGACCAGACATTAGAGAGAGAGCTAGAGAACAGAGAAGCCAGAGAGAGACCAGAGAGAGACCAGAGAGAGAGACCAGAGAGAGACCAGAGAGGGACCAGAGAGACAGAGACCAGAGAGAGACCAGAGAGAGACCAGAGAGAGAGAGGGACCAGAGAGAGACCAGAGAGGGACCAGAGAGACAGAGACCAGAGAGAGACCAGAGAGAGACCAGAGAGAGACCAGAGAGAGACCAGAGAGACACCAGAGAGAGACAGGAGAGCCTCACTGGCAAAAGGACAAAAAGATGGACACATGAAGTGAACGGTTCTGAATAAACTACATCAAGTGTCGTAAATAAACATTACAAACATTACATTACAATGCTTTCCTACTGAAGTATGCTCCAGCGTGGAGGAAATTATGCACTCATTTTGAGCAGGTTTATTCATGTGTCATACCTGTAAAGAAAATAAAATCTTGTGATTCACTGCATATTCTCTTCCTGCTTTGAATAAATCTGATCTTCCTGGTCGCCCACATGAAACCAAGAATGTTTGCACTGCTTTTAATATTGAATGCACCAAAACGTTGGGTTGTTGTCAATCGCAGCACTATGGAATCATATTGAGGAATTGCAAAACTAGAACCCAAAGATGGGATATTAGGATTGGACTGACCACGTGTGACATCACCAGTGTAGTGTTAGCCCTAACGCAGAAGAGGCCAATTTGCACATAAGCTAGCTGGAGGCAACCACCTTAAAAGGGCCTTTCTTCTGTGGCGTTAGCTTGGTGCCATGGAGCAGACGTATTGCTAAGGCAAGCTTCCCCCACGAATGAAGACATCTGATTGGTCAATCCTCACATGGCTCATATCTGGATGAAATATCATTTAGAGTGAGACACAAACATTTCCTGAGATAGAGGAGTTTACTTTTCAACGAATTCAATAGGAGCCAGAGCGAGTTGTAGCAAAACTTCGCCCATGAGCACTTCCCTATTGGGCTTCATTGTCAAGGTCAATGTCTGCTTTATTTGTACAGCACATTTACAACAACACCAGCTGGCCAAAGTACGTCACATGCACAAAGAAAATCAAAGAAATGCAAACAGAATTAATCATAGGGGGTTTAGCGTTGTCCGTCTATATACAGTATATGCTACAACCCTGTATGACAACTATTGTGAACTTTGCCTATAGCCTCGAACAATAGAAAGTGAAAAAACAATGTAGAGGAATCTATTTTTAGCCCGTTCTGCTTGACAAATCGTTGTGTTGACGTGATGCTGCTTATACAAGGTGTCACTTATGGATTACCCCTGACTCATTACAAACTGAGGGATTATTCTGATCATAAGAGGAGAATGCACTGACTGACCTTGCTTATCTCTCACACAGCAACTTCTACACACTGTCCATAACCTAAAAAATACCGTTCACTTGACAAATACTGCAAGTTATTAGACGTATATGAACTTTATTGATCTGCGCAAAACAAATTACTTGAACAAATTGCTATGATATTGTTGCCTCTTGGATTGGAATGTGGCATAGTCATATAGTATTTGTGTTTTTATCCAAATAACAGTACAACAACATGTTTATGCTGATTTATAACGTGAATCCTTGCTTTTGTCTGGCTCTCCTCTCCACAGATATGACCTGGATTGATATACTGCAGATTCAAGAAAACCAGTGAGAGAAAGACTACTACAACAAAAGTTGGACCTTATACCAGCAAAGTTGTAGATTCGAGACAAAACAACACTTAAAAGGACCAGAGCAAAAAGCAGACCCTTCAAAAACTGCTACAAAAGTTTCATATAGCAGCTTTAAAACACAGCAAAAATACGGTTAAAAATCCCATGAATAATGTAAATGTGTACAACAAGGAAATATCTATATCTATCTCTATAGCTTATTATTTTAGAGTTTTAGACGTTTGAGTATTCTGGGAGTCCCTTGTGTTCAATGTGTGGCTTTTCATTAGACTTTTTTTTATGACTGCTAACTGCTTTTTTAAATTCTTTATTAATAATTCTAAACATCTTATATTCAGACACGCCTTGCTTTTGTATTTGATAGTGAACCTCATGCGTGTGCTTACAGTATGGGGGCGTGCCACTGGCTTATCTCCGCCTTTGGACTTTTGCAGACAGTAGTGGAACTCCTCAATAAGTGCCCTTAGAAGGAAAGCTTTCTCAGATCTGGACACAATCTGTTGCCTATCTGTTGCCATCTCCGTGCGCCCATGGGAATAACCACAGCCATGGATTTGACATAAGGGGCGAGCTTTAAACAGCGAAAGCATAGGATTTATACAGTAATTATGTATTAGACAGGCAGAAAAAAAAGTCAAGTGTTTTATCATGGAGATGTTGAGGCGCTCGTCTGTGTTCGCGGCGGAAGTTTTTGATCGTTCCCCCACGGATAAAGAGTTGGTGTCCCAGGCCAAGGCGCTCTGTCGGGACTACATCCACTCCAGGCTGCACCGCGCCGGGTTAGGCTTGACCAAACCCGAGCACGGACGCGCTGCATCAGGTGGTTCTCTGGGGGAGATCTCCACTGTGCTCATATGGCTGGGTGAGTTTCAACTATAGAGACATGTGACAAAACCAGACCAGAATCTGTTTATTAGTGCATGGATTATTATCTAAATGATGTTGGGTATAATTTTGACAAGCAGCTCTAAATATTTTCAAGCGTAGAAAAGTTTTCCTCATTCCAAGTGAGGCATTAGTCTTGCTTATTATGTAAGACAAACGATTGAAAGATGTGCGTGCTTGTTCGGTTAAAGCTGGGGTACTTAACTTTTTGTTTCATAAATAAAATGTGTTTTTGTCGCAATAGTGTCTTTTAAAAGTAAAGTCATACCTCATCGTGATGCCGTTTTATTATTAGAAAACATGGTATATTAGGAATACTGGACAGAAAGAGCCATGTCACTATTTGACGCTTTGGGGTTGAGAGCTGATTGGCTGAGCGAAGGTGGTCCTCGCTTTTTCACTTTTCTGTCTGATAAAGATGTGACAAAAGCCAAACGAATAAATGAATGTGAACATTTGTTATATAATAATTAGGGCTGTCAAAATTATCGTGTTAACGGCGTGTTAATAAATTTTTTTCATTAATCGCGTTAAAAAAATTAACGCATTTGACGCATGCCCATGCGTCCCATATTAACACAGAATGCCGCGGACACATGCGCGTCTAAGATGGGGACAGAGCAGGTAGGCCCTCTGGGAATTCAAGTTTTGAAAGAATACACGCGTGACCGCGGGGCACTTGTTGTTTCCTTTATGAACTCTGCATGATGAGCTGCGGGCGCCACAGCGCTCTGGACCGTTCCCACTTCCAGCGGCTGAGATCACGGCAAACGGCGCTGTGTAATGGGATCATATCCAAGACCACGCACAGAACTATTACAGAACTATTCTCTAGTGTGCGTACATGTCTTTGCGTAACCGATGCACACAATATGTACAGCGCTGAAGCTGGACTGCGGAGCCTCAGTCTCCTCCGTGTCTTCTCCCGAAGCGCACTCGCTAAATTAAAGCTGAGGTACCTACATTTCCTTTCGACTACCAGTTCATGTTAGTTGTGCCAAAAAATGGTGTAATGGTGTGAGCAAATCAAACAGATTTAATGACATTCTGCATTTTGACTATTGACTATTTCTAAATGTCCCTCATCTGTAACAAACAATGGTTTTGGTCTGAGTCTAAACAAAAAGACAGAATGTTAATAATGTTAATTCCATTTCATAAGGATTTATTGTTATAACAAACGAATACAGTACATATGTTCACTAAGCTGTCATTTATCTTTCCATTCAAACAACCATTTACAGAAAAGTATGGCATAATTTTGCCAATAGTTTGAAATGCGATTAATTACGATTAATTAATTTTTAAGCTGTAATTAACTCGATAAAAAAATGTAATCGTTTGACAGCCCTAATAATAATGCATCGGTTTTATATAGCGCTTTTCTGGACACTCAAAGACACTTTACATGTGTCATTATTCTTTCACTACTATACTGTAGCCACAGCTGCCCTGGGGCACACTGACAGAAGCGAGGCAACCAGTATGCACCATCGGCCCCTCCGACCACCACCAACCATTCACACATACACCAGACTCATTCTAGGCAATGGGGGTGAAGTGTCTTGCCTAAGGACACAATGACAGCAGACAGTGGCAGTCGATGGTGAAGGTTGGGCTCGAACACACGACCCTCTGGCTCAAAGGCCAATGCTCTACCAACTGAGCTACTGTCGCCCAACGAACTGTTTTTGAGCCAGGAACTGTGGGTTTTAATACATTGTTTGTGGTTTGATGAATAAGCGCTAGAAAAATGTCCAGGGCACATTGTCTTTTTGATTTGTTTAGATTACATATATTGAAATACAGATGTTGGCTCAGGAAACTCAAAAATAGTACAGTAACAATACAATATCAAAGTCATACTGAATCTGTCTCAAACTGACCGTTTTAAACAAGACATCAGGCAACATCTCAGGACCCTTACTAATCGGACTGAGAACATGCATCATTGTCTGTATGAAGAAGATGGATTAGTTAAACAGTACCAAAAAAAACACAAAAATGGATCACTTTAACTTATTTACCATTCGCTTTGTCCATAATTGTTGCATGTGTCACAGTATGGCATTGAACTATCCATCTACTTTGAAGGCAACTTACTCCACTATAATAGCTAAGAATATACGCGCCACATCTGCGGAGAGGAGAGCCAACAAAATATAAGATTCAAGTTTTGTTCAGACACATTCCAAACATCTCCATGGCAACAAGCAAATAACGAATACAAAGTTTAATACCAGAAGGAAGAACAAAAAGAAAATTGAGCAATTCTGAATTAGCTGGGTTCTGGGTTCGATTCCACCTGCAGACATGTTGTCACTGTGTCTTGTATAGGTTTCCTCCAGGTGCTCCGGTTTCCCCTTCCACTAAAAACATACAGATAAGGGTGAATGAGTGTGTGTTTGTGAGTGGGACTACAGATGGAAATAATATTGACCTAAAAACCTCATACTGTTATTTATTATCTCAAAGTGGAGTTAAAACATCAAGAATGGGCTCAGTGGACAAATCAGTGATGGACCATAAAAATACCACCAAGCAGAATCATCACAAATGCCCTTTTTAGGAAGATTCGACTAGACTTTGCTTTATAAACATTATCTTCCACCTGCACTTATAACACAGTGGGTCTTAAGTGCAGGAACAGTAGAGCCGCTTTGGAGGAATCAAAAAAAGCATAACGAATTTTGACTTTTGCTCCATTTTCACTGCTAAAGCGTGACTAACTCTGCAAAAGATAACATTCAGCTTTTGTCAAACAGTAAAGTTATGCAATACCCACTTTTATACTTTTATTGGATGGTGTAAACGTAATCGCTCCTTCAATCAAGTGTTATTACAGTATTTTGGTCAGTACTTTGGTCAACGCTAATATATTCTTGTAGGTAAAGTGTAATCCTATGTTAAACAGTTCCGGCTGAACCATAATGAGATGGTTTAAGATGACACAACATTTAATATCAGAGGAAATGTAAATATTGATTCCAAACGTTCCCTTTTATTGCTGTTCATTATCTAAATGACCAGAGGAATATCCCACAGATGCTGGGTCAGCTTTTGTAACGATGATGTCATCTGAGCCTGATCTATTTTTAGCACATGGTCTCTGGCTGCTGCAGACCAAAGCCACTTTATATTTGTGGAGAAAGAGGCGATTCTGAGCAATTTGACAAAAGCAAAAGCTAAATGGCGACCACTTAAAACCTTTCCCTCCTCACAATTTGAAAAGTTACTGACAATTAGTCTAACCTTGATTTTTTTTGATTGTGTCAGCTTTAGATTATACAAAAATGTGTTATCTGTACAAATACCAGCTCCCATTAGTGAATTCTCCAGTTGTGTCCTTGGGCAAGACACTGAACGTCCCTAGTGTGCGTCCATTAGTGTATAATGTATGTGTGAATGGGTAGGAGGTCTCTTGTTGTAAATTGCCATGTAGGACAGAAACATGTTATAAAAACCATGTGACCACTTTATTTTACAAGCCAATAATGTCATGACTTAGGTTTTGTTCCTGTTTTAGTTTGTAATTTGTTAACCCCAGTCTCTTTTTTAGTTCTGCTTCACCTGTGTCTCGTTCGTCTTTAAACCTTGTATTATCGTTGTCATTTCGACGCCTCTTTTTGATTATTGCAGTCTCGCATTTTGGGTGTATTTCCTTTTTGAAATGTGACATAATTGATAATAATAAGAGTTATACAAGTTACAAGGAATGCAGTTGTGAGGCAAGGCACAGCAAAGAAAGGGAAGTTTATTTGTATAGCACAGTTCATACACAGGGCAACTGAAAGTGCTCCTCAGAGTCCGGGTTGGCACTAATGTCACAGATGTGCTTTGGTGTAAGGACATGGAGACTTTTCATAACCAAAATAAATAAATATAATAACAAATAACACAACGACAGGGGAGCAAAAGCAAAGTTCCCCAACATTTAACTCATGTATTTCTATTTCTGTTTCTTGTTTCTTTTTACCACCGCGCTCTTGCTTCATGTTTTCTCCCTTCATGTTCAGGTGACGAGCTGGAGTACCTTCGGCCAAATGTTTACCGTAACGTGGCTCGACAGCTCAACATCACGGTGGCTTCGGAGAGCTTGGTGTCCGACGCCTTCCTGGCTGTCGCTGCCGATATCTTTTCCACAGGTAAAGAGGAATTCATCCACAGCAGCAATGAATAAGGACAGAACCAAGACTATCCATACTAGCAAAGGCAAGTCTATTTGTATAGCACCATTCATACACAGGGCTGTGCTTTTCAGTGCCGGAAATCGTGAATCAAATATTAGAAAACATGAACTAGAAACTAATGGTGAATTTTAATGCTTTTTTTAGGACAAAAAGTTAAAAAGATTGGTTAAAAGCGATGTTGTCGTTATTGATGAAAGGATTGTTCAGAAAGTTCACCCAGAAAGGACCCAAAATACAATACAAATAATACAATAATTTAATTAAAATGACTAAGACAAGAACTGAGTAACAAATACACAATGGACTGACATCAAGAAGGAAAGAGCACAGGGAATTTAACTTTGAGACACAGGTGTAAGACATCGGGGCGAGCAGGCAAACAGCAGAACAGGAAGTCAAACTCAAAAAGACATCAGAGAACAGAAAATACAAAATAAAACAGGAACCACAATTAGTCAGGTACTATTCAAATTGTTTTTCAAATGCAAATACCAGTTAGACCCGCCCCCACAGCTTCCTGATCGAACACAGTTAATTAAAATGCTTGATAGACAGCTGAAGCCCTTCAACATTTGTCTAATTATTCTCCTCTTGTAAATGCTACTAGTGATGGTTATGCCAAGGAGGGACTGCTTTAAGTATATGTATTATGAACAGTACTTAATTGAGATGACACTGCAACTTAAATCAAAATGAAATACAATTGAAGTTGCGGACATCACCTTTAAGTAGTTACACTGAAAACTTCATCAAACTTACCTAGATTCAATAACTTAGAATTAGACAATATATCTCACATGTCACATTTTAAGCTAAATATGGTAATGAGTTAATCTATCATTTTTTCTAATTAAGTTTTTCAATCTAAAGTCTAGTTGGAATTAGGGATGTACCGATCCAGATTTTTTGTAAACCGATCCGATTCCGATATTCTTAAATAATGTTTTGCCGATACCGATCCGATACCGATCCAATAATATTTTCAAAGCATTAATAATTTTGCAAGTGTTTAAATTTGTGAATATTTTGGCATAGCTTCTGCTGTAAATCCAGAGAATTCCACAATTTTACCCCACATACAGTTACACAAAAACTTTTGCGAGTCGTCTGAGCTTTTGGTAGAAGAAAGTTTCCATTTCCTCTCAAATTATAAGCATTCTCTTTAAGAGAGAAGAATTTTTGTACATTTTTAGGATGTATATTATTGAATGCTTTAAATAGTAGGATTACTGTATAGTATTTTACAAGTTTGTGGAATTTCAGTAATTTGGACCGAATAAAAAGATCATGCTGACCTTATGAATGCCCTTATGAAAGCCCTATTCGTATAGGAATACATAACGATACAATGCCATAACAATATCATCAGAATCAGAAGCAAAATAATTTTTATTGCCATGTGAATAACAAGAAGTCACAAACAATAGAATAAGGCATAAAATAAAATGCAGTAGAATTGTAGAACAGTACAGTATACAGTAATCCAATACATGACACTTTCACAGGTATAACAGTACAATAAGGCATAAGATTGTGTGTTTGTGTGTGTAATTTTGTTTCTTAAATTGTAACATTACACTTTAGTCATTCCTTTTACAATTACCATTATGTGTCTGTTTACTTAATAATAATAATAATAATAATAATACATCAAACTTACTGTATATAGCACTTTTTTGGACAAAGACACTTTACAAAACACATACAAACAAACATTGAAGAACAAAATTAAGCAAAGGCAAACTTCAACATTTGCTATGAAAAAAGGAACCTCTTGAAAACAATGGTCTAGTAAACGCACACTGTTCCTCTTTTTTCATTGTGTGTGTGAGGTTTCATTTGTTTAAACTAGGCCTGTTTTACTCCTATAAACAGTTTTAATGCACTGGCTCTGAGAGACAGGAGTGGACTTATCTTTCAGGAAAGGAGCAGCCAGAAGAAGTCCATATTAGGTTAACGTCACCAAGACTGATTGTTGCACAGGAGTCACACCCAGGACTTCAGCTGAGGAAAATATTCAGTATTGTTATTGTTATAGTACTCACAATATTAGAAACAATTTCATGCAAATGAAAAAAACATCTGGATTTGATTATTTGTTTCCCAACTATACCCCTGATTGGGAAACACATGTAGAAAAATTCTGGGAAAAAATATGTTATTATATTACCGTATAATAAAATATTATCGACCTGCATTTTAGCCGCACTAGCTAAATAGGAAAAGAAAGTACCTTTTGTCAACTTATAGGCCGCAAGTTTTCATGTTGCAGCAGAGAGACGACTGTTTTAACTACACTCATACACTCTGATAACGCTAACACACACAAAAATACACAAATTGCCCAAATACCGGGGCCATATTGCATGCGAAAGCCAGATCCCATTAGACCTCTGAAGCTAAGTAGGGCAGGGCCATCGTACAAATTACATTATATACTAACATACAGGGAAATGATGATTGACCGGAGTGTACGGATGGCTAAGGCCAGGCTAGGTTAGTACTGTGATGGGAGACCTCTGGGAACACCAGGTGCCACAGTGGGGCGGCTGCGGCTGTAAAGTGCCAAACTGTCATTGTGTCCATTGGCAAGACACTTCACCCACATTGCTTTTAATGAGTCTGGTGTGTGTGTGAATGGTCATGGTGGTCGGAGGGGCCAATGGCACATACTGGTTGTCTCGCTTATGTCAGTGTGCCCCAGGGCAGCTGTGGCTACAGTAGTAGTTTACCACCACTGTGTATTGAATGAAAGAATAATGACATGTGAAGTGCCTTTGAGTGTCCTGAAAAGCGCTATATAAAACCAATGCAATATTAGTAAATTGCTACATATAGTTTGGAAATTACGGTACATGATTTAGATAAAATATTTATGGTACTGTAATCTGAAAACCTACAATTTACTCTTGTTGTGTTTGATTACAGCTGCATTACATCACACCGTAAGAAGGTGAAATTGTAATTACGCAGCTTTTTTATGCTGGTATAATGCATTCATAAACACAGTGGAGCAAAACATGTATAGTCAGCCACCAACTGTGCAAGTCCCCCCACTTGAAATGATAAGAAAGTATATAACAAATATATTGACTTTTAGTATTGACTAATTGCTTATTTCCCAAAATCAATATTTTTTGTTCTCATTTTGTCTCTCATAGTTGAGTTATATCCATTATAACAATGACAGCCATCTCTCATCAATAATGTAATTGTGTTGTAATTCCAGGCCCACTTTCCTGGAAAAATAGGATCAAAAGACAAGTTCAACATATTTAATTTGAACACAGGAAAAGTAGAAAGAAACTTCAAATGAGTCTGCAGCTCTTCCCTGTTGGATATAACAAAAATGTAGCGTGTGTGTGTCTTTTCTTGCGTGCGTGCTTGTGTGCGTGTTTGTGTGTGTCTGTGCATACTTCTATGCCGTCTGAAAATCTGTCTCATGGCAGTGGGATATTGAAACACATCGAAAGCACATTGTTCAAATCTCTCCAACTGTGTGGACAGACAAGCCAGAGACTGAGTGTAGTTTGAAATGCGGAAAAGCCTTTTTGCAACTGAAATGAATAATGATTTTACTTATAAACAAGGAAACAAGGAGTCATTCAATCATTAAAGGAGACCAGAATTCTTTTTGTATTGTTATTCTAAGCACCAGGAAGTCACAAACTAGGGGTTTTCTTTGAATTATGGTGCAAACAAGTTAAACAATAGTAAAATAGGTGTAAAGGTGTGCATGAAAAAATATTAATAACATTCTAATGAATAAATAAATATACACACTAGACAATAGATCAATTATGGCAAATTGACTTTTACATTATTTTACTTCCTCATCAAAACAGACCATAAGTTGTTTTTAGAAACGCCCATGCTACCATCAGGAACTTCTGGAACAAACATGTGGCGCCACCCCAATTCTGTCTAAAAGTTCCTGCCTCTGTCCTGTAATAGTATGATCTCATTGTACCACTATGACATCACACTCAGAGCAGTATTTTGAATTTTGTTTTCAAATTAATTTATGTCATTGAACAAACATTTTGCTGTGTTTGTAGCCAGTAATGTTCAAATATGAAGAAAAAACTACACAAATTCAACTTCTTCCTCTAGTGGCAGAATGGGGAGTTGCAGGCAGATAGCTTTTACCTTTCATACTTATTTCTCCAAATATTTTCTACTCAAGTTATTATGTATTATGGCCAGGCATAATGCATAATTCTTTAAAACTATCAAAGAATAACATTTGAGGACTTAAAAGGACTTAAAAGAGGGCGACAGTAGCTCAGTTGGTAGAGCATTGGCCTTAAGCCCAGAAGGTTGTGGGTTCAATTCCCACCTCTGCACCTTCTCCACCGACTCCCAATGATGACTGCTGTCGTTGTGTCCTTGGGCAAGACACTTAACCCCACTTTGCCCAAAGCCCCCACTGAAAGATCAAGGCTATGCTCACACTCAGAGAGCAGCCGTCCTCCTGTGGACTCACCACCTGCAGAGGGTCAGTGAGGGACCGGTGCTATGAGACTTGGGTGGCATCTCTGACTGCCACCCCCCTGACCCAGAAATGGATTAAAGGGTAGAAAATGGATGGATGGATGGATGGACTTAAAAGTTATAAATTTAACCACAAAAAAGAAAAAATTTGGAACATTGTTAGACTGTAAGTTTTGTTAGTGCTGTTTGATAAATATGTAGAATATCAATAGATGGAGAGTGAATGTGCAAAAAAGGATCTCGGTTTTGAAAATTTGTCAAAAAGTTGTACTCCTCTCGTTACAATTTTCAACGTGTTTTGTCATTGGCAGTACATTTGGAAGTATTTGCTCAAAACTTGGTAAAGGGAAACTAATAGGCCTTTAAAATATTTTTCCAATGCCACTAATCAAATATGAATATGTATAAATGACTGTTCCTGTCTTGTGATGTCTCCAGGAGTGACTTGGGGGAAGGTGGTGTCTCTGTACGCTGTTGCCGGGAGTTTGGCAGTGGACTGTGTGAAGCACGGACACCTGGCCATGGTCCACACCATCGTGGACTGTATGGGGGAGTTCGTCCGCAAGAGTCTGGCCTCGTGGCTGAAGAGAAGGGGAGGCTGGGTAAGACACTCCAGATTCAGATTCAGACTACTGTATTTATCTCACCCGGGGCATTACATTTGAGCAGCATAGGGCAAAAAGAAAAACACATGAGAAAATATGATTAAAAACACAGGAAACGTCAAACAGTAACTGGAGCAATATGAAGAGGAATCCATAGAAACACAATACAGCAATACGAGCTCAAACCAACACTAAAGTCCACATTAGAAAGTGTCTAAAAGTCTAATAGTGGTTGGGACAAAAGATTTTTAACTTGATTGATTAATTAAATTGATTAACAGTAACAGCGCTGGCTGCACAGTATTAAAACTAGTTATTGCAAAAATGTGCAATAATGTGTTTTTTGTATGCATAAACTTTTCCATTTGCTGCTAGAGTGACAGACTCTAGCCAACGCTAATTCAAAACACTTCCTAGATAGGCTTTTGACACACAGCAGGAACAAATTTTACACAACGTTAGAGACACTACAGGGAAACAATTATAGAATATACAGTAAGAGACATTAATCATGAGTGCAACGCTGCTGCTTGCACATCCAAAAAATATATATTTTCCAAACGTTTTTGAGTACAGGTATGTTTTGACTGTCTTAAAAAAAAAAAAGAGTCCAACAATTTCAACCATTTAATTCTAACAGCAACACTTAATGTCCATATGAAAACACAAACTAAGAGAGTTCACTTGTTTAATAACAGTTGGGACAAAAGAGGCAAAACCTGCTTCTATTGCAAAAAAATTGACGATAGAGATTTATCGATATATTGATATTGAACTCATATTTTATTTTTTTGTCTGCTCCCTGTGTGCTCTTACTACTGTCCCATATGTGCACTGCAACATTGATATTTCCCCGCTGTGGAACAAATATAGGATCTCTTATCTTATTTCTTATCTAATCTTGTCTTACTGTTTCGATACTTATTCCACAAGCTGATGACAAAGCAGAGAGTGTACATGTGTAGATGGAGGTCTGAGGGGAACTGGAGTGTGACAGAGAGAGGCCGAGTCAGAATATAATGGACCTCCTGAGCACGAATGAAAGGCTTGTTTATGGTAACTCTGGACCAGTTCTTCTTCTGAACAAGAGGAAGCATAGATTCTAACTGTAGGTCTGCGTTCACCGAGAAGGAAGTGATTAGTGTCAAACGTGACAAGAAACTGTGCAGTGTGCTGCTTTATGGACTGGGAAAGCCTACAGCTCTTAACGTGATATACAGATTCCTTTTACACGGAAAAAAAGGATAAAATATGAGTGTTTTATGAATATGAATGTGTATTTATGTGCCATTTAGAGCTCAAAAGGAGTAGGCAGGACTAGAAAATACTTATAAAACCCATTCATTGCATAGTTAAATTAAATGTTCTAAGTCAGATACAAACAACCTTCTTTGCTCTAGAGGTCTGACACGATCTGGCTCTCACCTGCAGGTCACGGTGTCTGTTGTAAAACTATGATGAGTATGCTTGAATTGAGTGGTTTTAATCCTAATTTCAGTAAATTCTGACTGTCTTAAAACAAGATTTGCCAATATACAGCCATATATCTTTTTTAAGAACTGTTGCTTTATTTTCTCAGTCCAAGGGAGACATTTCTTGTATCTTTATAAAACAAACAAAACAATTTTGCTTTTCCCACTGGCAAATCGTGTTTTAAGGCAGTCAGAAAGATACATGTTGCCAAACTTTTTACTTATTTTTTTTGAAGTGCATTTGCTGTTTGCAGTAAAACCACATTGGAATACATTTGCAAAAGTCCCCAGTGTGTACCAGAAAAGTACATAAATAAAACAAGTTAAAAAAGTGCAGGAAACAATTGTCACTGTAAGTAAGTAAAGAAAGTGTTTTTTATTTATATACCGCCTTTCACAGAGTGCACACTAAGTAAACACAATGTACACATAATAGACATTTAAAACAGTTTAATTTACAGGCAAAATGCTAACTGCTGCAAAATAACGTCTCGCAAAATAAAATTAAAACTCATATAACGATAATGATAATATATAGAATAATAATAATTACATGGACATAAACTACATATAGAAACAGAAAAAGTCAAGTTATGAAGCAAACATGCATTGAGTAATTACACTTTTAAAACTAACAAAAATAATTCTCCACACTCGCTAATACTTCCATATTGTGTTATCTTCAGCAGCGTACACTACATTACCAAGTTTGAGAACCTATGACCTAATGAATCATTGACTTTTGACCTTTCCAGCACCACTCTAATACAATCACACATGTGACATTCAGTGCATTCACACGTCAGCAAAACCCAGTCAAATATAAAAAATGCTTCTATAGTGGACAGCACTATTACAAAAGCAGTGACTTCGCCCGGCATGGCGCCGCCGGGGCTCGCAAGCGGGCGCCTGCTGGTCGGGCCTTAGCCCACGGGGCCCGGCTGGGCTCAGCCCGAAGGGATGACGTGGGCAGTTCCTCCTGTGACCCAGTCCAGTCCACAGTCCACACACACAACATCTGGCTCTTGGGACGTGGAACGTCACCTCACTGGGGGTAAGGAGCCCGAACTCGTGGGGGAGGTTGAGCGATACCAACTAGAGATAGTCGGCCTCACCTCCACACACAGCTTGGGCTCTGGAACCCAACTCCTTAAGAGGGGTTGGACGCTCCACTTTTCTGGTGTTTCCCGCGGGAAGAGGCGGCGAGCTGGGGTGGCCATACTCATTGCCCCCCATCTCAGCCGCCAAGTGTTGGAGTTCTCCCCGGTGAATGAGAGGGTCGCGTCCTTCCGCCTCCGGATGGGGGACAAGTCTCTCACTGTTGTGACGGCCTACGGGCAGTGCAGAGTACCCGGCCTTCTTGGAGTCCTTGGGAGGGGTACTGGACGGTGCACCGCCCGGGGACTCCGTTATTCTCCTGGGGGACTTCAACGCCCATGTGGGAAATGCCAGTGACACTTGGAGATGGGTGATCGGGAAGAACGACCCCCCTGATCTGAACCCGAGCGGTGTTCAGTTGTTGGACTTCTGTGCCAGTCACGGTTTGTCCATCACAAACACCATGTTCGAGCACAAGGGTGTCCACCAGTGCACGTGGCACCAGAACACCCTAGGCCGGAGGTCGATGATCGACTTTGTTGTCGTATTATCTGACCTTCGACCGCGTGTCTCGTACACTCGGGTGAAGAGAGGGGCGGAGCTGTCAACCGATCATCACCTGGTCGTGAGTTGGATCCGCTGGCATGGGAGGAAGCTGGTCAGACCTGGCAGGCCCAAGCGTGTAGTGAGGGTTTGCTGGGAACGTCTCGCTGAGCCCGGTGGTGGACACCGGCAGTAAGGGATGCCGTCAGGCTCAAGAAGGAGTCCTATTGAGCAATGATGGTTCGTGGGACTCCTGAGGCAGCTTTCCAGTACCGGCAGGCCAAGCGTGCCGCGGCCCGGGCTGTTGCAGAGGCAAAAACCCGGGACTGGGAGGAGTTCGGAGAGTCCATGGAGCATGGCTATCGGTCGGCCTCGAAGAGGTTCTGGCAAACCATCCGGCGCCTCAGGAGGGGGAAGCAGTTCTTTGCCAACACCGTGTATGGTGCGGGTGGAGAGCTGCTGACCTCAACTGGGGATATTGTCGGGCGGTGGAAGGAATACTTTGAGGTTCTCCTCAATCCCCCCGTCACGTCCTCCAACCAGGAGGCAGAGGCTGAGGATGTTGGGGCGGATACTTCCATCTCCCTGGCTGAGGTCACCAAGGTGGTTGGCAGCCTCCATGGTGGCAAGGCGCCGGGAGTGGATGAGATCCGTCCTGACTATCTAAAGTCTCTGGATGTTGTAGGACTGTCTTGGCTGACACGTCTCTGCAACATCGCGTGGCGATCGGGGGCGGTGCCAATGGCGTGGCAGACCGGGGTGGTGGTCCCTCTCTACAAGAAGGGGGATCGGAGGGTGTGTTCCAATTATCGTGGGATCACACTCCTCAGCCTCCCCGGTAAGGTCTACTCCAAGGTACTGGAGAGGAGGCTACGGCCTATGGTCGAATCTCGGATTCAGGAGGAGCATTGTGGTTTTCGTCCCGGTCGCGGAACACTGGACCAGCTCTATACTCTCCATCGGATACTCGAGGGTTAATGGGAGTTCGCCCAACCTTTCCTCATGTGCTTTGTGGATTTGGAGAAGGCGTTCGACCGTGTTCCCCGGGGTGTCCTTTGGGGGGTTCTCAGGGAGTACGGGGTCCCGGGTCCTCTGCTGAGGGCCGTCCGGTCCCTGTATGACCAGAGCCAGAGCTGCGTTTGCATTGCCGGCAGTAAGTCAGACCTGTTCCCGGTGCATGTTGGCCTCCGCCAAGGCTGCCCTTTGTCACGAATTTCTAGGCGCAGCCAGGGGCCGGAGGGGTCCGGTTCAGGGACCACAGGATTTCATCTCTGCTTTTTGCGGATGATGTCGTCCTGCTGGCTCCAACGAACCAGGACCTGCAGCATGCACTGGGACGATTTGCAGCCGAGTGTGAAGCGGCTGGGATGGGAATCAGCACCTCCAAATCCGAGGCCATGGTGCTCGACCGGAAAAAGGTGCCCCGCCCTCTCCAGGTGGGTGGAGAGGTCCTTCCTCAAGTGGAGGAGTTCAAGTATCTCGGGGTCTTGTTCACAAGTGAGGGAAGGATGGAGCGTGAGATTGACAGGCGGATCGGTGCAGCGTGCGCAGTGATGAGGTTGCTGTATCGGACTATCGTGGTAAAGAGGGAGCTGAGCCGAAAGGCAAAGCTCTCGATTTACCGGTCAATCTTTGTTCCCTCCCTCAACTATGGTCATGAGCTGTGGGTAATGACCGAAAGAACGAGACCGCGGATACAAGCGGTCGAAATGAGCTTCCTCTGCAGAGTGGCTGTGCGCTCCCTTAGCGATAGGGTGAGGAGCTCGATCACACGGGAGGAGCTCGGAGTAGAGCCGCTGTTTCTCCACGTCGAGAGGAACCAGTTGAGGTGGCTCGGGCATCTGTTCAGGATGCCTCCTGGACGCTTCCCTTGGGAGGTGTTCCGGGCACGTCCTACTGGGAGGAGGCCCCGGGGAAGACCCAGGACACGCTGGAGAGACTATGTCTCTCAGCTGGCCTGGGAGACCCGTGGGGTCCCCCCGGACGAGCTGGAGGAAGTGTGTGTGGATAAGGAAGTCTGGGCGTCTCTGCTTAGACTGCTGCCCCCGCGACCCGGCAACGGATAAAGCGGAAGAAAATGGATGGATGGATGGATGGATGGCTTCTAGAAACAATAGTGATACATTATTTTTTCCCCTCAGATTTTTATACTGAAATCCAACATACAACTTTGGGAGCTGGTGGTACACAGGCACCTGAAAAACAGATGCTAAACATATTAAATAATACCTCACTAATTGTGCCCTATATCTATTCTGTGACTGGTCTGTGCGGTTTCAGGGAAGTTGAGTCTGCTTGTGTAGCGTAGTCTATATAGGTTACATTCATGTGACATCACAATGTTCCAAAGAGCCTATAGTTTAACCTTGTGCTGGTGGAAAGCTGTAAATTCTTCGTTTAGAGCTATGTACAGGAAGTACATAGAAGTGATGACAGTATTCAAAAGCCTATACATAGTGTTGGCCATGAGAAAGGACTTTCAGACATAAGAAGAAAACATTATAGGTACAGTACAGTATATGAATCACATTTGGACTTTTTTTGGGGACATTGATGTGAAAATTAGGTGGGTGTTAGTGTATTTCGATGGGACAGTGTGTTTTAGTGAGTGAGTGAGTGAAGAGTAACTAACAATAACTGTAAATACGACTTTTGAAGCTAATTTCCATCTGCAGTCACACTCACAAACACACACTCGTTCAATCCTCTCCTATTTTACAAGTTACGCAGACACAAGGAGAACACGCAAACTCCAGCCAGAAAGGCCCTGGTCTGTAGATACAATCCATCCCAAGACTCTGTAACTCAAGTGCTACCACTGTGCTAAAGATAAAAGATAAGTTCGTAAAGATAATAACATGGAAATCAACTACATAAAGAAACAGGTTATGAAGACCAAACAGGTACTTACACCTCCAAAACAGTCCAAAAAAAGAGTCAATACTATGAAAATAGTTTGTAAACTGTTGTTGATGTTTTGTGTATGTTTCTAGGTGGACATTACGAAGTGTGTGGTGAATACAGACACCAGTTTCCGCTCTCATTGGCTCGTCGCCGCCGCCTTCACGTGTGGACACTACCTCAAGGCCATAGTTTTGTACCTTCTTCGGGACAAGTGAATGTAATATCGTATCGTTGGGAAGGACAGAGCAGAGTACACACGGCTTCCATGTTTACACCTCACTAAACGCAGAGCATGAGAACCACACGTCTAACACTTATCACACACAATCTATTTGTTTTATGTGTTATGTCGCTTCGTTGACACAAGTTTAACAAAAAGCCGACTTTACACCTGCCTCGTGTCAATACAAGAAAAATCGGGATAATGCACATTCACGTTTCTGGCATCACTTACATGGTATTATATGGGAACAGGGTCTAAATGTGGAGTAAGTCGGTGAAAATTGGGGGGAAAATGAAGTACTATTTAACATGGGCTGTGGGAATGGGAACATCCTATAAAGAAGGGGAGGTCAAACTGGTTCGGCTGGTGAGGCTCCATGTTTTCATTCCAACCAAGCAGGAGCACATTTCTTCATGACTTCAGGTTAAGACTGGACAATTGAGGAAAAAGGTGCAACCACACCAGTTCTCTGAGGACCGGTTTGACTCCCCTACAACTGTAACAATGGCCCTCATTTATGAAACTTGCGCAGAAAAGGTTGTATATTTTTGGTGTAGATTCCGTATACGCAAGACCCAACGCGGGATTTTTGAACGTGTAAGATCCGCCCTGATCTGAGTGTACGCATACGCGGCTGTTAGTAAATGGCGCGGTGAAAACTAGCGTATTAATGAAAGTCACGCCTATAAATATTCAGAAACCGCCTGTTTCACGCCCTGTTTTTACGACAGGTCAGCATGGAACTCGACCAGGAAGACTGTTTGGAAGCCTCAAAAGGCTTGTTTAAGTAAGGGATAATGTATATTACGCAGGTCATTATCGGAAAATAAGTACTGACAAGGCGAAACTGCTTTCGCCCTGAAGAAGACCCTTTTTATGTATATATATATATATATATGTACATATACATACGTTTTTTCCCTAGTGTCTAGACCCACTGCAGCACTCATCTCTCTTGAACTTTAAAAGTGAGTGAGTGAATGAATGAATATTAATATCTCTGCCTCAGCGGTGGCTCTCATAATTAACCGCTTGAAGCGTCTGAGCGGTCTCTGTAATGCGAGAGAGAAAGTATGCGTATGAGAAGCTTTTGGGAAGTGTCGGTGATTTCACAGAGGAACTCTGGATCCAAAACGTCGGAATGAGGCGCCCCACATTTGAGGAGTATGCGGTCGGACTTCTTGTGACACCTGCTGCGCACTTCCCAAGAGAGCACTGCCCGTGCGACCATTGGATGGAAGGCGCCTATCTATAAACTGCTTCATGCGGAGGACAGGGCAGTGGCTGAGACAGTTTTGAGACCATCGTTTATGGGGCGAATGAGGTGAATGAGCAAAACAACAGCGCAGGGTCTGCCACAAATTTACAGAGAAATAGATGGGTCACACATTAAATAAGTAAGTAAGTGTATTTGTATAGCGCCTTTCATAGACCAGGATCACAAAGTGGTTCACATTTTTTTTTAAACATACAGATGAAAATAATACACATACAAGTCAGATTTAAAAACAAAGAAACAAGAAGGTCCTCATCATGATCTGTGATTTATTCGAAGTTTGCGTGTTTCCATTAGACTTTTTCTGATGCGCAAATTCAAATTTCGGAATGTGATGCTCAATGAAAACGCAGTTTATAATGTTGCCAGAGTGGGGATATGTTTATTGTTGTCCAAATCTTGAATGTTCTGCGTGTTTTGGCGAGTTGTGATGAAGGTTGAGATGGGTTTAAAATTTACACCACCTCCTCACTTGGCGAATATTCTGTGCGCACCGTATGCCCACGTCCAGATAGATAAATGCAGAGAAGTGTACATTTTTCGCGTACGCCTCATTTACACCCTGATTTGGCCGTACGCAAGTTTCATAAATGAGGGCCAATGTGTATACAGTATATTGTGAAATAATTTGTTGTCTAATTCTATGATGAGAGAAATCCCTGTCAGTTTTGAGCTTAAATATGCTGAGCTGTATTAAAAAATTAATGTACTATTGGAGGTTTTCATTGTTATTTTGTACAGTGTCAGAGTTCAGAAACCCTGATTGTTTTGTATATTGATGTGTGAGTCTTCTAAAGCCTTATTACAATATGGCTGTGATGCAAATGGAGGCACTGTTTTCTCTGTTGGTGAGCACTTTCATGACATTTCATTTGTATGTAGACTTTATTCTATGAATAATTTCACTTTTTATGACATGAAGCACTAGGTGTCCTAGTAAAATGGCAAATGTCTGTAATTTTGTACCCTCACTGTAAATGTTAAATAAATGTTCTTTCATGTGGATCAATGTATCTTCTTCGTGTTGTTGATTTGCCAACACAGATCAAAGAATCAAACACAGGAAAACCAATGATAAAAAACACATAGGAGCATAAATCCAGAGGGTGCGGAGGACCAATGTCCATAGATGTTAATAAATGTCCTTAGACCGTCCTGCATTGACAAGAAACTCAAAAACCCTGTGGGAATAAGAGAGAAACCTCACTTGTTCCCATGTGTATCCATGGGAAAAATGTGGCTTATGAGTCAGCCAATAAAAGGAGATTTTGTTTTGCATTTATCAATTTTAGACTTACATCATGCTTTAGGAACTTTGTCGTGTTGAGTCAGTTGGTTTTGAACCTGCAATTATACTGTCTGTGATTCTAACTGAGCGTAGACTATGATTGCAAAAAAAGTCATGATCGTGTAATTGTATCAGTACAGTCTATGATCAGTACCCCATATGTCATGAGTCATAATTGTGAGTGAGTAAAGGTTGTCTGAGTTATTGCTTGTTTCCATGGCATCTGTAAAATTGTAATACATCAATGTTACACCACTGAGAGATAATTGTATGTGAAATCTTTCTCTGTTACATAGTAATAGTAATAGAGCTGATTCTGTTGAAGAAAACGATCATTACTGGTGATATTAGACTTTATAAATGTGCAATTTGTTTACCACGAATATGCTTCATGGTATTGGAAATTTGTTCTCTGTATTTGACCATCCTTCATAGCCGCCAGGGCCTCTATCATGAGCAGTTTTATTCCCTATTGGACATGTTTTTATTGGTAGGGGAAACCGGAGCACCCAGAGGAACCCTACATAGACACAGGGAGCACATGCAAACTCATTGTTGTACCAACCGAGATTCGATACCTTCTTGCTGAGAAGCTGGAGTGCTATTCGGCCACCTTGCCACCCAACTAGAGTAACTTGAGATTATAATATTGAAACTAGTAATATATATTCCCCTTCTTACATTAAACTAGTCTGGTCGTACAACACCATAGTACAAATTACATTTCCGTGTACGGATGGCTAAGGCCAGGCTAACATTAAACCAGGAGGACCCAACTTTTGTTGTTGCTTAAATACATTTTGTTTGTCTCAATTTGTGAACAAATCATTCATCTCATTTTAACATACGTACTGAAAGCTGATTGGTTGAGTGAAGAACGTACTTTATTTTTCACCAAAAAAAACCTGATGTGACAGAGGGCAAAAAGACATGCATGTGATAAACTAGAGACAGAATAGAACCATACCTTTTTGAGATCTAGGAACTAGTTACATTGATTATATTTTGTGGTTTCAAAGTAAGATCCTGTTGTTACTTCACAATGGATTACATTACAGCGTCCGCAGATAAACTCCGTGACTTCTCCCATATACTGTATACAGTCTATGCTTCTCCCCTCGGACTGGGATACGTCATCGATCTGGAGTTCTCTTCTGTCCCTCTCTTCAATAGGCTGAGAATTTCAGATGTCCCGCCCCTCGCTGAGGTTCTGGTTCCCCATTGGCTCTGCTGACGTGGAGCAGAGAACAACAAACAAGACTCTGGGCCGTCGGGATGGATGCAGGTAGCCGCGGGTTCTTTGCACTTTTTGTTGCTTTTATTTCTATAGATACATTCCTACATCTACGTAGTGAGCTTACCCAGATAATAATGGACCGACTCTATAATCTGACAGTGGAAATATCACAGGGTTACCCATCGCTGTTGCTTTGCAGCTTCGCAGACGGTAGCTGCTAGTTAAAGCGATGACTAAAGCTAACTGTGCTAACTAACCTTTAGCCTGCTGTTTATGCTAAATCTACAGAGATACACGCCGTGACAACTGCTTTATCAAATGCGTGACTTTCTGTGCGTTGTTTAGATGCCATTGGTTCTTGTATTGTGGTTTTGTTGCAGTGTGTACTCTGGCACTTCTGTCTTTGGCTCCTCTGTTGTGCTAGCTTACTTTAAGTTAGCGTTACGCCCATACGAGAATAGTGCTGATGCGATGACCACATAATTTACTGCATACTATTAACTAATTATACGGATTAAATTGTGCTTATGTATGCCACTATATAGACTGTAAACAGCACGCCACATTGATAATCTATTTAGGAAGTCTTGAGTATATAGTCCAACTTTTTACTGCTTTTAGTGATGTGTTGGCATGTTTTTGATAGGGTCAGAAACTATAAGGACTTTTTTTGGTCATTTTGGTATATACTTTCAACTTCAACGTGGTAATTGTATAACTTTGGTTATTTTCAGCTATAAATAAAACGTATTTAACTTCAGAATACTAAAAACGTACTTTACTGCTGTAATTTGGTATTACTGTACTGTAGTTACTAGGCAGAATACATGCACATTTATTGACATTCTGAACACTCTATTGCTTGATAAAATGATGCAATGTGTTGCTGTGTTGGTACAAGTAAGTAACTGTAGTCTGATTAACACTAAACATAAGATTGCACCAGAATGTGTATTTTCAGTGCTTGAGTTGACTTAAATTGCTATGACCTTGTTTTAGCTACTTTGACATACGACACATTGCGATTTGGAGAGATTGAAGATTTTCCTGAGACCTCAGACCCAGTGTGGATCTTGGGAAAAGAGTATAATGGCCTCACAGGTATAAATGAGCATAATACTAATTAATACTGCTGATCTTTTTGTATAAATACATTTTCTGTTTGTATCTTGACATAGAAAAAGAAGATATTTTATCAGACGTCACCTCAAGGCTGTGGTTCACATACAGAAAGAATTTCCCCCCGATTGGTAAGTCAAATGAACATAGCACTCTGGTTAATGCAAATATTCCGAGGGCATATTTCTGTCGTTCCAGGTGGGACAGGGCCCACGTCTGACACAGGATGGGGGTGCATGTTACGGTGTGGACAGATGATTTTGGGGCAGGCTCTGGTGTGTAGACATCTAGGCAGAGGTAAGAAAAGCAAACATTGTTGCCTCCATTAAAACGTCACTTTTTCATAGTTTTAGTGCAGTTATTGGAAATATTAGATTTTCTTCCGTATTATGCTCAGACTAGACATTTAATACTTGCTTATTTTTTATGCTAAAGTTAGAGATTTTATTTGATTTAGTATAGAGTTCTTATATTGTGTGCACCTCATTACTATTGTTCTGTAACTGGTGCAGCACTGGCATTTTCCCACAGTGGGACGAATAAAGAATCGCTTAATCTTATTAAGTTTTCATGGATGTGTAGATGAAGACCAGTGACTAGCACAGTATTTCATTAGTAATAATCTTGCTATCACTGCAGCTGCATGGCACTCAAAGCTGTTTCTCTGACCAACAGTGAGCTGTGTTGGTCAACAGTGAACAAGGCTGATGAGATAACGGTCTTTTTGTTCCCAGATTGGACATGGACCAAAGGCCGCAAACACAAAGAAGAGTACGTCAGTATACTCAATGCCTTCATTGACAAGAAGGACAGCTATTATTCTATCCATCAGATTGGTAAGATTTCTTACTGACGAAAGTTACAATACATCTATTACTGCATTCAAAGTTGCATTGGTGTATTACAGTAACTCTAATATTGACATATTTTTACATACTGACATATGTTCTTACCTTACCTTAGACTAGTTGATATGTACCTGTCTGGTTTTTGTCCTTGCGCTCTGTCTTGCAAACGGAGCACAAACGCAGCCTCTTCCACAGACTGTATAGTACTAAATCAACCCCCCTTTAGAAGCTACCAAACTCTTCCACGTTTTCCCTATTTAAATACAGGCGTAATAATACGTGGAGCGCTTCGCCCGCGCACTAACACCCAAGACTTCTCTCCCGCTCACTTCCGTCAATAGAAGCAGCATGAGCGGGAGAGAAGTCTTGGGAGTTATTGCGCGGACCAAGCGCTCCTCGTATTATTACGCCTCACAATATAGTACCCCTTTTTATCCGCTGAGAAAATCGACATGTTACATTTCTGTGTTACTATACTTTGTAGTGTAACACGTCACATAACTGTATTTAAATAGGGAACACGTGGAAGAGTATGGTAGCTTCTAAAGGGGGGCTGATTTGGTACTATACAGTCTGTGGAAGAGGCTGCGTTTGTGCTCCGTTTGCATGACAGAGCACATGGACAAAGACCAGACAGGCACATATCAACTAGTCTAAGGTAAGGTAAGAGCATATGTCAGTATGTAAAAACGGTGGCCTATTCCTTTAAGAAGTCTAAATATTAGACACTTTTTTATAAAAATTAAGGTCTAAATTTTTGTTGTTCGCAGCTCAAATGGGAGTGGGAGAAGGAAAACCAATTGGTCAGTGGTACGGACCGAACACAGTGGCCCAAGTCCTAAAGTAAGGATCTGTCGGGTTAACTTTAGGCTCCTTTGTCAGGTTCTCTGTACCCTTCAGAAAGATGACGTGCAAGTTTTGTGTAGGATTTCAAATGCAGAGGATGAATTGCCCTACGGGGATCAATAAAGTGCCCCTTTACCTTTACCTGGACAACACATATGTGTTCTATATATTTTTGTCTTATCTGTTGATTCTCTGATCTTTGTTGGTGATTTCAATGGTTATGTTAAGTCCTCTGAGATGACTGCTGTTGTGATTTAGGGCTATACAAAAATGTATTGTATTATCTATCTAAGATTCTAATCTGGTTTTTTCCCACGCATTGCAACAAGCTGAAACACATTGAGACAAATTTGTGAATTTGTGACCAATATCCGAGTGAGATGGGTCTATTGTGGATGTATACTGAGCTTTATTGGTTTGAGTTGCCCCCAATGTTCAGGTAATTCAATTTGATTAGCAACGCTTTGACACAGTTGATATAGCCCAACAGCTATGATAAGCACATGATTATGCATGTAGTTGCTTTAAACAATGTCAAATTATTTGTATAGCGCATGTACAACAACACCAGCTGCCCAAAGTGCCTGACATGCACATAATAATTAGATACACACACATATATGTAAAATGTAAATAAGTAACACTCGGTTGGTGTTAAAAACCAAGGCACAACCTGGCCTCACTGATCTGACAGGAGCATACCAAGATAACACTGTGTCAGAGACCAGAGAAAGACCAGGGAGACCGACCAGTGATAGACTGCCACACAGAGATACCAGTTCTGTCAGATATACTGGGGATAAACCATTTAAACATTCAAAAACAAGCATCAAAAACAAGAAGATGTCTGCCCTGCTCTTGACAGCAGCAGCAGAGATAGATACCACTGCCTCTGGTTACACTCAATTGCATCATTTGTTTTTCAATGATAAGTAAACACCACATTGTCACCGTATGTTTTACTGGCATAGGCCCATTTTATTGCTCTTCCATAAGTAAAGAGTGACCAGACTGTGTTAAAAAAAGGTGTTCTCATTCCACATCTGAAACAACGTGTCCTTGAATGTGCCCTGTTCTCCGGTTTCAGGAAGCTGACAGTGTTTGATACGTGGAGCCGGTTGGTCGTACACGTGGCGATGGACAACACCGTGGTCATAGAAGAGATCAGTGAGTTTGCGTGTTAAGAGATTTACCGCGCCATCTTTCTCACAGATGTGCCCTTAAGTCCAGTCTGTTCTTTCCTTCATGCTTTGGTGGTCACTGTAATGGCTGTAAAGTCTTTGTTTGTCTTTAGGGCAAATGTAAATGATTCTTTCTATCACCTTGAGCCTCACATTCCCTTTGGTTTCTCTGCGCTTTGATTCATTTGATAGGGCCGTCTGTCTGTGTCTATAAATAGCTCAGATTTGAAGTGGCTTTACTGGTATTTTAATAATACATGATTGCATTGGGCCTTTAAATTGCATGAGCAGGAAAGTAAACAATCATGATTCTCTAATGGAATGTGACAACAACAAAAAAAAAATATATATATATGTAAAAAAGATAAATAAATAAAATAAATAAACAAGTATAGGAAACATGCATGTATTCCCATTGGGGTGATGACTCGGGGCATGGCTGTGGAGGGCTGGTGTGTGCTGCCGGGATCATCCTCTGCGCAGTTTGTCTGCTGCTATAGTGCTGCTCGTTGTCTCTGGGACCGGTCGGGGTGAGGTGCTGAGCCCGCTGCGGCGTATCATTCAAATGTGATGCGAATTTGATGAATTATTATTTTTATGAAACATTATGATTTATCATAATATACATGGGGTGGGGAGTTTATACGTTTTTTTTCTTCTTCCCACTCCATTTCGAGCTCTTGGAGTGTGCTTATGAACAACAAGGCCTATGTGAATATGAAATAGGTGGTTTTATTTTTTATTTTTTTATTTTTCTTCAGTGCACAGGAGCATTAGTGAATCATGTTCTGTTCTTGTGCTATGTTGTGGGATACTTGTTGTGTAATCAAATGTGTAATGTTATGGGCTCGAAAGAAAAACAAAATGAAAAAAAAAATTACTGGATTTTATTGTTGTATTGGGTTTACGTCTTACTCTGTATAATGCTTTAATGTTGTATAGGTTTAGATTTTATTACAAGCCTACACGTTACTCCTTTAGGTATAAATAAATAAAAGTAATGCAGCCATTACTAAAAGCTGGATCGCCAGCTTTACCCAACACAATCCAAAAATCCACTTCCAAAATACAAAAATGATTTACTTGTATTTATCCATATATAAATACTGATAGTATTTATACTGACCAGTGATAGACTGCCACACAGAGATACCAGTTCTGTCAGATATACTGGGACAAAATATAAATACTGATAGTATTCACATTGTCTCATTTTTAAAGAATTTAGTTGCAAAATATGTCACATACAAACACACAACTTGTAACTTCTCCTTTAAGAAGTTCCTCTGTCCTCCACTTGTTACTTGTATTAATGCCCCACTGTGTAGATAAATTTCCACAATATAAATCTCAATACTTGGATTATCTATGGCTGACCGCTTGCTTTGTATTTAATTGGCTCATGTAAATAGATAATTGAACAAAGTCAGTGGTAATACAGATCCTGAAGTTCAAATTAAATTAAAGTGATGGGTATTGTGTGTTGCCAGAGCGTCTGTGCATGCCGTGGCTCGAGGAAGCATGTCTGGAGGGGGCAGGGGCCATGAACGGCTGCCTGGAAGGAGCCTGTGCTCTGGCTGAAGAGGAGATGACTCTCTGGAGACCTCTGGTTCTGCTCATACCACTCAGGCTGGGACTGAGTGACATCAACGACGCGTATATCGAACCACTGAAGGTGACTCCACACTGTTGCATGAATCCTTTAGATCAAAGGTGTCAAACTCATTTTGGTCGGGCGCCGAATAAACAAATTAACTGGTCGGGGCTGAAAGATTAGAATATATTTCCTTTTCTTATATTTCCTTGTTTTAGAATAAATACAACTTGGTGGTTTTCTTTAGAAAACAGATTATGTATAACATGCCAAGGCAGTCCATTACCATAGGTTAAGTCAATAATAACATTGGAAAATAAATTTAGGGGCCACTAAAATTGTCTTGCGGGCTGGATTTGGGCCACAAGCCTGCTTTAGATGTACTTAAAAATATTATCCAACAATAATACCAAGTCTCAACACAAGACAATATTGAGGATCTCACTTTGGAGATGCATTTATCCATTTATCATTTTAAATTATCTTTTTTTTAATGTATCATTAATAATACATACATGGAAGTTTTATGCAGGTTAGTTACAATGTTCATTCAAAAGACAATGGGCCTCATTCACGAATAACTTCGTAAGAAACTACTCAACTTTCTTCTCAAGTTGTCCTTAAGTAGATTTCTAAGAAGTCCCCACGTGGGATTCATCAACGCACTCGTAAGCCGCTGAATTGTTCGCAGCTGTTCTCTCAGATTGATGAATCCCATTTCCTCGTAAGTAGAGCGCGCGTGCCAGGTGCTTCATTAGCATAGGTACTTAGCATAAGTAACCGCCCACTAATGCCCATATAAGGGACTGCAGGGCCGTGTGCAGACGGCAGAGGAAACAGCAACAGGCCTTTACACGGAGCAAAAGTCACCCTTTTTTCTTCTTTTACCAGACTGAGAATAAAGTTATAAAATGTTGACTTAAAAGTCGAAATATTATGATAATAAAGTCGAACTAGCAAAATTATGAGATTAATCTAAGAATATGATGAGATTAATCTCAAAATGTTATGAGCTTAATTTAAAAATATATTATGTATTATTTTAAAGATGAATCTCAAAATGTTTTGAGATTAATCTCAAAATATTTTGGACCCTGGGAGGAGATCCAGCGCGGACCAGCGCTGAGACCAATGCAGACCCGAGGAGAGACTGGAGTGACCAGCACACAGAAACCAGCGCGGACCTATAGGAGAGACCGCATAGACTGGAGTGACCTGACTGGAGAGACCGCATAGACTGTAGTGACCTGACTGGAGAGACCGGTGCGCAGAGACCAGCGCGGACCGAAGAGAGACCGCATAGACCAGACTTGAGAGACCAGCGCGGATCCGTATGGAGAGACCAGTGCAGACCAGTATAGATCCATGGGAGAGACCAGTGCAGACCCGTATATGGGAGACACCAGCGCAGACCCGTATAGATCCATAGGAGAGACCAGCGCAGAGACTCAGCGCGGATCCAGTAACCTCCTGCAGCAGCAGTATATATGCCGTTGTTCTGTGGCCCGTGGATAAAGAAATGCCCCCTATAAATAGGAAGGGGTCACTAATACACGGCAAGATTTCCAATGTATTTGATAAAGCGTTGGCACATTTCATTTCAAAATGAATTAAAAAGTAGGCCAGATCTGCAGTGAAAAAGGCGGTATATAAATAAAGATTACTAATAAAGATTACTACAAATAAATAAATACATACATCGATATGACGGACATATCACTGGAATGTTGTATTTTTATTCAACTTCACCAAAGAGGACAACCCCCGCGTGTGAACATGTCGGCACTGAATGCGTACGAGTGCTCCTGAGGACTCGTAGGATTTGTACTTGCCCAAGAGAAATTCTGGTTACGAGAAATATTCGTGAATGCCACTTTCTTCGTAAAAACCGCGTAAGTAGGATTTACGTACAAATCTGTTCCTAAGAACCGTTCGTGAATGAGGCCCATTGTTATCAACACTTAAACCAATCCATTTCTTCAAAGCGAGCCCAGACAAAAGCTGTAAAACAAATGACGGTCGTAATCATTAGTTGCAGTTATGGGAGTTCTGTCTGAGTCTGCGCAGTCATAAAGTGGGAGGTAATGGGGGAGTTGGGGAGAAGAGGGTGCTAGAATCCAACAAACTAAACTACTTGTCAACAGTTGTGGGCCACAAATCTATTTAGACTTCAAACATGTTTCACCTGGAGAATATAATCAGTGTTCTTTTCATTCTGTACTGCATACGTTTATCCAAACACATTCTAAATTTGAAATAGAAAAGGCCATTGAATTCTCCAATCACAGATCAGAAGATCAGTTCAAACACAAGGAAAAAAACACATATGGACCCCTTGGTTCATAAGGGGCAGATGACCAATGTCCATAAATGTTGATTAAAAAACAACAAAAGCTGGTTTCCTGACCTCACTGGTCTGTCAGGGGCATAACAGCTATAACAGTAACAGCTATATCAGAGACCAGAGAGAGAAACCAGAGATGTCCAGACTTCTCTCTCCACACACACTTCCTCCAGCTTATTCAGGGGAATCCTAAGGCCTCCCAGAGAGCTGAGAGACATAGTCCCTCCAACTTGTCCTAGGTCTTCCCCTGGTTTCCTCCCAATGGGACATGCCCGGAACACATCCCCAGAGAGGCGTTCGGGATGCATCCTAAACAGATGCCTGAGCCACCTTTATTTGTTCCCCTTGACGTGGAGAAGCAGCGGCTCTACTGAGAGCTTTTCCCCTGTGACTGAGCTCCTCACCCTGAGACCTCTTTTATACATTCAATCATTACCCAAAGGTTATGAACAGAGGTGAGGGTGAGAACGTAGATTGACTGGTAAAGAGAGTTGTCTTTCAACTTTCAGTGGGGCAAAAAAGTATTTAGTCAGCCACAGATTGTGCAAGTTCTCCCACTTAAAATAATGACAGGTTGGTAATTTTCATCATAGGTACACTTCAACTGTGAGAGACAGAATGTGAAAAAAATCCAGGAATTCACATTGTAGGATTTTTAAAGAATGTATTTGTAAATTATGGTTGAAAATAAGTATTTGGTCAATAACACAAATTCAACTCAATGGAAGGAGGTTTTGGCTCAAAATCTCACGATACATGGCCCCATTCATTCTTTCCTTAACACCAATCAATCAGTCGTCCTGTCCCCTTAGCCGAAAAACAGCCCCAAAGCATGATGTTTCCACCCCCATGCTTCACAGTAGGTATGGTGTGCAACTCAGTATTCTTCTTCCTCCAAACACGACAAGTTCAGTCCATAACAGTTCTACTTTGGTTTCATCTGACCACATGACATTCTCCCGATCCTCTGCTGTATCATCCATGTGCTCTCTGGCAAACTTCAGATGGGCCTGGACATGCACTGGCTTCAGCAGGGGACACGTCTGGCACTGCAGGATTTGATTCCCTGTCGTCGTAGTGTGTTACTGATGGTAACCTTTGTTACTTTGGTCCCAGCTCTCTGCAGGTCATTCACCAGGTCCCCCCGTGTGGTGTTGGGATTTTTGATCACCGTTCTCATGATCATTTTGACCCCACGGGATGAGATCTTGCGTGGAGCCCCAGATCGAGTGAGATTATCAGTGGTTGAAATATCGTTTGGGCTACATTTGAGCTATCTTTTATACAGATAACGAGTTCAAACAGGTGCCATTTATATGGGTAACAAGTGGAGGACAGAAGAGCTTCTTAAAGAAGTTACAGGTCTGTGAGAACCCGAGATCTTCCTTGTTTGAAGTGACCAAATACTTACCTTCCACCATAATTTACTAATAAATTCTTTAAAAATCCTACAATGTGAATTCCTGGACATTCTGTCTCTCACAGTTGAAGTGTACCTATGATGAAAATTACAGACCTCTGTCATTATTTTAAGTGGGAGAACTTGCACAATCGGTGGCTGACTAAATACTTTTTTGCCCCACTGTAGCTCCTCTTCACCACAATAGTCCGAAACAGCTCTGACTGTAGATGCTGCTCCCACCCTACAACAGTGCAGGGTTAGACTGCACTGTTGGTTAGGGTTAGACTTTGGTTAGACGCTGCTCCGTCTGTCAATCTCACACTCCATCCTTCACTCACTTGTGAACTAGACAGATATACTTGAACTCCTCCACTTCAGGAAGGATCTCCCCACCTTCTGGAGAGGGCAAGGCACCTTTGTCCGTTCAACATCCATGGCCTTGATTTGGAGCTGCCGATTTAAATCCCAACCACTTCACACTCTGCTGAAAACCGAGGACTATAAGCAATTGTGAATTTTCTCAACAGCCTTTTGTAATGTCTGAAATATCTTTATAATACTCAGTGAATCTAACCCTGACAATACTTTCCTCCAGCAATGCTTCATGCTGCCCCAGTCCTTAGGCGTAATTGGGGGCAAACCCAACAGTGCACATTACTTCATCGGTTTTGTCGGTACGTAGCACGTCTGATTTCATATGTTCACTTATGAAATCTCTTGCTTACACATTGAATGAATGCTTTTGTCTTTAATCCAGGTGAGGAGTTGATCTACTTGGACCCTCACACTACGCAGCCTGCAGTGGATCCCGCTGACGACGGACAGGTCCCAGACGAGACCTACCACTGTCAGCACCCGCCGTGTCGCATGCACATCTGTGAACTGGACCCCTCCATCGCAGCGGTACCACCTTTAGCATCATCACCTTTAGCATCATCACCTTTAGCATCATATTACAATCATGCTGGAAATTCTGTCATATGTCTCTCAGTGGCCTGAAAAAGTACTAATTAGTGCTGTCAGTTTAAGGCGTTAATAACACTAACGCAAACCCCTTGTAGCCCCTTGTAATTGTTTTAAATTGCGTGATTAACCCAAAAGTCCTGCACCTTCTGCTGTCCCTGTAAAGTCTAAGGCCAGAGGACTGCTATACAGCAGCAGAAGGTCAAGTGTACATGTTTGTCATATACATGTGGGTCATTTAAATGACGAGCGCCTAGCCACCGGGCCTCTGCGCGCCTCCTGGAGTGTGTTTGCATGCCACGAGACACAAGCCTACTCTGCCGAGGAGGTGCATGTTTCTCTTGCAGTGTGTAAAGGCCTAAAGGTGCTTTCACACCACAGACGCTGGAACGCTGACGCCTCGCGCACCAGACGCACATTCTCTAATTTTCAGACGCAGGGGTCTTCAGACCAGAAGTTCTGGGCTGCGGTGGCGCCCGCTGGAAGTGGCGGAAGTAGCGGGTGGACTTTGATGCTAACGGAGTTAAGCTAGCGGCTTTTTGTGTAAAGTTCTTCTCCAATAATGCAGCTCTTCAGCGTTTCTATGTCCAGAAACGTTATATAACAGCACTGTGTGTTCACGGAGGTGTTCTATTCGTTTATTTTATAATTAAACGGTACTTCTGCATCGGTGAATACACTCGAAGCAGTTGCATAAAGTCACAGGAGCATTAAAACGCATACGTATGTTCAAAAGCACAGACCCCCGTTGTCAACCCTGGTTTTAGTCCTGGTGTAGCTCCTGTTTTGGCTGTTTGAGTATGTTCAGTCTGCTCGCTCAGACCACTACTCTTCCCGTGACCACTTTGCGGCTCTCTGATTGGTCGCTGCACGAGCGTCCCGAGGAAACGCTCTGCGATATTTATCTGCTGCGTGCGTTGATTTTCCGCTCCTGCACCTCCCGTGCGCCGTGCGTCTCTGCCACGCAGTCCGTGCGTGTATCCCGAGACGCACAAGCAGTTCGACGCTCGAACGTGCGTCACCGTTGACTTTGTATTGAAAGTTGACGCAATGCATGATCTGGTGTGAAAGCACCATAAGATATTGATGTTTATCAAATTGATGGTTTTTATTATTACCTCTCAAATTTGCTCCTTTTTGTGAGTTTCCATTCTATTTTCATGCAGTCCTAATTCCATTACACTCTTCAATGAAAAGTAATAATACGATATATGAACATAGAAAATATATAATAACACTTCTAAATTGTCAAGACCTATTGTGTTTTATTTCACAGGGCTTCTTCTTCAATACAGAAGACGAGTTTGACGACTGGTGTATGCGAATCAGACGGGTATAATACTCCTTCCTTTTTATGCATAGATAGATACTTTACTGATTCCCGTAGGAGAAATTCAAGTGTACACCAGCAGAAAACAAATCTATATTACACATAAGTACATCAAATTTAAACATTTGACTGTATGACTTTATATCTAAAATACTTAATAAGAGATTAAAGCCATAGAGAAAAGCGCTGTCCTATCCAGTTTTAATGTGTAGTTTCTCTGTGCTGCATCCTGAAGGTCAAAAGAATGAAAGTTCCTTGTGTGGAATAATATTGAACTTATGACAATATAGTTGTTTCCTGCAGATCTCTTGCAACAGAGGTGGTTTGCCTATGTTTGAGCTGGTGGACTCTCAGCCCTCGCATTTGGTCAGTGTGGATGCCCTCAACCTCACCCCTGGTAAGAACTCTTTCAAACAAATTCTTTGTACATTTATTAAAGCCCCAGACAGGGGTTTTGTACAGCCGCAGTGAGAGCCAAAGTGCAAATCACAAATCTTCATGCTCTTATTCATAATTCAGATGTCTATCTCCTTAAATAAATATTCAATGGACTTCCAAGTTATGAATCCATTATGAAAAGTCATTTAGGCACTAGACTTTTCACCCCGGAACATAAGGGCTGTAACTGTTACTGACAACACCAGGACTTGCAGGATTCATACAGGTTCGGCATGGAGCAACCAGAGTTATTGGGTTGCATACAGTACCTCTACTGGTACTTTTGTGGATGAGGTTGAAAAAATAAAGTATAAAAAAAACTGTTTATCAACTTACAATTACCCCACATTTCTTCACCCTTTCTGTCATTCTCCTTCTATATCTTTTCATGTGTGACTATTTTACACACATCTAATCGTTCATCAAATGTTTTTCTTTCCAGATTTTTCAGACTCTGACAGACTGGAGCGATTTTTTGACTCCGAAGACGAGGAGTTTGAGATCCTCTCCCTGTGACGAGCAAAACCTAACACTGACTGTTGATCGGTGGGCAAAGACTGTGGCATCGCCGCTCTCCAAACCAGACGGAAACTTGCACGAAAACAAGGCCCGGACATTTACAGGAGCCTCTTGAGCTGCTCCCATTGAAACGGTGATCTCTTCAAACGCTTCTGACCTGTCCAAAATGGCCGCTCTCTCCCCCTCTCTCTGGAGCAGCAGCAGTAGCAGAAGCTCAGGATCCACGCCCATCTCCACTTCGCTGCGTTTCCATCCAAGTCTTAATAACGAGTCTTTCACTATTCTTTTCTCAAGTGGTGCCTTTCCCTGACTCCGGTTAATAAATTGCCATAACAGTTTTATGTTGTGTAATAATGGACAATGGATGATATCATACAAAAGGCCCTTCCATGGCTTAAGCAGTGGTAACTACTTATCTGTGTTTAGGCTGTAACGAAACCAAATTCAGTCCAATTGCATTAATTGTACACTTTTTATTTATTGCTCACAACATTTAGAGAACTACAGTATATGTAATACCAATGGTTTAAGTAAGGAAATAAAAAAAACTCCCAATATTTGAACACATTTGTGCCTACAATATTTTTTGCTGACATGTTTTGATGGCCCAGGGATTTTTGGCATCATACAATACTTAAACATTTCAGTCCACAATTATCTTTCCTTGTTTAAATCAATATCCAGTAATTCATTCGGCTTTTTCCCATATTTTTTTAATAACATTTACAACCCCATTCCCTGGTTAATATCATTTTGCAGAAGTCAAGGAGCATGTATGGATTTGGTATAACAAAAGAAACCCTGTTATTTGAGATGTATAGGTCTATGATTTTTCCATATATGAATTATTGTAGGAAGCAATACTAATGAATGTCAGAGTGCAAGCGTTTGTTTGTTTAGCATTGAAAAACCTCACTTCCATAACGTCCCAAGCTGTGTTTCTTGCGCTGCGTTGATTGCATTGAGGCTGTGGTCCTGGATGCTAGTGTGGACGTTGTCAATACTTTGGGAAGCATCGATTACCTGCAAAATTAAATGGTATGTTCAGACCAGGGGTGTGAAACCGGTCCTCAAAGGGCTGGAGTGGCTGCAGGTTTTCATTCCAACCAAGCAGGGGCATACCAGACCCATTTTCTCAAGTCTTCAGATTAAGACTGGTTTGTGCTCCTGTTTGGTTGGGATGAAATCCTACAGCCACATCGGCCCTTTCTGGAACCAGTTTGACTTCCCTGGTCTAGGGCGTTTTACACTGAAGCAAAATATATGACTGTTTTGGAGGCAATTGCATTTGTAACTGCGTTTTTGGTTGGAACGTGATGATCACGTCAATGGAAAAATGGTTTAAAATAGGGTTAAAAATGTTATGACAGTAAATATTGATAATTTTTTTTTGGCTGGAATGTTCCACAGTATGGCATTCAATTTCCTATCTACATCAGAGATAAGATAAGACTTTGAAGCAATAAAAACAATTGAATTTGATATGTAATGTAACGTAAAGGTTTTGTATCATATCGAAGACAACACCAAGCAAAGAAATGACAAACAGCAAGTGGCCATCCCCATCCGGAATATAACTACAAAAAAAATTACTAGTTCCTCGCCTTTTAAATGCATGTAGATGCAGTCACATCTTTAGAGCCACTTTTTCAGACACTCAACTCATTGGCTCTCAGCCCAAAGGCTCAATGATATGTTTTATAAAGCTATGTTTCACTCCATACACAGTGGTGATAAACTACTACAGTGGCAACAGCTGCCCTGGGGGACACCGACAGGCGACCATCTATGTGCCATCAGCCCCTCCGACCACCACCAGTCCTTCACACACACACACACCAAACTCCTTATAGGCAATGTGGGTGAAATGTCTTGCCTAAGGACACAACGGCAGTTTGGCACTTTACAGCTGCCCCACTGTGGCACCTGGTGATTCCAGAGGTCTCCCATCACAGTACTAACCAGGACCTGCCTTACATGGCTTCAGGTCTGACAGGATCTGGCTTTTACATGCATGTACTGTGTGGCCATGATCAAGTAATAATAAGATGCACGCAACATTTTGTGGTTGGATTTTTTTTTTTTTTTTTTTTAAGTTTGGTACCCCAGTTTTAAAGCATATACAATTGAATACATTGATAATAGTATTTGACGGCAAACAGTAGAATAACTACAAATGGAAATTATACTGTATGCCACAGTTTCTCATTGTGTCTTTTCAGGTCAAAGTTGATGTAGATATAATTTTTTTACCTTCCAGTTGACGCTTGTATCCTTCATCAGTTCTTCAAATCTTTGCTGTACTCTATTCTGGAAAACGCTGTTTTCGTATCTCTCCTCCCCAAACTGCCCCCGCTGCGCAGCTTCAGACGGGTTCAGCTGCAGGAACATGACCAGGTCTGGTTTGGGGAGCCCCACGTCCGGACTCTTGCACCAGTCGAGACAGAAACCCTGAAAGAGACACAAGACACCAGCACTTTACTAAGTCTTCAGAGTACTATCATGGTATGGAGACTGCTGACTCACAGGTTTGGCACTGGTGAAGGCTACTCCAGAGAAAGCATAGCGGTCTACAACTAAAGTGGTCCCCTGCTCCAGCTTTTTCTTCATTAGAGGCCTAGTGGAAAGTAAACACAGAAACACTAAAAGCCATTACATAAGCAATGACATAGGCATAATAATTTAGGTCCTCCATGATATAAACAACATTTATTTTGAATATAATTCTATTTTGGTTGATGATTTGATTAATGACAGATTACATTCAAATACTGTATCACAACCAAAAAAAGGATTTGGCTTGAAACAACTTGCTTATCGATCCTTAGTTTTGCACGCAAATACAAGAATACAAGAAGAAAATCTATGGTAAGTAAGTAATCTTTATTTATATAGCACATATTACAGACCATGGTTACCCATAGCGCATTACAATATTCAGAGTTCAGAAATTCTGTTATCTCCACACGGTGATAACTGAAGCAAAAAGCACCAACCAATGCCATTCATTCACTCATCACATGCAGACCTATTGTACATGGTTTTAGTAGTAGGGGAGACCGGAGCACCCAGAGGAAACCTACACAGTCACAGGGAGAACATGCAAACTCCACACACAAAGGCCTGGAGGTGAAATCGCATCCAGGACCTTCTTTCTGTAAAAGACAAGCGCTAACTGCTGCCCACCGTGCTGCCCATGAGACCAGCAACAACACAATCTGGTATTCACATGGTATATTAGATCATTATTAAAATAAGAAACCTTTATTTGTACCTCAGAGGGGAAATTTCAAATTTCATAGTTAAGACATTTATTCCAACATTTGAAATACATAAATAATAATTAAAAAAATATATATAAATATGTAGGGGTCAAACAAACTAATCGATAATATTTGTTGCAATATTTCCGACAACATTATTACATGATTACACAAAAGGTATAACACGTGTACTTTCTTACACTAGTTCCCATCGGTTTGCAGAGAAGAGCAGGTGCACTGTGTGGTCCTCCAAATCACTTTTCTTTTCGAGATAGGCACTGATCAGCTGTCCGATGGTGGTGGACCTGTCTGCAATAGAGATCAAGTTTGGTGCGTTATCAGACCAGGCAGAAATGCTAGTCTTTAGGTAGGAATGAAAAGCACACAACACAAGATAAGTGAATACCACAACTCTATAAAAATCTATCTTAATTAAGAAAATGTTTAAGAAATATATACGTGTATGCATAAATCTGCAGATAAACCAGTGATACACTCTAGTGCAAGAATATTTGGATAATAAGTCATTATCTTTGAGCTGGCAAATGTTCACAGTGATGTAAATACTGTACATGTTAGCATCATGAGGCTATGGGCTTAGCATGTCACTTTGTATGCCACTTAAGGTATGCAAAAATAATGGATGGATACAACACATGTTATTGCACCATTTATAATGATCACAGTTTTGTTTTACCGGGAAACCTCATCATTTCCGCGGGTCGTCCACTCAGCTCCAGCGCCTTCACCAGTTTCTTGCACTGTGTGGTCTTTCCGGCTTTGTCCACTCCTTCCAGGACAATCAGAGCTCCTCTTTTACACGCCATTTTACACGCAGTAAACTAAAAAAACAGCCAAAACTAGAGCTCTTCAGTGAACGCTCGGATTCCCCGCCTTTTGGACACTTCCGTGTTTCACGATTGTAAACACGGAAGTGTCCAAAAGGTTGCCAGATTTTTCAAGGCCCTTTGTATAAAATAATAAGTCTAAGGTATAAACGTAATAAATCCATGATTATATTATAGGATATATCACAGCGTACATAATACTTCACCAATAAAAGAAACGCAACCTGTTACGTTGAAAAATGTCCAATAATCGAGCTTACAAATGTATAGAATAAAAGCGTAACTGTATAGCAAAGAACCAGACTTGGCAACTATGCAGTTTATTAGGCTAGAGAAGGTGACCAACATCTATCAACAGTTCATTCTGTGAGTCATGAGTGTGCTTTGTTATTATTATAGATCCATGTCTCAATCTGAATGATTGACCTGACGGTGGCGCTACAAGAACGTTCATATCCATCTCTAAAAAACAGACTAGTGGTCAATACTTCTGAGAGGTTAATTTGAAAGGATTTGCATGAAAACCTCAAGATAAATTAATCCTAATTTAAAGGTTTGGTCTAATGGGGGCGCTAGAGGAGTGGTCAACTCACTGATTTTCAAGGGAACCAGTTGTCACAAAAAACGTGATAAATGTAAATAAAGGCCCAAATTTGTGATTAGGGTTAAAGTCATTATCTTATTTGTTTGAAGCCTTTTTTCATTTTAATTTAATTTGGCCTGGTTGTAAACATGGAACTATGTGACATTACTGTCCTCTGAAAATTAAAAATTGCAGCTATATACAATGGGTGGGGATAGGAGTTGGAGAAAAGACATTTTTATGAGCACTTTTCAAAGGATCCCTCAATATTTCATGAAGCTATCAAACACTAGATAAAATCTGCTGAAGTCAATGCTGAAGATTTAAACTAAGAAAAAGGAGAATGTTCACAATAGTAACTAACCATCTATACATAGCCTTCCTGAACCATTCGTACATGGAAGAAACACTTTATACATTGTTTATTACGCAAATACAATCAGCAATTTATGACTACAATACATTTTTACACTTTGCTCTTGTGGCAGTGTTTCAGAGCATCTTTGAGAGCTGCTAAAACCATATCAACGCTGGCCTTAGTGCTGTTGCATCCCATCAGTCCAACACGCAGGACCTGTACACAAAATATATATATATATATATGATTTGTGTAATGTACAAAATACATTTGATGGTCTCTTACCAGACCGACAGAGGGACCAAGTCCTCCTGATATCTCCAGATTATGAGTTTTCATTATGTACGCTGTGATTTCTTTCCAGTCGTATCCATGCGGAGCCACAATGGTAGTAACTGTTGGTAATCTGGCTTTCTGAAATGGGGAAAAAAAATTGTTGAAAAGTTGAAAGATAACTTAAAGTAGCAATATCTAAGATTTTCATGTCAAGTCATCATTAAATGGCCTCAATATGTCAAAAGGCATTAATAAACCATGCTCTTTTCAAATATGATGATAGTTTTATAGATCCAAGCCAAGAGGTTGGGTTGTTGCTCTAGCTCAACTTGAATCAGGAAGTAAGATCACATTATTCCAGTTCTCAGGTCCCTGCAATGGCTTCCTCCGGCTCAGAGAATAGACTTAGACCATGTTAATGCCATATGAACCAACTCTGACTCCTGTTCGTGCTCAGAGTCAGGACTAAACATGGGGAGGCAGAATTTCATATTTATGAAAATATGAGACAGGCTTCTAAAATGTTTAACTTTAACTTATCAAGCTGCATTATTTTAAGATTAAATAAGAGAAACTTAATGTATCTCACAATGGAGAAATTTACACGTCACATTCTTTATGGTTTTAGTATTATGCATAAAACTACTCTAGTAACGTTACATTGAGTCACTTACTTTTTCCTTGACAAAAAGCTTTAGGCCCATGCTCTCTAAACCAGAGTGGAAATACTCTGCTGCGGACTCATGTCGTTTCCAGGAGTTTTCAAGACCCTGTGAGGACAACAACAACATTTTGAACAGTTAAAAGTCCTGAAAATCATTGAATTATTTCCCACCTCTTCTGCAAGGACAGCCAGGCCTTCTCTCAGAGAGTAGAAAGCTGTGATGGGCCCAGTGTGGTGGTAGCTGTGATACAAAAACGTGTGTATTATAAGATGTTCCCTCTCTCGATGCACTTTTATTTTATATTTTAGTTATTATAATCAGACCCTCATCTGTCCAATTCTCTTTTCACCATCCCACTGGCATCACCTATTAATGTTACCCGGATATGTCCGTATACCAATTTTATTTTTTTATCTCTGTTGTTACTGTCCATTAGTCACACAATAGCAGCACTAGGAGTTTTCTTGTGCTATACAAATAGTGGAGCATTTCTGTTTGAGAAACTTATTGCATTGATTTAATGACGTGTCATAGTTTTTTCAAAGTAAGGTACTCCAACTTTAATTGGAAGAAACTGTTTTTAGATTAGCTTTATACTATTGTATGAATAAGTGGTATATAGTTGTTTAATATAATTGCAAATATATCTCAAATCATGACAGAACTAATTAAAGAGACAATCTGTGTGGAATCGATATGTCTGGATTTTATAATGGAACTCACACTCTTGCTGGCTTGTCGTCACATCCCCAGTAGTTTGACAGCCAGCTCAGGTCCAAGAAGAAGGAAACTGGTTTGGTTTTACGGTTGAAAATCTTCTGACTGTGGGCAGAGATTACATATCACTGGCTTTAGCGTGCACTTTTGGATAAAATCATCAAAACAAGTCTTTTACCATGCTCTGTCACTGAAGGAGATGGGAGCTGTACCTGGAGGAACGTTCAGCACCTTCTGAGATCCTGTGTACAAAATGTCTATCTCTGCAAGTAAGGGAAGAGTAAGAAACTAATTGGTATGTCAGTAAATGGATGTCTGACTTGATCCTGTAATCATATTTTTGAAATCGGCTGTGCTAAAACAGTCAGAAGACTATGCATCTGGCTTGTCCAATGTTGTTGTGATGTTGTGAGTCTTTGCCAACTGGGCGGAAGGGTGGCACAGTGGTTAGCACTTGTGTATCACAGCAAGAAGGTCCTGGGTTCAATTCCACCTTCAGACCTTTATGTGTGGAGTTTGCATGTTCTCCCTGTACTATCTGCGTAGATTTCCTCCAGACGATCCAGTTTCTCCTACCACTAAAAACATGTACTTCTTGTATGCAATTGTTATAGAAATATTTTAGTAAAGCAATCTGAATTAACACCATATAGTTATGAGTGTAAGTTATTAATTAATGGTCAACTCTGGATTCAGATACAGGCCATAATGCTCTGTTGGCAGCAGGTCAGTGATAGATGGAGACGTGCTGCATCATGTCTTTGACCTGGGTCATAGAACAGTATGTTCAGTTCAAAAGCAGATTGTTACATATATCAGAGTTGTATCAGCGTTAGGACGCGTAAAGAGAAGCCTTGAGCAACACATATCAATGTTGACTTCATTTATGTAATATCTAGAGTAGATATGTGTTTGTTTACTCTGGTCTTTAATGTACAGTCATTTCCTCAATCGTGGCAGTCGATTTCGGACGGCTGCCCGGTGGTATTGGTATCGGTTCGGTTATTCATTGTAATTGTGCACATTTACTAATGAATAAACTCACACTTTGTTTGGAATTACAGCTCTGAGTTGTTTACATTATTTTACTCTCGTTATGTGCAGAATTTCCACAACACAACCATGCTCCCTTCTTTAGAGGACTAACGCCCACAACAATTATAAAGCACTATGAAGACGCTATATAAATAAAGATTACTTACTAACTAAATGTATGTTTTCTTCACACTTGTTCTAACACTGCTCACCTTGCTGATCCATATACAAAGGTGTTCCTCCCATCGCTGCCACAGAATCAACCAGTAACAAGCAGTCATACCTGATGGAATAATGCACCAGTCAGCGTTCATGATAGTGAATTTTAAAAACAGATAGTAATTTCAGCTTTATATCGCATGAATGTACAGATAGTATTAGTATATTCATTCATTAATTCTGGCTGACGTTGATCTTACCTGTGGCAGAGAGCTCCGATGCCGGCCAGAGGATGCAAGACCCCGGTTGAGGACTCTCCGTGGGTCACAAACAGCAGCACAGGTTTGTATTGTATCAAAGCCTGAAAGGTTTATAGTCTGTTACAGTAGCTTCCAGAGTACTGCATGTAAATCAGAGGTGACAAGAAGCTAGCTAAGTACATTTACTTTACACTTTTCTCTCAGAGCCGCCATTTTGAATACTCCCATCAGACGAACAGCATTCGTACATTTCTCCCAGATAGATCAAAGTTAATTGATTAAATCATTGTCTACTGCTCTTTATTCACTTTTACTATGTGCTAATAATTGTTAATATAACTTTAAATACAGCAAAACTGTCTGTTGAAGGGCTAATGCTAAAGAAAAAATGCTAACCGCTGGAAGTGCCTTAGCCATGTACTGTACTTGAGTAGTTTTTCCTGGTATTACTTACTTACTTTACTTACTGTAATTTACTCCTAAATTTGTGGACAATTCTTTACTTTAAACCTTTTACATTTTAGTATGTTGTTACTTTGAAGATGGCGACACAACATAAACAGATCTGCACATGCGGATCTCTTTACCACTCGCTCCAAAAAGCCGGACCTCTTTACCGCGGTACATAAACACAGGTTTGATGTGGTTAGCCTAAGGATCTATTAAGGTTAGCCCTGCTTCATAAGATGTTCATAAAAGTCCTGACCATTTGACAACATTCATAGTTTTATTGTAATTGTATGGAACAATTTTAGAACTTTGTAAGATTTTCTCAAATAAGTCCATCAATATTTCAACAGAAATGCATTTTACGTTTTTACTTGAGTACTACATACAAAAGCTTGTACTTTTATTCTTTTACTTATAATGAATGATTTAAGACTAGTGCTTTTTCCTCCCCTTCTGTTATGATACATTTACCTGCTCAATTTCTTCCAGACTGAAGAATCCACCAGGGGGCGCCACAATAGTGTTTACTTTGGCACCTGCAGAGTTAAAATGTTATTACACTGAAAGACACATTAATTTACACTAAAATTAAATGTACCTATCCTCTCTGCCATGTCGGCTGCCCGTTCACCCCAGATGCCGTTGACCGCGCTCAGGACGCTCTCCCCGGGCTCCACAGCGTTGAAAATGGCGCATTCCATCGCCGTGTGCCCCGTCCCACTCACTGCAAACGATACTCTGTTCTGAGTCTGGAACATGTACTGGATGCCACTCTTTATGTCGCTCATGATCTGCCAAGAAATTAGTTATTATCACATGAGAGTAGATTTAGACATGAGAAAATGAAAAGCTTGTGGCAATATTTTTTTGCTGAGAAATATTACGATAATATTGAAACTTTAGTTGATGAATCGCTAATCTAATAAGCAATAATATTACGTTTTGAAGCCCCTGCAAAATTGAATTGAAAAGTATGCCAATTGAAATGTCAAGGTAAGAAGAACCTAATAACTTCATTCATTGACGAATCAATAATGCTGTAATTATTTATTGTTGTGGTCCTTTGAAAACCATAACATATTTTCAACATTTTTGTGTCATGGGTGAGGATGCAACGATATCGATACTTGTATCGGGTATCTGGTCGATACCATAGGCCTTACACAGCAGGCACCTGTGCAGAGCGTGTTGCCATGGTGATCTCCTGAAACCGAGAATGTGTTTGTAAGCTAGTGGTTAGCGGATATTGGCCGTATTGCTGGGGTTGCAACCCCGTGACCAAAAGAGGGCGTGGCAGGGGACCGTCGGACGTTTTAAAGTAAACGAGTGGCAAGAGTAAAGTGGACTATACATTGTGTAAGGCAAAATGCTCTCATCTTGACCAAACATCTGAAAGGTAGTATAGCACCTTTGCTAGCACCGGAGCACAAAAACAACATTCTACAACATAGCATTTGTGAGAGTGGAATATGACATTGGCTCTTATTGTTGACTGTTAAAACAATCGCTAAAATGTTTACTGTATTAGTATTATAGTATAGTAATTCCCCGGGATAACAATGCAGTACTCATATCGGTATTTGGTATCGGCATCTGCAAGTACTCAAGTTAAGGTTAAGGTAAAAAGTGGTATCGGTGCATCCCTAATTTAAAGTTTATTTATTTCCAACATGCATATATCACAGAAAAGTTATTCACAGAAAAGTAGAAAATTGGATGTAGCAAAAAGCTATATTAATCCTATCGCCTCCCAGCCATACAGACACACAACAACATTTCGCTTTCACTCACCTCAAATATCTCTGGGTGCATGTGTCCGATCACAGGCTTGGCCCCTGCTTCTAGGATCCTCTGTGGAGCGTTGGACGGTCCCGGTCCAAACATGTGTCGATGCGGGACGACCAGCGGCCTCCTCAGACATGTTGGTGGAGGAACGGTGAGAGACGACATGCTTTCTGTGCTTCAAACTCAGACTAAATTGTGAAATCCTCCCGTTACCACAGTCCACCTCTGTCTGCCCACGTCACTGCCCTGTCACAACAGCATTTTGGGATCACTTTGAACGTCCATTTGGTCACTCAATGTTGTCCCAAAGATAAGGAAGTCAAGCAAGCGTGGTCACATCTGTTAATCATTGACTGGTCTCAGGCTTGTTGTGTCCCACTTTGCACACAGACAATCAAAATCGACCATTCTACTCTGCCAATGTACGTTTTGCTTCTTTGCCCTTTTTCTATCAGGTTTTTTGAAGTATTTTTCATTTTCCCATCAATTTTAATAGGACGAGGAATTATACAAATACACACTACTGTCATAATGTTTATAACCTTTATGACAGAGTAAACCGAATTGAATCTGTATAAAGAAGACACAAAACACAGGTTTTGTTTTTTAAAGGTACTGTATTATTGTATATATTGTATTTGCCCCTTTCATCACAGGGGCCAACACCATGACTAAAATAGAGTCTTTGCTGTTTAAAATCTACACTTTAATCTGGCCTTAAAGATGGTAAAAGATGCTTTATTGTTGGCTGCTCAGAGTTGAGCTTGGTTATTCCTCTGGTGGATGAAGAGGTGTCGTCCCAAAGGCTCCGGGCTGAAGTCTCCCTCCCAGAACACCAGCTGGCCCCGGACCACCGTGCCCCTGACGGCACCACGGAGCTTCATCCCCAGGTACGGAGTCAGCTACAGGACAAAAGACAGCTCTTATCTCTCTGGAGTTTTAACACATTCCAATCACATTAAACACATTCCAATCAAAAGCCACAACACTGCGTGTGTACTAACAAAAATGATCAATCTCTGTTCTGTTATACCAACAAGATTGTCAGTTTACCTTGTTTCTGTGGTGAATGTTTTCTTCTTTTATCTGTAGAACAAGTAGAAATGACAAAAAACATTACTTACATTTGCAAGTAATTCATAGTATTACATTTGCAAAACGCCTTAATAAACCTGAAGTGCCAAGAACCAATTCTGTAACTTCACCTCAAACTCCAGCTCTGGGTCCCATATCACAAGGTCTGCATCGAAGCCAGGAACGAGTTGAGACTTTAGGTGGTCCAGACGGCACACTTCAGCAGTTTTTTGGCTTAGAAGTCTCACCACATCTGGTAACCCAAAACCTCTTTGGCTGGCAGAGGTCCAGAACAGAGGCAGACCTTATAACACAGTATATATAATTGCATAAATGTTTCTCAGCTGCCATGTTTAATTGAAAGTCTTCTTTTTTCAAGCTTGACAAACTCTTTTTATTCAGAGCAATAAATTGGCTATAATCAAGATATTTCGAATAATAATTCCAAGAAATATAAGTCATTTATAAGTCATTTCAGTCATAAGTCATCGCATAGTGGTAAAAAGGCCGTATGCCACTTTGAGTATAAAAGTAGCACTCCAAACAAGAAAAACAGTTATATGTACTTTTGACTGTTTCAGAAGTACCATGTACATAGTAATCGTATGTTAAAATAGCTATTTATGACCTTCTTTTAAATTGGGTCATGTTTGAACACTGTCAGAACAGTAAATCATTAGGCCTTGTGTGAACTTCACCCATGCATTATGAGAGGCTGCCAAAATGGTTTAGGAAACCACAGCTAAACAGGAATAGGTGAAATGTGAAAACAGTGTGTCGCATACAAGGTAACATGTATAATATTCAATCTACAATGTGTTTTAAATGGGGCCTAAATATATATATTAGAATGATATATTTTACATTAGTATCACTTCTTACCAAACTGCAGAGAGGAGATTCCTCCCCAGGCCTCAGTGAAGTCTCCACTCTCCAGTCTCTTGAGGTCTGGAGTACAGGGGGAATGGTCTGACACCACCATGTCAATGTCCCCGGCTTTCAACGCACACCATAACTCCTCCTAATAACACAAAATCCACCTTTTGCAGAGCACAGGGAACATAGAATGTATAATTTTCCTCCATTCCCTTACCTTGAACATCAGAATCATTTTTATTGCCATGTAAGTAACAGGAAGTCACAGACTAGGAAATTGCTTTGGCTAGTAAAAGTGAATGCCTCTAATGATAACGCTCCATAATCATTCTGTCACACTAACCTTTTTGGGCTCAACAATCTGTATAATCCTGGTGGTTTTATTTTGATATTGTTATTGTAAAGAGTCCAGCTATGTCCATTAACAACTGACCAATCGGGCACATTTTGCCTTTAGCTAGCAAGTAGCAGCACCATACGCAGATACACAATGAGAACACGCAAACTCTACACAGAAAAGCCGAAGGAATCAAACCCAAGAAGGTAAAATTATTCACATTTCTAAGATAATTACATACAAGTAAATTACATAATACACAACAAATAGATTCAGAAAACCAAAATATACATTACGCTTCCAAAACAAAGAACCATCAATTTGACTGCTCTCATAGCATTAGTATCAGATTTAAATGTAATAAAGTATCCACCTGGTTTTCCGCGCTCCTGATTGGTGGACAGCACTTGAACTGCGTGGCTCCGGCTGGGACGTCCTCCGCTCGCAGACTGAGGTAGTGATGGGTGGTTTCCACGGTGAGCGGGGCTCCGGCGGCTCGAGCTTCACGGATCAACGTGAGCGGCAGAGCGGAGGACAGGTGCACGATGTGACAACGCACCCTTCAACAAACCAGATTCAGATTTAGTATATTTGTCATTTGCAGTAAAACCACATTGGAATACATGTGCAAAAGTCCCCCAGTGTGCATCAGAAAATCAAGAAAAAAACAAGTGAAAAAGTACAATTGTCACTGTGAAACCAATCAACAAACTCAGTTTTAATAATCATTACAGAATCAACTGCTTTGTTTAAACTGACATAACAGTTTGTGGAAAGAAACAGTTAGCATATCCAGATGTCCTGCATCTCTTCTGCCAGAGGGAAGAAGCTGGAACATGGCTTTTCCAGGGCCCAGAAGAGTCATTGATTAGTGAGCAGTGAAGAGCCATTTTTTACCGAGCTCTGTGTCATGCATCTAATTTCCCCAAAATAAAAGATTGAAGATATGATTTCCCACAACATGGTGTATGTTAAAAACCTTCATTGTTTTTCTCAGTTTAAATCAAGAACAAAAACAAAGGAGATTGAGGGGCCTGGTCAGCGGGTCAAACTATATTATATAGTAATGATAACAGGTTGCTTTCATGTGACAACACAACATACTTTTTAAAATTGTGGTGGGAGTCACTTGTAAAAAAAAACTTTGCTGTAACCTTTTGGAAGAAATAGTACATCGGTAGACTGTATTTTTGTTTATAATTTAATATATTATTTGTGGGGCTCAATGAATGAGGCCAGAGGAAAAAAAGCAACCATTACATTCAATGCAATCTTTTAAGTTGTGTGGTTTAGTTGTGCTCTTACTGATATTGTAGACAGAGCTGTGTGACGATTCGAATGGCCTCAGTTTCCATCTCATCTGGCCTTGACCTCAGAAAAGTGGAGTAATGACAGGGATCTAAGCACAGAAAACACTATCTTACATATATGTACATGTATGTATATGTAAAATTTTATGAGATGGATGGTACTGCCCACATTTATAGATTGGGTTTAGTTTAGAGTTGCCACTTAATTTATCTAATCTAATCTACAAAATTACATAGATTACCAAAATATGAACTTTAGCCAAAAAACAATAACAAACTACGAAAAGAAAAATATATATATATTTTTAGCAAACAAAACAAATAAATTGCTCCTACATAACACTAATATATTTCAACATACTTCACTTTTTAAATGGACTTTTATATCCATCCATCCATTTTCTTCCCCTTAATCCATTTCTGGGTCGGGGGGGTGGCAGTCAGAGCTGCACACAGTACACAGAGCACCAGCCCCTCACTGATCCCCCTGCAGGTGGTGAGCCCACAGGAGCTGAGATCTTTCAGTGGGGGCTTCAGGCAAAGTGGGGTTAAGTGTCTTGCCCAAGGACACAACGACAGCAGTCATCAGTGGGAGTCATGAAGTAGGTCCTTTCCCTTACATTGCAAAAAAGTGCAAAAATAGGTAATCTCTCATTTCAACTAAGGACAAAATAATAATAAAATATTAAAACTATATATGCTTATTCAATTTGCAAATTGTAGTTCAACAGGGGGAAAACATCACAAAACAACTAATGTTTTCTAGTTCCTCCTCAATATACAGTAAAACGTTTACCACCAGAATCCTGCGTTGCATCTTGAACTTCTCTTTCTGCATGAAACTAAAACAGTAAAACATTTCTGATTAACTCTTGTATTCATATTATTTAAATACTGAGATGATTGTCTTGTACCAGTAGGACAGTGCCAGTCCCCTGCAGCTGCTTCATGGCCGTGTGCAGGTCACTGTCGCTCACGTGTGGAAACTCGTCCACTCCGCTGTGGATCATGAAGCATTTGAACCCAGCGACCCCAGCACTGATCATAGGCTTCAGTTCCAGCTACACAGACAGCACAGGGAGGGTTTATTATAGGATGTAGGTTGATAAAAAAAATAGAGTCTTTAATTTTTTTCCACCACGGACAGAAACGGTGTTATGGTCAATTTTAGCCAACATTGTCCAATGATTGCATCTAATTATTAGTTTATTTGATGACTTTGTATTTTCTGTATTTAAGATCAGATGAGATAAGATTCTTTATTGATCTCACAATGGAGATCCCGACCCAGAAAGGGACAAAGGGGAAGAAAATGGATGGACAGTAAAATTAAAAGTGACTATAGCAGTTCTTCAGTCCTAGAGCATACCATTATTTATTATATGGTATGCGTGGTCCACTGCCTTAAATATCCAGTTGAGTGTGCCCTCAGGGAGTGGAGTTAGTCTGAATATACAGTATAGGGTTACAGTTTTTGACTTGACTAATTTTGATTAGGTTTTACATGGCGTTTTGTGGAATGCGGAAATTTCATATGTAAACTTGTGGAGCAATACATCATTAACTCTCCCCTTAAACCAGGGGTGTTAAACTGGGCGGACTCCACACATTTTCTTAATTCTCCAGGTTAAAGGATATGGGAGGATTTTTTGGATCATCAATACTATTGGTCCTCCCAATTGTCAATACTCTTCAAATAAGACCAGATACCAGATACAGTCAAAAAGTGGAGTGGGCGTTTCTTTCCTAAAATATGGGGAAATCCTCCTATATACCTTTAAGACGGGACTCACTTGAGGAAATGGGTGGAGTCTAGTGTTATTCCTGCTTGGTTGGAATGAAATCCTGCAGCCACACCCTTTGAGGACTGGTTTACCTCCTCTGCCTAAAACCATATCTGCAAGTTTGTACATGCATCATTAAGTGACTACAGTGGTTTTTTTAGGTCACTTCAGCTAGTATGCTTGTATTTGACGCTGCAGGTTTAGCACTTTTGTTTCTGGGGTAGTTGTTAAATCTGCCTCAGTAGTTTTGTCATTACTATACACTAGGGTTGTGTTGTTGTACCTCATTTCCAGGTATGACTCCACCCCAAAAAGCAGTGTCCACGAAACATTTGCCCGTCGCCTCACGCAGTTTCTCTTGAAAGTTTGAGAGTGTTGTGGTTGGAGGGATGCTGTTTCTGATCAAGTAAACACAAATAAATGTTGGTTATAACTTTGTGATCCAAAAATACAGTGTCAATTCCATAAGGGACATGATAAAAGTGCTCACTAATGTTGTGAAACAAAAACTATTGTTTTGAATTAAAACATTTTGTAATGTAGATTAGTAACATGTCTGGGTGCATGCCAAGGAGGCTCCATGTGCTCTTCATTTGTGTTGTAGCAGAAGGAGCCAATTACTATTACTACAGGCACTAATACTATAGTATGCTTCAACACCAAAGTACATTGGGGACATGTTAATGCCATAAGAACCAACTCGGACTCTGAGGAGCACAGGGGCTGGCCTCCTGCTAGTGCTCAGAGTCATTACTAAACATGGGGCAGCATTTCAGATGAATATAGCTAAAATCTGGAGCAGTCTTACTGAAAATCTGATACAGGCTTCTACTGTTATAATGTTCAAATCCAGGTTAAAACAACTCTGTTTAGCTGTGCATGCAACTGAAGTATTGTATCTTCACTTGTTTTAATCCACTGGGAATATTTAGGATATTAAAGCCGTGTGGGATTTTATTCTTGTTTATTGTTAAATAACTTTTGTATGAAAATTGCCTTGCAAATAAAGTTTGTTTGATACTATACTGATATTGTGCTGCTGCTAGTTACAATGTAATTGATCTAATAACTACAGAGAGCACACTTTTACAAGTCCTAACCATGTAGAATGTCCTAACCAAGTTTTCATTCGTGTCCTTGTGAGTTGCACCAAATTACTGAAAAAAAATCTCTAAACAGGACTTTTCTGGGTCAAATTATGGTTATATATTTTCTTAATATAGACCCAAGAACTGCAGACTATTGATAAGTAAATAAATAGCGTAAAAGGAATCTATCAGTGGTGGGGCTCAAGAACCGGCGCCAGTGGTACATGCACCACACTTTAAGAAACATACAGTAGATACAGTAGATTGCCAGTAGCATGTGGGATACAAATAACCCTTAAATAAATTCTCTGTGGTCATATATTTGTTATTTCGCTTATTTAACTTGCACCACGCACAGTTTACATATATAGATAAAACAGGCTCATACTGAACAGGGGTAGGATGAAGCAGACTTCTTACAGCGGCATGTCCACGATTGTCGTCACTCCTCCTGCCGCTGCGGCTCTCGTGGCCGTCCAGAAGCCCTCCCATGTGATGCGTCCCGGCTCGTTCACGTGCACATGGCTGTCGACCAGACCTGGCATCACCACGCTGTCTCCAACATCCAACACCTAACACCAAAGGATGTATTTAATTATAAACTCAGCTCTATCCAATATGCAGACTACACGGCTGCATAGGGCCACAAGGTCTGAAAACAGCCTCTAAGAATGCCCAATGATTAAAAATTGCGCTTTAGCCGACTGGAAACTTAATATAGATCCTCTAAGTTGATCTATTATTGAAAGATGGGGGCTAACTATGCTGTCCATTGTTCACATGATTTCTTCCTTTCCCTTCTTTTGAAACAGTTGAATTAAAGGCATTGTTTTTCATAAATGTGTGCAAAAATCATTCTATTTATTCAGTATGTTACAATTTAGTTTCATTACTATGACTGAGGGAATTTCAGTGGATGGGCTCCTGAAACATATTATGTATAGGGCCCACTGAAAACGAGGAGCAGCACTGTCTAAACTGATATTTAATTCATATGATATATGTATGTATATGGGTGTCAAGCCGGCTGTAGGTTTTAATCCTAAGCAATAATAATGGTTTGATACAGCACTAAAAGATGTTTCACGTGAAGATGTCATTGGCTGCTACTGCTGTCACAGCTGCCCTGGGGCACACTAACGGAAGTGAGGCAACCAGTATGTGCCATCAGACTGTCTGACCACCAGATTTGTTCTAGGCAAAAGGGGGTGGATTTCCATGCCTACGGACGCAACGACAGTTTAGCATTTTACACTCGCAGTTGCCCCACTGTGGCACCAGGTGTAAAGGTCTCCCATCATAGGACTAACTAGGCTCTGCACTGCTAGCTTTAAATGTCTGACGGTAACTATCTTTCACATGAAGATGGTGCCTTAAAGCAAGAGTACATCAGACTCCACCCACATTCTTACGTGAGTCCAGTGTTGACCTGAGGACTTGATGAAATGGTTGGAATCTGGTGTGCTCCTCCTTGGGTTGGAATTCAAACCTGCAGCTGTACGAGTTCTGATATATGGTGCCTATATCTGCACTAGACCAGCAGATAACTCACCTTTTCTCCAGTAAAGTTGCAGTTGTCTGTTAGAATTTGGTGGATCCTCCCGTTCTTTATAAGAATGACTGCTGGCTGTAGCTCGGATCCCTGTTGGACCCTGGTGCTGCGTACGGCTCTTACGGTGGATCCCAGCTCCATTCTCAGGCTGCTGTAGTGCTCTGACACTCCCCCTGCAACGGGGACTCTGGGTCAAAGGATTCACATGTGGACTTTAATGTTTGACTTGCTGCACCGGTTATTTGCATACAGGTGATAGTGCTCTGCCTATAACGGCAGAAACTACACCTGCCGTTTCTCCGAGATGTTAATGTTCTGTGCACGTAGGGTGCATGTGCATAACATGTTTCTCGTCTAATTGAGAAAGATGCAGTGAAGTGGATTGGCTGTGCCTCTGCGCTGGAGACAGAGCCCGTCTGCGCCAATAGGAGCAGCCACCGCGGTAAAGTGGCCCTGCATTTCGTCGGCAGCGGTAAAGAGGTCCGCACTTTGAAAGCGGTTGGCTCCTTTATGCTGTTACTTACGGTAAACGTGGAACGGGAAGCCGCGACAAGAAGCAATTTTATTAATAAAATCATTAAAAAAGAACAAAAAGAGTTTTGCGACTACTTTCACTGCACACTTGTTCACTGTGATGCCCTCCACCAATATGTAAAATATAATTCACTTTTACTGTAGAAATTCAGAGATAATAGGGATCCCAAAAGCACTTTTTAAAATTAATTTAAAATAAATCTAAAAAAGTTCCCTGACTACTTTCACTGCACACTTGTTCACGGTGATAACCTCTACCTATATGTAAAATATAATTCACTTTTACTGTAGAAATTCAGAGATAATAGGGGTCAAAATGTGCCATTTTGATCCCAAAAGCACTTTTTAAAATTAATTTAAAATAAATCTAAAAAAGTTCTATTAGTATTAGATAGCAATATGGCCTACATGCAGGACTGTACAAGGACTCTACAAGGACTCCATGTTATGACTATGATTTGACTGTCTCTTTGTGACACGTATGTCTTTCCATGTGTGACGTGACAATGACTATATAAACTGTGTACTGCCTTTATTCTGTCTGAGAGAAAGAAACAGAGTAAACCAGTGGAACTTGAGAGAAACTTAAATAAACTTCCAGAGTTTGGCACACCACGATCCGTCTCTGTCTGCTTAAATCCTAACAGATTTGGTGGAGAATGCGCGGCTCGGTTTGTGCCATTCTCTGGATTGTTTTGAGGGAGTTTTGCTCTGTTTTCCTCTGCGTGAGAGATCGGCATGCTGTGTCTGGGAGCGGGGATTCCAGCAGGCTGGAAGAGCTGTTCCTGGATGCTTCTTGTCGCTTCTGTCACTTTTGTTGTTTAAATTGAATTTTTTGACGCGGAAAAGATGTTGGTCGACCTCTCGAACAGTCCGGACAAAGAATAAGGTAAGCAGACACCTTTTTTAATATGTAAAGTCTGCATAATTGGATATTAGCTAAATTTTGGTCTGTTTTTGGGGTCTGTCAAACTCTCTAAATTGTATTTGAGAAGAAGTCTCGGGGTTAAAGTCCCTTTGAGCCTCGGGGTTAAAGTCCCTTTGAGAAAGTCTCGGGGTTAAAGTCCCTTTGAGCCTCGGGGTTAAAGCCCTTTGAGAAAGTCTCGGGGTTAAAGTCCCTTTGAGCCTCGGGGTTAAAGTCCCTTTGAGAAAGTCTCGGGGTTAAAGTCCCTTTGAGCCTCGGGGTTAAAGTCCCTTTGAGAAAGTCTCGGGGTTAAAGTCCCTTTGAGAAAAGCCTCGGGGTTAAAGTCCCTTTGAGAAGAAGCTTCAGGGTTAAAGTCCCTTTGAGAGAAACCATGGTGTAAAATTAAAAGTAATTATAAAAAGGGAAACGTTAAACACTAAAGAGTGCCTTTTGTTACTAGTGTGGAAAGTGATCACTTCTAGATTTGGATGACAAAAGTATAAAGAACAACATCAGTTATATTCGCTTAAAAGTAATCTTGAAAGTTATTCTTCTGTATCTTTTTGCCTGTGTGTGCACATCTCTATCTGCTGCCGTTGTCAGGGAAACGGCCCCCTCCTTCGCTGCTCTGGCTCTGAATCTGAAGCAAAGCTACTGCTTTAGGATTTTTGGCTTTTCATAGTAGTTATTCCGTTAAATTTGCTAAATTTGCCATTTGAACATTGTGTTAGACACAGTTAAACGTTTTTAAACACCATTAGGGAATAGAAGTTTTGAATTAGTATGTTTTTGAAACCCAAAGATTAGTACAAAAAGCTTTGCTTTTCTTTTTAAATCTGCTGCTTATTTTGTGAGTCCATTATTGTATCTGATATTTCATAGCTGTTAGTGAGAATTTTTTTATGTTTTTATTTTAGTTACAAAAGCCGTTTTTCAAACATTTAAATTAGAATCTGTTAAAAGTGATTAATGATTGTAGACTTCGTCTAAAAAAGAAAGAGGGAATTAGGCTGTAAAAGTATTATATTATTAAGTTAAACTACCCAATTCACATGCAAGTGGTGACTTTTGTTTTTGTTTTGACTACACGCCTGACCTTGTTGCTGCTGCTGATGAACACAGCAGAGGAGCCTGGCTCTAAAATGTGCTCCAATTCATACTGACTTCATTTGAAAAATGCTGCAATTATTTTAAATTAGTAAAATATATGCTGAGATAAATGCATAGATAATTAAACACACAGTGCAAAAGTACATAATACATATTTTAAAGTTTAAGAAGGTTTAAGAGATTTGAGTCTTGTTTTTTATATTGAGAGTTTCTGGTTTTAAAATGTTATCATTAGTAAGATAATAAGTAATCTTTTATTTACATAGCGCTTGGGAAAACCCAGAGCGCTCCAAAATTGTTTTGACTTTAGGGAGAAAAACAATCTCATTCGCATACTGATATCTATTGTTTTTTTAAATTGGCCGTGTCAAGGATTGTTTTTCAGACTCTGCCTCACTGTACGAGAGGTCACTGCTGGACACTGGACAGCGCAAAGCCCACCCAGCCACAGGTCACAGAGCTAAGAGCAAAGGGAAATGCCACCTCCTTGCCCCTCCCCACGCCACTGCAGAACTGAGTGGGTGTGAGAGAGACCGGGGCCATGAAAGAGAGGTATCTGGAGACGTGATGGTGGAGCATCAGGGAGAGACCTGAATGAGAGTTGAAAGTGTGTCCAGTTGGTTTGCATCACCACAGTGTGACCTTTGACACCTACGGGTGGTTCGAGGAGTCTTGAGACACAACCCCAAAATTCACATACACACACACACACACATACACACACATACACACATACACTCACACATTCACATTTACATATAGATACATGAAAAAGCAGAACATGAGAAAAAAGCATTTTAAAAGTTTACTCCAATGTAAACACATATTTTTAATTGTCTATCACTTGAATCTTTAGTTGAATCAGTATTTTTTGAGACCAGAAATGTTCATTTGAATTCTATATTGTCATGGAGATAATTGACGTCTGTCCTGACACTTTTGATTTGTTGATTTTGTACTGTGTGAAGTAATTACATTGATGAGAATTAGATCTGATAAAAACACAAATTAGAGAAGTAAACTGCGCTTGCTTTTTGTCTGAGGGACATTAGCAACAGCATGAATAGAAATTGTATTAAAGTAGAATCAAAATGACTTAACCATAGAAAGTAACTATTGCATAACAAGCTGTGTACAGGAACTGAGACACTGCACCATTGACCAGAAGTGCGTCGCAAATGACCTGATGCGCTTCAAGTGAAAAGACTGTATCTGGAGATCCTGATGTGCATCTGGAGTGACCAAAACCATGGCTTGGACCCTACTGATGTCCAAGATGACATCTCTCTATGACCTGACCTGATGACGACTGAGACTCACCCTAAGGGGACCTGAGGACCTGAGGACCTGAGAGAGAAAACTGGGGAGTGATGTTTATATTTCTGAAATCATACATTGATGAGTGCTAAATGAGAGAGATACTCATGATTCTTTCTTTTGTTTTTGTTTGTCCCTAGCTTCTGGACATCTGATGATCTATTGGACGCAGACATTTGCAGAACAAGAACCAGCCAATGAAAACGTCTATTGCCGATGCTATTGCTACAACCAGAACCACAACTGTGACCAAATGCAATATACATGTTAAGTATTCAGACATCTGACAGACAAAAAATTTGACTTTTTTAGTCTGGTAGACTGAGCAACAGTTAAAATGTTTTAAAATGATAAAGTATGAGTATTGTAGCGTTTTAGTAGATGTTAAATAGTAGTAAAAAAGTAGAATTTGACTTCCTTTGTTGTTCATAAACACATTTCCACATAAGAGTTAAAATAGTACCCTACAATGTTATCCTTTTGATAGATCAGCTATAATATTAGAATCAGAGTTATGTTACAGCCATTAAAAGTGACAGAAGTCACAAATTAGGAATATGCCTTTGCTGAAGCTGCAAACGAGCTTTGGAGTTAAACAATAGTGTAGAAATAGAATTAGATAAATGCATCAACCATAGATGCTTTCAAAAATAGAGATTATTTCTAGCCAGTGCTAATATCAAATGGTAAAGGGACCATTTCACAAGCATTTACTTCAAAAGTAGATAAAGTTACTTACAGTTTTATGTACAGTTTTATTAGATACTGCCAAATTCACCTGTGTTCAAACATGAGTGAATGTTGACAATACAAAAAGTTCATATGAGTGTAGCCTAGATTAATGCCTAGATCAATGAGATAGATTAGAACCAACAGAGATTCAAAAGCATTTTGATGTATTTGTGTATAGCACAAAAACAGTATGGTAGATATTTAGATATTGAGAAGTTTCCAGCGCAAACACCATTGTAGAATAACTGACCCCAACCCCAAACCTGCTAAAACAGATTAGCTACTATTAGGATAATACTAATTTGATTAATGATGTACATTCATCCCAAACTGCCTGACAATAATATCTTTAGATAATAAAAAGTAATAAATCACTGACCACTATAGAAGTGTAAATGTTGACCATTTGCCTTACTGTGTTCACAGTTTTATTCCTGAGAATGTAGAAGAGAGATAGAACAAAATCCAACTGATAATAAGCCACTGATAATGAAAGTAAACCACAGAGAGATTTGTTAGATTAAAATGTATGTTTAAGAATATGGCTCAATAGAAGCAAATATGCAAACATATTTGTGAATAGATTAGAATAGTTTTAAACTATAGTGAATAGAGAGTAAAGTACACAGTCTAAGATTTATAAGTGAAAATAATACAGTGAAATAAGTGAAGTGTAAACAATTAGCATTAGAATAAAAGTATAGAGTAAGAAAAGTGAAATTAGCTTCAAATTTGAGACTCAGCTCGTTTTTGTCTGTGTTTTGACTGAATCTGCTGAGTTCTTGTGTGTCCCATAGTGTTTGTTTGTTTTTATTTTTGATTTGTTTTTTTTTTGTTTTGTTTATTTATTTACTTTGTTTTTGTTTGTTTTTTTTTTTTTTTTTTCCAGGATAGAGGATAAAATCCACTGATATTGATTTGATGATTATGAGTTTAATGCATACATTTTCTTTGTTTTTAATAATTTTTGAAAGTTTTTTTTTTGAAGCAAAGGAAGGTTTCTCACCCATCATCTGTACTTCTTAGCAAGTTTTCCCGACGTTTCGTCCTCAACCTGGGGACTTCTTCAGGGAATGAATTCTCGGACCGCGCGTTGGAGATTTATAACCTATGGGTGTGGTAAGCCACACCCTAACCTTGATACTAACTCGTAAACAATCTCAGGTCTGCTTGATGTAGAAGTAGTAGTAGACCTGCTCCCTTCTACATCAAGCAGACCTGAGATTGTTTACGAGTTAGTATCAGGGTTAGGGTGTGGCTTACCACACCCATAGGTTATAAATCTCCAACGCGCGGTCCGAGAATTCATTCCCTGAAGAAGTCCCCAGGTTGAGGACGAAACGTCGGGAAAACTTGCTAAGAAGTACAGATGATGGGTGAGAAACCTTCCTTTGCTTTGACTAATCCCTGTACGACTGAGGGCTTACACAAACTTTTTTTTTTGAATTTTTTTTTTTCTTTTCTTTTTCCACTTTATTGATTGATCGATTTGAGTGATCACATGTGATTATGTGATCAAAGGGGAGGGTATTAGTATTAGATAGCAATATGGCCTACATGCAGGACTGTACAAGGACTCTACAAGGACTCCATGTTATGACTATGATTTGACTGTCTCTTTGTGACACGTATGTCTTTCCATGTGTGACGTGACAATGACTATATAAACTGTGTACTGCCTTTATTCTGTCTGAGAGAAAGAAACAGAGTAAACCAGTGGAACTTGAGAGAAACTTAAATAAACTTCCAGAGTTTGGCACACCACGATCCGTCTCTGTCTGCTTAAATCCTAACAGTTCCTTGACTAATTTTACTGCACACTTGTTGACTGGGATGCCTTCTACCACTGTGTAAAATATCATTCACTTTTACTGTAGAAATTCAGAGATAATTGGGGTCAAAGTGTGCCATTTTGGTCCCAAAATCACTTTTTAAAATTCATTTTTTTTAAATCTAAAAAAGTTCCCAGACTACTTTCACTGTACACTCGTTCACTGTGGTGCCCTCTACCACTGTGTAAAATATCATTCACTTTTACTGTAGAAATTCAGAGAAAATTGGGGTCAAAGTGTGCCATTTTGGTCCAAAAAGCCCTTTATAAAAATGATTTTAAAAGAAATCTAAAAAGGTTCCCTGACTAATTTCACTGCACACTTGTTCACTGTGATGCCCTCTACCACTGTGTAAAATATAATTAGTTTTTACTGTAGAAATTCAGAGAAAATTGGGGTCAAAGTGTGCTATTTTGGTCCCAAAAGCACTTTTTAAAATTCATTTAAAAAACATCTAAAAAAGTTCCCTGACTAATTTCACTGCACACTTGTTCACTGTGATTCCCTCTACCACTGTGTAAAATATCATTCACTTTTATTGTAGAAATTAAGAGAAAATTGGGGTCAAATTGTGCACAATTGGTCCTAAAAGCACTTTTTAAAAATCATTTTTAAAAAATCTAAAAAAGTTCCCTGACTAATTTCACTGCAAACTTGCTCACTGTGATGCCCTCTACCACTGTGTAAAATATCATTCACTTTTACTGTAGAAATTCAGACAAAATTGGGGTCAAAATGTGCCATTTTGTTCCTAAAAGCACTATTTAAAATTCATTTTAAAAAAATCTAAAAAAGTTCCCTGACTAATTTCACTGCACACTTGTTCACTGTGATGCCCTCTACCACTGTGTAAAATATCATTCACTTTTACTGTAGAAATTCAGAGACAATTGGGGTCAAAGTGTGCCATTTTGGCCTTGCGACCACAGCTACGGGCCGCCGCATCAGCGATTGAGGCAGAGAACATGGTCCACTTGGACTCCATGTCCCCCTCTTCCACCGGGACCTCTCCAACTCACACCTCTCACCGGAGGTGTGAGTTGAAAGTCCGTCTGACAGGGGGCTCAGCGAGACGTTCCCAGCAGACCCTCACTATACGCTTGGGTCTGCCAGGTCTGACCGGCTTCTTCCCCTGCCAGCGGATCCAACTCACGACCAGGTGATGATCGGTTGACAGCTCCGCCCCTCTCTTTACCCGAGTGTCCGAGACACACGGTCGAAGGTCAGATGATACGACAACAAAGTCGATCATCGACCTCCGGCCTAGGGTGTCCTGGTGCCACGTGCACTGGTGGACACCCTTGTGCTCGAACATGGTGTTCGTGATGGACAAACTGTGACTGGCACAGAAGTCCAACAACTGAACACCGCTCGGGTTCAGATCAGGGGGGCCGCTCTTCCCGATCACCCTTCTCCAAGTGTCACTGGCGTTTCCCACATGGGCGTTGAAGTCCCCCAGGAGAATAACGGAGTCCCCGGGCGGTGCACCGTCCAGTACCCCTCCCAAGGACTCCAAGAAGGCTGGGTACTCTGCACTGCTGTTAGGCCCATAGGCCGTCACAACAATGAGAGACTTGTCCCCCACCCGGAGGCGGAGGGACGCGACCCTCTCATTCACCGGGGAGAACTCCAACACGTGGCGGCTGATATGGGGGGCAATGAGGATGGCCACCCCAGCTCGCCGCTTCTCCCCACAGGAAACACCAGAAAAGTGGAGCGTCCAACCCCTCTCAAGGAGTTGGGTTCCAGAGCCCAAGCTGTGTGTGGAGGTGAGGCCGACTATCTCTAGTCGGTATCGCTCAACCTCCCCCACGAGCTCGGGCTCCTTCCCCCCCAGTGAGGTGACGTTCCACGTCCCAAGAGCCAGATGTTGGGTGTGCGGACTGGGTCGCCGAGGTCTCCGCCTTCGACTGCTGCCCAGTCCTCTCAGCACCGCGCCACCACGGACCCCTCTGCAGGTGGTGGGCCCACAGGAGGGACTGCCCACGTCATCCCTTCGGGCTGAGCCCGGCCCGGGCCCCGTGGGCTAAGGCCCGGCCACCAGGCGCTCGCATACAAGCCCCGACCCCAGGCCTGGCTCCAGGGTGGGGCCCCGGCTGCGCCATGCCGGGCGACGTCACTGGTCTATTTATTGTGCTATCCATGGTGGTTTTTGGACCGATCTTCTTCTGACTCGTCACCTGAGACCTGTCTGCCATGGGAGACCCTACCAGGGGCATGAAGCCCCAGACAGCATAGCTCCCAGGATCATCCGAGTACTCAAACTCCCCCACCACGTTAAGGTGGCAGTCCAGGGGGGAGTACACCCCCGCTGGACTGCCATTTTGGTCCCAAAAGCACTTTTTTAAAATTCATTTTAAAATTCATTTTAAAAAGTGCTTTTGGGACCAAAATGGCACACTTTCACCCCAATTTTCTCTGAATTTCTACAGTAAAAGTAAGTAAGTAAGTAAGTAAGTAAGTTTTTATTTATATACCGCCTTTTCACTGCAGATCTGAGTCTCAAAGCGGTTTACAATTGTTAATTTTTGGGCATTTGTCTCTCACTCCACACAGAGATGGGAGCGGAGTGGCCAGTACAGAAGGCACATGCCAGAACTATTGGACAATATTTAGTGGTAGGGGAAACCGGAGTACCCGGAGGAAACCTACGCAGACACGGGGAGAACATGCAAACTCCACTCAGAAAGGCCCTGGTCCGACCGGGATTCGAACCCAGGACCTTCTTGCTGAGAGGCGAGAGTGCTATCCACTCAGCCACCGTGCCGAGTGGATAGCACAATATAGTGAACTATATTGTACACGGTTGGTAGAGGGCATCACGGTGAACAAGTGCAGTGAAAGTAGTCAGGGAACTTTTTTAGATTTAAAAAAAAAATGAAAATCTTTTTTCTAAAAATCTAAAAATCTAAAATCTTTTTTAGATTTAAAAAAAAAATGAATTTTAAGAAGTGTTTTTGTGACCAAAATAGCACACTTTGACCCAAATTATCCCAATTATCTCTTAATTTCTCGAGTAAAAGTGAATGATATTTTACACAGTGGTAGAGGGCATCACAGTGAACCAGTTTACAGTGAAAGTAGTGAGGGAACTTTTTTAGATTTTTTTAAAATGAATTTTAAAAAGTGCTTTTGCGACCAAAATGGTACACTTTGACCCCAATTATCTCTGCATTTCTACAGTAAAAGTGAATGATATTTCACACAGTGGTAGAGGGCATCACAGTGAACAAGTTTACAGTGAAAGTAGTCAGGGAACTTTTTTAGACTTTTTTAAAGTGAATTTTAAAAAGTGCTTTTGGGACCAAAATGGCACACTTTGACCCCTATTTTTTCTGAATTTCTACAGTAAAAGTGAATGATATTTTACACAGTGGTAGAGGGCATCACAGTGAACAAGTGTGCAGTGAAAGTAGTCAGGGAACCTTTTTAGATTTTTAAAAAATGAATTTTAAAAAGTGCTTTTGGGACCAAAATGGCAAACTTTGACCCCAATTTTCTCTGAATTTCTACAGTAAAAGTGAATGATATTTTACACAGTGGTAGAGGGCATCACAGTGAAAAAGTGTACGCTGAAAGTTGAGGGAACTTTTTTAGATTTTTTTAAAATGAATTTTAAAAAGTGCTTTTGTGACCAAAATGGTTCAATTTTACCCCAATTATCTCTGCATTTCTACAGTAAAAGTGAATTATATTTTACACAGTGGTAGAGGGCATCACAGTGAACAAGTGTGCAGTGAAAGTAGTCGCAAAACTCTTTTTGTTCTTTTTTAAATGATTGTATTAATAAAATTGCATCTTGCTTGCTTCTCGTCGCGGCTTCCCTTTCCACGTCTGTAAGTAACAGCATAACGGAGCCAACCGCTTTCAAAGTGCGGACCTCTTTACCGCTGCCGACGAAATGCAGGGCCACTTTACCGCGGTGAGCAGCCCCAGTGCAGGAGGATGTGCTCTGTCTCTGATGCCCCGGTCTACGGCCGCCATGACGTCAGCCCGTATCCCGAAGAGCGTGAGTGCCACAGACTGAGCATCCATCTGCTCGGCTGTTATGTAATGCGTCCGTAGCGTCGTTTGGAGGTGAGGGCGGACGGAGCTGGAGATGTATGAGAGCTGTGACCGAGTGCTGTAACGGGGAGATGCTCTACGCACTTCTCCTGTAATCGGTGTTGAGTCTGGGCCTCTCCCCGAGGAGCCTGGCCGTCTGGAGGTTGCGGCGCTGCCCTGAGGAGCGGCCATAGGCGCGTCTCGATTCAAATCCGCTTCTCTAGCAGTGAAAACAGCCCGATGCGGCTTGGCTTCAGGCTAGAAACAGGATCATACGCTCACAACCTTAGCACAACTCTCAGACAGCAGCCTCCGCGCTGTGGATCCCAGTATGGCGGGTCCAGAGCAGTCCCAGCAGCAGCAGCAGGTCGAGGAGAAGGCAGAGCCCATAGATGATGCTGAGATGGCCCTGCAGGGCATCAACATGCTCCTGAACAACGGCTTCAAGGAGAGCGACGAGCTGTTCCGGAGATACAGGTAACAGCACATACAAATTTTCAGGAGATAAGCTGCAACAGATACAGGTGCACACACAGCCATAGGAGATACAGGTAACTTCACACACAGCTGCAGGAGATACAGGTAACTGCACAGACAGCTCTTACAGCAGATACAGGTGCACACACAGCTGCAGCAGATACAGGTAACTTCACACACAGCTATTACAGCAGATACAGGTGCACACACAGCTGCAGCAGATACAGGTGCACACACAGCTGCAGCAGATACAGGTAACTTCACACACAGCTATTACAGCAGATACAGGTGCACACACAGCTGCAGCAGATACAGGTGCACACACAGCTGCAGCAGATACAGGTAACTTCACACACAGCTATTACAGCAGATACAGGTGCACACACAGCTGCAGCAGATACAGGTGCACACACAGCTGCAGCAGATACAGGTAACTTCACACACAGCTATTACAGCAGATACAGGTGCACACACAGATGCAGCAGATACAGGTAACTGCACACAGCTGCAGCTCACATTCAAATGCTCTCTGTCACAACAACACCGAGGACGTGCATTGCTTCTCCTGCAATAGGGATCTACTCTATTTTTTTTAATTAATAACATTTAGATTTTGAAGCTCATGTTCTGTTTTCCTTTCTTGCAGAACACAGAGCCCTCTGATGAGCTTTGGAGCCAGCTTTGTCAGTTTCCTGGTGAGTTTTTATAAACAAACTACTTGGATGTGTCAACACTGACGTATTCCTTATAATTGACACAATAAATCCATTGTGACTTTTTTCATTTTCAATTATTTTGCTTTTACATGATTACAGCAGGGATATAAAGTTAACACAATAGTTCTTCCTCATCCTTCACTTGTGAGCTTGTGTCCTGAAATGAAAACACTAACTTCACCAGTGACCCACAGTAACACACCTTTTGTAAACCGTTTGTATATCAGTGATTGAACATTTTTGGGTTATATATGCAGGAATAGGGCTCAAGTCAGCAAATAATGTCAGAGAAGCCTCACCTGTGATAAACCTCTTTGTCACCAGTGGCCTCCTCTGCCTTTCACTTTTCCATCCATTAACGTAATGGACCCTCCTCCGACAGTATTGTACACATTACACTCGTAACTCCTGATCTCTTCCTGTACTCATGCTGACTGCATGCACTGCACTCATGCAGTCACTCCTATAAAGGTTCATTGAAAAATGTATAAAATCAAATTGAATCATTATTTTAAAAAAGTACATTTTCTTTTTATTTATACTTTAATTATTACACATACATTACATTATGTAAATGTGGAGACATCTGCATGTTACAGCCAGAGTCTGTCAGGCCTTAGAAGCTGAGGAGGGCAGGGCCTGGTTAGCATTGTGATGGGAGACCTCTGGGAACAGCAGGTGCCGCAGTGGGGCTGCTGGTTTTTGTGTCCTTATGCTAGACACTTCACCAACATTGCCTAGAATGAGTCTGGGGTGTGTGTGAATGGTTGGTTGTGGTTTGCGGGGCTTTTGGCATGTACTGGTTGGCTCACGCCTGTCAGTGTGCCCCCAGGGCTGCTGTGGTTACAGTAGTAGTCCGGAATAGCGTTTTATAAAATCAAAACATTATTTTAACCAATTTCTGGTCAAATGTTTGTTGTATGTGTCCGTGACAATTTTCAAATGACATAAACTAAGTATTTGTAAGCGTCTCCAATGGTTACTATATTACTACATTACTGTGAACTGTTTTGTGGACTGTATGTGAAAGGTTCTGTGTGAATAAAGCTAACTTCCTTAGTTACTTTACTTAAAAATTCAGCTTGGTGGTGCAATCCTGATTATGTTTACGAATTATGTTTTGATGGATAAATATGTTTGATTTCACATTTAAAACTTTAGAGGTCCAATATGCTACTGAGTGGAGGGTCTGCTTTTTGCTTGGGTTCAGCTAAAAAAAATTAGAATATGAAAATCAAATATCTCCCATATAGCCAGGGTCTAGACATGGATAAAGAACACCCCACCCAGACCTGAAAGAAAGAGAAGATTAGATAAATGAATGCATCTTGTCTATTATATTTATTTTTGTTTAGCTTTCCCCACTGCATTGAAACAATTTGCCAAATGTCATCCTTGCAGACATATGGAGGCGACAGACCTTTAACTATGTAATTTGCATGTTTTTATTAAATCTCAATACTGTTGCTCAATACATTTCACTGCAGAATTTTTCCAAATCAGTTTAGCCTTTCTCCCCCTGTCCTACTGGGTTCCTCCTCTCCACAGCACAAAGAGCAGCTTGTCCTCCTTCTCCTTTATGCAGTTATCTCATAACATGTATTACAGTATGTCCCATTGTGTCTCAGATCTGACACATTCCAACACAAGCAAAAAGGAAATGAAATTAGGATTTATGTCAGATATCACTTATTCATGCCAATGTACTGTACTTGTCTGTCTGTGTATTGAGTGGGTAAAGGAGATAAAGGTCTTTTATATGCGTTTGCTTCATTGAAAACTCTGCAAAACTCTGGGATTCTGTTTTGTTCTGTGAAATGGTGTTGTCTGGGCTTTGAAATAAACATTTTTATTGATTGAAAGATAATCTTTGCCTTGCTCCCCTTCCCTGGGTTCGATTCCCGTGCCTGAATGTAGTGAGTGAATGATGGAGGTGGTCAAAGGGGCCGATGGCTCATTGTAGTGAATGAATAGTGATTTCAGTATATCACACAGAGAGATGCATGTATCTTTTGTCTAAGGTTCCAAGGAATACTAACACAGGTGAAGTTTTGTTTGTTGTGGAATATGAAAAGTGGCATATGCCAAGCCATTGTTTTTAATATTATTTTTTACTATAGCTTACAGTCCAATTTCAAAATATTAAAATGCTTTATGTAGTTTTTTACAAGCTGTGTTATGGGTCTATCATATAATCTCTCACAGTTCAATTACAGAAATAAATGTATTTTAAATTAGAACAATATTCCCCATAGTCACCCAGAGATTTGTACAACTAGGGGTCAAAGGGGCCCAATTGGCTCAAATCGCCGCTGTGATTGTCATTTTTGTCTTGTTTATGTTGGTCATTGAATAAGGCACATGTTTCATTTTCTCACCCCTCTTCACCAAGAAAAAGTACAAGAAATCCGCAACATTTCTGTAGCTGTATAAAGCAACCATTATCCTTTGTTATTCCCACAGTATAAGCAGTGTTTTTGCTATTCTCCTCTTGTGCAGAACGCCATGATGACGTTTGAGGAGGAGAAGATGCAGACGGCCTGTGACGACCTGAAGACCACAGAGAAACTGTGTGAGAGCGACACCGTCGGAGTCATCGAGACCATTCGCAACAAGATCAAGAAGAGCGTGAGTTCAATCTGTCTGCACCGCAATCACAGAGCTGCCCCAGCTGTCACTCTGGTATTTTTGTCTGTTAGGGCTTCGGGTCAGGCTTGAAAGTGCATGTTTTAATCATAGGTAGATAGCGGACAATATTTCCCTCCAAAAACAAGGAAAAATCTCTACTGATTCCCCATTTGAACTGAGTCTGCTAGGCCCGTCACAACAATCACTAAATAGATTCTCTGTTAATAACTGATATATAAAAAAATATATTTTGCTCCTGTTATGGCTAAACCTATAAATATCCAAAGCAAACAAGGTCATTTTGTGGTAAGTATTCAAAGTCATACATGATAATTGCATAAAAAGTTAATCCAAGATGTGGAGAAAAGGTTAATTTAGATTAAGATTAAGACCTATATTTGTCCCACAGTGGGGAGATATCACTGTTGCATCACCAGTTGGCACATCCCTGAGGCCCACTAAGCTTTTCTGCCCCGTGGGCTTTTACCCAGGCTAGGGAGAGGTGAAATGAGGGAGAGAGAGAGCAAGGGAGGATGGGAGAATACAGAGAGGCAAGTTTTTATCAATTACATTTCTGAGCCCTCATACACACCTGGGATCTTATCTGTAAATCAACACAGTTTCTAAACAATAGTTGCTGCAGAGCAGCAACCAATGTTGCTGCTCTGAGATCATGCCATCTCTGCTCTCTGATTACATTACTGTCTGTATCAGATGAAATCAGGAGTCCACAAAGAGACTCCTCTCTCCTCTGGACTCCATCCACTGGGGAAACTCCTCCTAATATACATTCAATTAGAGTTAGTGCGTATATTTCAATCTCTTTGCATTTATATCAAGGTGGTGATGTGCCGTCTGGCTGTAATGCAATTCTATCTGTTATATGAAAATGTACCATTATGTCCAGCGGTGTTAAGGCAAAAGAGCCCGAGATTAGACTTGTTCAGAGACTGAATGAAGCAGTATCTCCAGCAGTATGTGACCTGTTAAATCAGTCGTCATCTGCTTTGTTTCGCTCCATCAGCTGTGTTTTACATTACAACATGAAATCCTGCCACTTATGTTCAAGTTAGGCCCATGCAGTATCTTTTTAAAAATATACACGGTTCAGTTTATATACAGGTGCACTGAATAGCTGAAGAAGTACTGTAAATAATCTACATAAACTAGTTTGATTACAAAGACTGTTAAAAGTCTTAGAGGAGCAACTACTGTATCTTCTTTGTGTGGTTCCTGTATGTGGTAAACTCTATCCTAATGTTTTATTGATTTTACTTGAAGATAATGATATAATGTTTGTCCCAAATGTGTTGCTATAACGATGATGGAGCAGCCTCTAAACAGGACACAGTTAATCTCAATGAGGTTTTCAGTCTCCAATCCTGGTTAAATACAGTTGATTTATTATCTATATATAATTTCTTTCTTAATGGGCACAAAGTCTATGTTACTGTAATTTCCTAACTATAAGCCACAACCTTTTTCTAGTTGTTTGATCCCTGTGGCTTATATAGCAATGCGGCTAATATGTGAATTTTGATTGTGATAGAGTAAAGCTTTTGTCAGAGCAGCGTTTATGGCGTCATTATTTTGACTTTATCAAGTTTTATAATAGATATAGCACACTCGTTTATTGTACACAAGTGCGGCCTATATGTGGACAAAATATATGTTTTTTTAAAATGTTGCAGGTGCGGCTTATACATTGTTGCTCCTTACAGTCCAGAAAGTCCCGTACTTGAGATTATGAAATATACGTGTGCATTTATCATATGTTTGTTGCTGTGTCAGATGGACTCGCAGAGGTCTGGTGTGACGGTGGTGGATCGGCTGCAGAGACAGATCATCGTGGCGGACTGTCAGGTGTACCTCGCTGTGCTCTCCTTTGTCAAACAAGAGTTATCTGGTGATTATTATTAACCATAAATATGTTCTACAATCACATCGGCAATACACCATTCATTCATACATTTGTTGATTGTTCTACACAACTACACACTGTGTGAGTAGTTATACAACTTTGTGTCCCTGCAGTATGTTTAAGTAAATTGAGCTCAGTGAATCATTGTCAGTGCTTGTGGTGGTCTGTCAATGTCTCATTATTCAAGAAATTCAATAGAGCTTTAAGTAAAACTGGATACAAAAACAAATTTGGAAAAATACATTTTTTATTTGAATTTGAATATGACTCACCTACTTCCTCTGAAGTCTGCTGTTGTTGTGTCCCTGGGCAAGACACGTAACCCCACTTTGCCTGAAGCCCCAGCTGATAGATCAGGGCTGTGTCCTCCCGTGGGCCCACCGCCTGCAGGAGGATCAGTGAGGGGAAGGTGATATGAGAATTGGGTGGCAGCTCGGATTGCCACCCCCTGACCTAGAAATGAACGAATTAAATGAAAATTAATGAACAAATGAAGACATTGTATAATTTGTGGATTATTGAAATGGAACGGGCAAAAACAAATACTCCTGGAAAATACTGAAGTCATTCTTATAATAAAACTGATTTTATATAGCATTTCTTTTGGAAACACACAGACTGTTCACATACATTCCATACACAGCGGTGATAAACTACTACTGTAGCCACCAGAGTTATTCTAGGCAATGTGGGTGAAGTGTCTTGCCTAATGACACGGCAACAGTTTGGCACTTTACAGTCAGAACCGCCCCACTGTGGCACCTGGTGTTCCCAGAGGTCTCCCATCACAGCACTAACCAGCCAAATTACTGTGACGAATAGCTTCTGAGATCTAACAGGATCAGGCTCTCACATGAAAGTGATGCCATAGTATTTTTAGGATTATAATCATATTATCTAATGATTATTATGAATTTAGGACAAGAGAATTAGCAAACAACACGGGAAAGAGATAAGGATATAAAATGTTGAACGTTCCAAATCACCAGTATAAAGAAAAGATAAATGAGACTCATAATAAATATAATATTTTATCTTAAGACAATACATTGTTGTACTGATGAATGTGTGTAATTTTTAGAGCTGCAGAGACTATAGACTAATCTAATTCACAAATAGAATAACGATCATAATCCTTAAACTTAGTCTTATTTAATATTTTGGACTGAACCGGTTTCTGTTTTTTGTTTTTGTCACTAAACCACTTTATTAGGAGACTTGTCATGTTTTTAAGAATTAAGTCACTACTACTCTAAGATAAGATAAGAGAACTTTTATTCATTCCACCGTGGGGAAATGTTTATGTTGCAGTACGCATACATGGCAGAACAAGAGCACACAAGGAGCACATGAAATATACAGAGATAAGTAGCTGTAAATGCTTCATAAGTGCATGTAAATATCAATACATCTATACATTTAAGTAGTGTAAATTATATACATAAAATACTCTTCTGCTCCTCAGCCCTAGAATTGTATTGTGTTATTACAATCCTTTTAATTACCGTCCATTACTCCTCTCGTCACTCAGCTTATATCAAAGGCGGCTGGATCCTGCGTAAGGCCTGGAAAATGTACAACAAGTGCCACAGCGACATCTCCCAGCTGCAGGAGGCTTCTCAGCGCCGCTCCTCCGTCCCAGACTCCATGAGCACAGACAACCACAACCACAGCCCCCAGTCCAGTCCTGACACCAGCCCCCAGCCCAAGGGGGACAGCGTGGTCTCGGACGAGGCCCTGGACCGCCTCAAGGGCTCGGTCAGCTTTGGCTACGGCCTGTTCCACCTCTGCATCTCCATGGTCCCTCCTCACCTGCTGAAGATCATCAACCTGCTGGGGTTTCCCGGGGACCGGCTCCAGGGGCTGTCCTCTCTGATGTACGCCAGCGAGAGCAAAGACATGAAGGCGCCACTTGCTACGTAAGAGCTAGTTACTGAAAGAGTCTGTATTGTTGAGTTTCCTTCGGCCTGGAGGTGATGAAAGGTCTATCAATAATCTTGGCTGCATAATCTTTGTGTGAGGAGATGTGAAAGCACCAAACAAGTGCCCCATGATTTATTGATTTTCTGCTTTTAAGTGTGAACATGAACTAAATTAGTTTAGGCTTTCAATAGTACATTAACAACCTCTTCTGCCATATGCCATCTTGGTGTAATGTCAAAAGAATAAACCACATTTACTGTACAGTGATATTAATTGAAAGCATATTACTTAATAACACTAGAAATCTGGTGTGTGGATGACCCGCGAATGATTTTAGGAGTTTAAAGTATATACCGTACATAACCCTCCTACGGGGATCAATAAAGTTTCTATCTAACTTAAGTTATTTGTTTGATATTAGAGAACTGGATCCAACTCAATATTATGAAAAATCCTTTGATTTATAATAGCATTTAATTGTGGCACCAGTGAATACATCACATCTGATAATATGTGTAACAAACAAGTTATTCATTATTTTAGGAATAACAATAATTTGATGATTCTGTACACTTATTGAGTCATGAATTAGTTAATTATCTATAAGAAAAAATGTCATTGTTAGTTATTGCAGCGATTGCAAGTAGTTTCCTTACAAATATACTAACACATTATTGTCATTGCTAGTTTGTTAGTTAGTTTTCTTACTAAAGCATTATTCTCCATCTCAACTCTAATGCAGTAAAAGTGTTTGCACCAATCAGCTCACTCCTCTGTCCCTGTCCCGTCAGGCTGGCCCTCCTGTGGTACCACACGGTAGTGCTGCCTTTCTTTGCCCTGGACGGATCAGACACTCGCGCTGGGCTGCTCGAGGCCAAAGAGATTCTGGAGAGAAAGTCTTTAGTTTATCCAAACTCCTCCCTCTTCATGTTCTTTCGGGGCAGAGTCCACCGGCTAGAGGTAAATGATATATTTTCTGTTACCCTTCATAATATAATATGCCTCCTTGTTTGGGTGACCTGGTTTGTAAATGTCCATTCTGAAACACGGCAGATTTGGGTGATTGAGTAATAATGACAAGTAAATATACTCATTCAAAATTGAAATGTGCTCCTGTAATTGCATTCATGTGTTTTGATCATGTTATTGTTAGTGACCTGGATAGAGAGAACGCAACAATATTCCCTTCTCTACTGTTGAAATTATTATTGTCAAAATAGGGACAACCGGGACATGTTCTCTAAAAAAACTAGAACTGAATCCTGGGACACAAAAAACTGACGCTTGGTCCTTCTTCATTAAAAAACCCTATTATCTCCACATCACGTCTCTGCTGAATTTATTAAAAGTCCTTCTGCTTTGTCTCTAGTGCCAAATCAACAGTGCTTTGGCCTGCTTCCACGATGCTCTGGAGCTGGCCTCGGACCAAAGAGAAATCCAGCATGTGTGTCTGTATGAAATCGGTCTGTCTTCTCTCCTTCTTTCACTTTTAGTCAAACGTCTATGCAACGTCTTAACACTGAATATACTGTTTGCAGGTTGGTGCAGTATGATAGAGCTCAACTTTGAAGATGCATATCGAGCTTTTGAGCGACTGAAGAATGAATCTCGCTGGTCTCAATGCTACTATGCTTATTTGACTGGAGGTGAAACTATGCATACTAGAAATAACAACACTGGAGCAGTCAATTTGACGGCTTAGTAATTACTCAGCTAATGCACATTTTTGCTTTTCCTAACTTTTTCTGAATGTAATATGTAGTTCTAATAATGCCATGTCAGTTGAATTCCTGTAATAATGTTATATATTTGAAATGCGGTTAAGGCAAGGCAAGTGTATTTTTATACATGCAACTCAAAGTACTTTGCAAAACAAGATAGAAACCATCCCACAAGGAACTCCCAGAGCAGTCAATTTGATGACTTTATTCATTTTAATGTAATATCCAAATCTAGCCATTTTCTGTCGCTCTGCAACCAACATTCTTTGGAAGTGTTACCATAGCAACACCCTCTTGCAGCAGATAGCATTTTGTCGCTTGTTTAGAAACTGTTTTTATTTTTTTCAAGTTATATATTCACCAGTTTTAGCACTTTATGCAGGTTAAAACCCATATATGAAAGAATTTTAAAAAATTTGGGGAGATTTTTTCTGAATTCCATTTATTTGAATTGGAGTTCTTGTAGTTTCAGGGCAGTCTTTTGGATGGTTCCATGGATTTTATTATAAAATTTAAATTTAGCCATTTTTGGTCATTTGACAACCAACATTCTATGGCAGGTGCTGGTCCTGTTCTGGTTCTTATTTGAGTCTGCTTGTTGTGCAAGGCTAGAGATGTGCAAGGCTAGTTACCATAGAAACATAATGTTTACTTGAAGCAGTTAGCATTTGTTAACTTGTCTAGTAACTGTTTTTCTTTATTTAGTTATATATTCACCAGTGTTAGGACTTGTTAAAGGTAAAAACCATATAAAGCGCCTATTATTGATGAAAGTAAAAGTGACAGACTTTTACAGATTTCTATTGACTTGAATGGGAGTTCTAGTAATTTCAGAATTCTGGGAGTCTAAAATGTATGTTTGTCTTTCACCAGTTTGTCAAGGAGCAGCGGGAGACCTGGAAGGAGCTCACGCCGTCTTCAAAGATGTGCAGAAGCTTTTTAAACGGAAAAACAATCAGATAGAGCAGTTTGCTGTCAAAAGGGTCAGTCAAAGTCAAAACAACACAATTACTTTCATATGGATGGATTCAATTTATTTGTGCATAGCCATAAATTACAACAGCAGTCATTCTAGAGTACTTTACAAAGTTGTCTATTCCTCAACAACACTACCTGGGAAATGTAATAATGACAAACACATAAGAGCCATTGTTCATTGGAAGCGGGATGACCAATGTTCATAAATGTTAATAAAATGCATGATAACCCCAAATTTGCACAGAAGGGTCTACTATTTACTATTATGGCCCTATATCTCAAAAAGGATAACTACTACTCACTACTAGGAAGATATTAAAGTATTAATATCTATATTTACTCACTTATCAATAAAACTGTGTTATTATTACAATTTGATTGTATCATGCATATTAATGAGGCTGCATTGTTACCAGGATTTCATTGTCAACAGAAAAACAAATCTGCCAAAAGATGTTAGAGGACAGCACTGTCATTCACACGGCGGCGCCACAGCTCTCACCTCCTGTGTAGAGTTTGCATATTCTCCCCGTGTCTGCTCTGGATCCCCCATACCGCCATTAAATCGGAGGATCGTGAAGTGATTGGAAAATACACCATCATTAAACTATCACACCATCATAAAGCAATTTGTGAGAGCAGACCTTTATTCTATTTATTTGTTTCTATCACCACTCTAGAGGCCATGCAGGGCCCTAAAGATAATAAATAGTAGTATTGCCACTGGTGTAGAAAAACAGTCAAACTAGAATCCTGCTTCGGGGATATGATGAAGAAATAGGAACAATTCTTACAGTATTTGTGTGTAATATTTGACAGTTATTAATAGTTTAATATTGTGGAATATTTCCTATGTGAATCTAAGAATTGTTTTTGGTTTCTATCTCACTTTTTTTTCTTTTTCTTTTTAATCCCTATAATCTAGGCTGAGAGATTGAGAAAGATGTCCCCGACGAGAGAACTGTGCATTCTGGGAGTGATCGAGGTGCTGTATCTGTGGAAGGCTTTGCAAAACTGTTCCCCGTCCAAACTGCAGATTATGAACCAGGGTAATAATAATAATGATAATAATAAAAATACTTATGAGAATGGGTTTTTATAATAAGGCATTAAAATCAGTAATAATCACAATACTAGTATGTACTGTGATAGTTCTTCCCAGACCATTCAAATTGACGGCTCCATTAATTTGAATATAAAATTCAAATCTACCCAATTTTTGTCACTTGGCAACACACATTCTATGACAAGGTGACCATAGCAACCCTGTTTAGTTGCAGCAGTATGCATATGGTAGCTTTTTTAATAACTGTAGTTATTAAACAAGCTAAGTTTAGTTTGTTATTACATTACACAAATTTCATACAAACGAAAGACTGAAGCAGTTTTTTTGGGATATTTTGGGAATGGAGATTTTGTTTTTGCCTGCAAAGATGATCTCTATGATCTCTAAAACAAGATAATTAAACAAAGTAATAACGTTCGATTGTTTTATATCATGCTGTGGAATATTTCTGACGTGATATAAACCATGAAGTGAAGCAAGCAGTTGACACACACACACACACACACACACACACATTTACAAACAGGCTAAAACTTTGAATCTGTGTTATTGGACAGTGTTGCAGCGAGTGGAGGACTCTTCATGCCGAGGCCTGAAGCACCTACTGCTCGGCTCCATTCATAAATGTCACGGGAATATCAGAGACGCAGTTCAGGTAACTCACTTTTATTCATACATGAATTAATGTAAAAAACATACTATGTATTGTATGTAATCAAACGCAGGTAACTGGCTCAGTTCAATCATTGACTTCTCTCACATCTTTGAATCAGTTTTGTTCAGGCACAAAAGCGAAAAAGAGAGGAGCACCTTCACTCAGACAATCAGCTCTCGACCCAAAGCGTCAAATAGTGACTCACAGGGCGCTTTCTTGCAATTATGCGATATCATCATGTCCTCTGGCTTTTCCTGGTAAATGATGTAATAATGATCAGCTCTCAACCCAAAGTGTCAAATAGTGACTCACAGGGCTCTTTCTTGCAAGTATGCAATACATAGATTGTGATGAAGACAGCAGGAAGGATTTGTTCACAACATTTGATTCATAGAAGCTTCTTTTTATAGGACAAATTATGTATTTATGAAAGTTAGGTACCCCAGCTTTAACATAACCTTGACATTAACCTAGGAGTGAAATATGTTCTGGAGATGAACCACCACGTTCTCTTGATACAGATAAAAGCCGTATTTTTCATTTATCATACAATCAATTTATACACTGCAAAAAGTGCTAAAATATGAGTCAATCATGTGGTTTTTATGTTATTTTGAGTACATTCTTAAAACCAGATTTGCCAATGGGACAGAGCTATTTAATCTTATTTCAAGAATTGTTGCTTTATTTTCTCATTTCAAAAGAGACATTTCTTGTTAAAAGATCATTTTGCTTGTCCCATGGGCTAATCTTGTTTTAAGGCAGTCAAAATGTGCACAGATTAAGATACATTTTGCCTACAAAAACACTTGTGTAATGAGATTCTCTTTCTGACTTCTGACTAAAATCTCCTATTTCTCCATTGACAGTTTGGCTTACAGCTTGTTATTGGTAGGGACAGTGTACAGAGACATTAAGATCATGGAGACATTATAGCTAAATAGCTAGTTTCCATCCACAGTCCCTGGTTACAGATAATTAAATTACAATAAACAAAGTGCATCCATCCGTTCTCTATCAACACTTTACCATTCACTACATTTCCTTCATTCTACATCCCTTTTTACCAGATACATTATAATTATAATTCAGTTAATATTTTTGTAATTCACAATTTTCCTCATAATATTAGATTTGCATCCTCCTTATGGCATCATGTTCTCTGGCCTCCTGGTAAATGATGTCATAACGGTGATGGGATTAAGATGGACCATTGCCAGATATTGAAATGCTGACCTACTGTGTGTGTTGTTTGTTTGCAAAAATCATTTACTTTCTCTTCCCTATACAATTCGTAACAGTAGTAATGTCATAATGAATTAATGAATAATGAAGTTCTTAGTAGTAATGATAATAATGCAGTATTTTTGGTATGTTTCAGTCATTCCAGATGGCTGCAAGAGATGAATACGGCCGCCAGATTAACTCCTATATTCAGCCTTATTCTGTCTATGAGCTCGGCTGTTTACTACTGGGAAAAGCAGAGGTGAGTCCACACAGCACTGGTTTCAGATTTACTATTTTGCTGGATAGATATGTATAACTATAATTGTGATGTTTTGCCTTGTAGACTGTTGGAAAAGGGAGATCTTTTCTTCTCCAAGCCAAGGTAAGACTTCTGGAGGCAGGTAGTTATATCAGGTTGTTAGCCATAGCAGAAGATATGGATCCCCTTGAAGACATTTCTGACTAGTTACAAGACTGATTACTCTTGTATTAGGGTCAAATACATATACAATATTTTATCCATTTTTGGAGTGTGCAAAATTTGAAAGATTTCTTTGGTGTGCAATCCCTTTTCTCTTTTCAAGCAATTTATGGATTAATACATAGGGTACTTTGAGTGACCATGTGAATGAATACTTTTTATACATGTTATCACTATGGTTTTATATTACATTAACAGTCAAATAACTGTAGTTCTACATTCTCAGTTTAGTATCAGCAAATATATATTTATTAGATTTTTTTTTTTTGAAAGAGGGACACATCAGTATAAAATAAATGTAAATATGCTACAATCACCACATACATAGACAATATAGATCACTGGTATTGCCTGAAATAATTACATGTTTAAAGCTAAACTTTAAAACAAAATCTTTCAAACAATAAAAAAAACTAGGTATGTATAATGCATGTAACCAGTTCTTCATTCTTAAAACGGTTTTAGTTCTTTCCCCAGTTTTCACATATTTGTGTGGTCTAGTTTTTTCCCATTTTACAATACAAACGAAATGTATTATTCATGAAAAAGCAGATTTTTCGTATCATCTATCCTATCATCATCCATCTGCAATGGAAACACGACGGTCTCACAACGTTACGCTTTAACAACGCAGTTACTGTCTCTCTCTCTTTTATTTTCAGGACGATTTCACAGGTTACGACTTTGAAAACAGGCTCCACGTCCGGATACACTCAGCCCTGGCCTCTATAAAGGATGTAGTGCCTCAGTGACCTCAGCAAAAAAACCACAATAGAGCGGCTCCAGTTACACGCAGCGGTACACAAGCCTCTTTCGTTTATGCGTGTTTGCCCATAGTAAAAATTGTTCATACGTTCATGTCATATCAATGGACCAGTGGAAACTTATGTGGAGAGAGGCAGCTGCAGTCTCTCCCTGGCTGAAACTTAGTGACTCAGATCTGTCATACTTTATTCCATATCCATGGCCTTAACCAGGGGGGAAAAAAGAGATGACGGCAAACGCTTAAAAATGCTACTTCACACATGCATCAGTGCAGTATTTCATGTGCATATGTCCTGAATACAAAATAAGAGTGAAAGCCAGATCCAAATTTGTTCATATTTCACATTAATTCACTCTATCACTTTCTGGTCTCTGTCTCTTGCTCTCTCTCTCTCTCTCTCTCTCTCTCTCTCACTTTCTGGTTTCTGTCTCTCGCTCTCTCTCTCTGGTCTCTCCGTGTCTCTCTCTCTGTCTTTGTCTCTCTCTTTCTCTCTCTCCTTCGCCAGGAATCCTCTAAAAAAGTTACGGAATCTCAGTGGGACGTTCTTGGTTAAAGAAAAGGTCAATAAATAATAATAAATATTGCCAAACTCTGACCAGAAGTATTAAGAGTTTTGTCAAGCACCAAGAGAGAACCAAGATTACAACTTAATCAAATGTTTTATCATATTTTTTTCTTCTCCCCCTCACCTAGTTTTGGTTATAGACCGAAAGGACAAGATTGCGGACACAAGACATAGGGTGAGGAGCTCAGTCACACTCTGTCAATATCAGAGTAGAGCCGCTGCTCCTCCAGGTCCAGATGAGCCAATTGAGGTGGCTTTGTCATCTGTTTTGGATGCCTCCTGTATTTCTCCCTGGGGAGGCGTTCTGGCACTGAGACCCAGGACTCAGGAGGGACCATGTCTGGATGAGGTGTGTGTGGAGAGGGAGGATAAACAGAAGAGAATGGATGGATGGATCTTCAGCACTTCACAATCTATTTTAAACACATTAATCGAAGTAGCTGTTAGTGATCACTATCTAGCTTATTAGAACACTTTGTTATAATAGCAGAATGAGCTGGCCTACTTTGAGAATACATCCAATTATTAGGCCCGAGCCCCAACCGGGGTAAGGGCCTATTGCTTTTCCAACGAGTAATGCCTGGGCTGTCATAAGTCACAATCTCCGGGCGCTCCTTGAACTGTCATAAGTCACAATCTCCGGGCGCAGCCCGGAGATTGTGACCTGCACGCGACGGCACGTGCCCAGACACTGATAAATCCGTGCCGGAGGCACGGAATGGCTTTGTTCCTGCTGTAGTACACAGTGAAATGATTGAAGTCCTATTAAAGGGGGGTTCCTTCAACTGTTTTACGGACGAATGTCCGGGCGAAGCCCGGACATTCGTCCCCCAAGCCCGACGGCGCGTGCCCAGACACTGACAAAACAGTGCCAGAGGCACTGAATGGCTTTGCTCCTGCTGTAGTACACAGTGTAATCAATGGGGTCCTATGGGGGGGGTGGGTGACCTCATGATGGCGAGGTGATTGACGAGCGCGTCAGCGCTCGTCAATCACCGAGAACCCAATAGTTGCGTTCGCCTCGTCGTTCGCTTTAAAACGACGTATCATTTGTATTATAGGTTACTATGGAAACCTATATTGTTTTTGCTCGAAGTTTTAAAAAAAAAATTCCTTGGTTTATTTATTTATTATTATTATTTCTTTTTTCTTCTGCGCTTTGAACCTTAATTTGACCCCCTGAACATTGATGAAAAGTTGTGAAATTTTGCCCAAAATTCAGAACCGGTGAAAAATTAATTTTTTTGGTGTTTATTTTTAAGGGACTAAAAAAATGTCAGAACAGCGCCCCCTACAAAAGTCAGTTTACATTGCGCCTATGGGAGGGGGTCGAAGGTCAAGTTTGTCGTAGAGCCACGAAATTCGGTACACATGTTCCTCAGGTCAAGACATGAAAAAAAAGTTATTATGGCTCCGCCCCCTGACAAACAGGAAGTTCATTAATTTAATTGGAAAATGGAAAAATGAAAATTGATCTTTTTCACACATGTCGGCTGGAAATTATCTCCTCCTCGGCCGTTTCACCGATTTGTCTCAAAATCGCTCCACATGGTCTAAACCCATGTCCCATCTATTATTGAATATAGAATTTGGATCAATTAAACGTTGTCCGAGCAGCGGAGCGGCAAAATGTGACATTTTTTTGGGGATTTTTGACAAAAGTAAATTTTCTCCCGTTTGCACAAACAAAGCCGGATTTGCACCAAATTTTAATCCATTGTTCAGCTCCAGGGTCTAGGTCATCTGAAAGTGGAAATATTGAAATTGGCTCATTAGCGCCCCCTACAGACTATGTTAAAGTTTTACATGGGCTTTTTAAAATTTAGTTTTGTCAAAATGTTTGAAATTTTGCACATAATTCTGTTTTGTCATCTGGATTCAAAAAGTCAATGACAACATATGATTATTTTTTACCCTGTTGCCGTGGCGACGACCAACACTCCCCTGTCTGTGTCTATGAGAAAATCCTTAAATCTCTGAAAAGTACACCTCGCTCAAACATCAAACCAGCCACGGCCGTTTCCCTAATTTGTCTGAAAATCGCTCCACATGGTGTCCACACATGGACCATCAATAGTTGCATATAGAGTTTTAATTAGTCAAACGGTCTGAGTGTGACAGATTCCCAAAGTGTGGTTATTTTCATAGAGAGGTGTGAAGTTCCCATGTTATCTCCATGTTAGACTGTATGGACACACTCATATTGTATGAACAATGACATTGGCCCATTAGCGCCCCCTACAGGCTGAGTAAAGGCTCACATGGGGATACAGTTATTTGGGTTTATTTGTTTGATCTCATATTTGACCCACTTTACAAACATGAAAACTCACCAAACTTTGCCACAAGTTTTTTTCAGGCATAAAGTGTATTATTTTGGTGTTCTTTGGTATAAGACTAAAACAATTGAAATGAAATTGTAGGGGGCGCTGTTTTACAACATAAATGCCTTCCGTTTGCACATACAAAGTCCGATTTGCACACAATTTGAAATGACTGTTTAACTCTTGGGTTTGAGTAAACTGAAAGTGTGAATCATGAAATATCAGCATTAGCGCCCCCTACAGACTGATACAAGTGTTACATGGGGAAAATGAGGTATATCTTTTGAATAGAGAAACACAATCACTAATCATAGAAAGTAAAATTACACAGTGTCGCTCCCATCAGGGGGGCAAAAAAGTGGCGCGTCAGCGCCACCTCCTTTGCGCGGTGCGGCGAGGGCCGTTAGATGCCGCTTGCGGCTTTAATTAAATTTGTCTTTCCATTTTAAAAAGACACTGATGAAGTTCCCAATCACAAATGTTGCTATTAATTTATCACTACACATTTTACTATGCTTTCCAATTGCACTTATGAGACTTCCTAGCTGTATAGGCTGACATATCACTATATAACACAATTAAACAAAATGTAAGACATTTTTGCACAATTTATAGCCTTTTTCATAATATTTTAAATGTACATAAAAATCATTATATGCGGGGTACTGGCTTTGAGCTCTGTAAGCAATACATTAACCTTTAAACAAACCAATTATCCACAATGTTGATGCACTTACTCGGTTCTTTTCCTTGAAGAGAAGACATTTCTGATCATCTCTCTAGCTGGTTGTACATTGTATCAGTAAAGATGGCCTTGGCAGGGCTCAGTGTGTTGAATTGTGATGGTTTTGTCTCAGTAAGCTGTGATCTAGCTGCTCTATCCAACCCTTACGCCAATTAATGTTTCTTTGCCCCTTTGAAGCTTTGAAATTACGTGTTGGGCTGGTGGTGTTTCAATGTGTCACTGATCTCTTTAATAAACAGTTCTCAAATTAAATGTAGTCCTTTTGATTGCAGTCATATGGCAGTTTTAAGCACTGCAAAACATGTATGTATTATATGAGGAAATAATTGTTTGAATCGAGTGGTTATTATCTTTGAGTATGTTCTGACTGTCTTAAAACAGATTTACCAATGCGACAAAGCCGTTTAGTTTTATTTCAAGAACTGTTACTTTGTTTTCTCATTCCAAGAGAGATATTTCTTCATTTTTCATCACTTGTTGCAGTGGGGCACTAAACTTACATAAAAAAAACATGTCTACATAATTTGTAGAATGAGATAGATATAACTGGACAAAGCATAAACATCACTGTGAAAAAATAGTTTTATTCTAGAGATTCACATTTACCAAAAAACCTTTCATTTGTCTCTAAAATATTGACTGCTCATTCTTAAATTTGAACACAAACAGTAATTTGCCATGGACGGTATCATTCAAAGAAGATGGCTGTTGAAGAATGTGCTGAGAGGAGAAAAATACAACAAGACCAGTCATCGGATGAGTGCATCTTGGCCGACTGCTCTGACGGATAAGCAGAACCTGACACTGAACCATGACTTTGCTCAATTTCATGATTAAAATGACTTTTCCCATAATAAACAGACAATAAAAAAGGCTGAAAGAATGAAAAGATCATTAGTACTAAAAAATTTGTTTATTGCCTAAATGTAAAAAAAAAACACTATTACTTAGACAAATATAGATCATGAAATTATTTCATTATTTATTTTAATAAATAATACATGTTGTTTGCCCTAACAGAGACAGTCAGGTCTCTGGGTTAAAAAGGCTAATTATGCTACGATTTGTGGTCTTCATAATTTTATCCATTCATACATTTTACATTTTGCAAAATGGTATTACAGGAAAAGCCCAGTGAGTCATTTTTTAGAGCCTTGGGCTGAGAATGAAGTGAGGGGTGGTCTTTTAGTCTCTTTTCTGTCTGAAAAAGCTGATTCAAAGATGTGACAGGAAAATACATACACACACACATGCATATGATTGAACCAAACTGTTTTGCGAGCGAGGAACGAGCAGTATTTTATTACTGCTAATGCCTTGTGATACGCCAGCTTTGAGTTGAAAATGACAAC